GATGTTGGACGGCGGCGGAGCAGGGCGATAGTGGCGGGATGGTAGATGCATGATGGGCGGGTGAATACTGGAACAGTGGTCGACAGGTATCTGCCTGGGTCATCATCTGTACTCTGCATGATCAACGTACTCACTACAGCCACAATGTACCCAATGCACCCTATTCTGACACAGCCCGCGACCCGGACTATCCGCACCGTCGATGCCCCGCCCTCCTTCCCGCAGAGTACGCTTAAAAGACTCTTGGCGGAGAGGTTAGAACCTTGTCAACAATCACGGTGTCATTGATGTAGCCAAGGGATATAGGATATCAATGCTATGTCATGTATCAGGACCATCGTTACGACTGTCGTGGTGGTCGTGGAAACTCGCCGGTCAAAATTTGCTGGAGGCTTCGCCCGTCTGCATTCTCGAACCCGGATCCCTCTCCAGTTGCTGGTAACTGATTCTAGTCGTAGGAGGTCCTTTAAAGGTTCAAACCCGTGGCTGAGAATCCGACAGGGGAGAGAATAGAGGAGTCGGGGTGGAGTGGACGAGCGTCGAGGAAGGTCATCCGGCGAGTCCGCCTTCTCACGAAGGTGTGAGTACGAGCATGCACTGCGATGGCGATTGAGGGGAGCTGCTAGGAGTGGGGTGAATGCTGATGCGGCCGTTGATGGGAACCCTTTGACGATGATATTTGGTGGGGTCTGTTCTGATCGCAAAAGATGACGAAGCGCTGAAGAGGTGATGGCGACGACAGTTCGAGTTTGAGATGGCTCCTGTGTATGTAGCCAAGTGCAGTGCCCGAGGTCTCGCAAGTGTACCACGGACTCTCTTGTTCATGACAGTCGGTAAGGGAATGCATGGGACCCATCTCTATCGAACAAGAAAGCTGGCACCATGGTCAGAGCCGGTATAGCTGCATGTAGTAGAGAGCTCGACGGCACTGGACCTCGCCTCCCACGGCACCCCACCATTGCAGCTTCCTTGAGACCACCCAGGGGTCTACTTGAGCCATGTACCGCCCGTCTCTGCCCCCGTGAGCACCCCCCTTCGCCCCTTCGCCCCGTGCTCTGGTGGTCCCCGTCCCCTCCCCCTGCTCTCTGGGTGAAGTTTTTCGCGCCTGATTTTGCCCATCGCCCCTCTCGACGCGTTTCTCCTCGTGGCCATCGGCGCTAAAACACCCAGAACAGCCGTTCTTAATGCGCCGCCCACTTAACATTGCTCGCTTGGCCTTCCGCCTCCACCGCAGCAGCCGAATTCTCCCACGGTGCGCACTGCCTCCACCCGCCGAATATATAAACCACTTCGAAACGCATCCTTCTGTTCTTTTTTCATCGACCTTACTCTGCAGGATCTCTGTATAGTAATTGTTCTTTTTCGCTAGTCCACACTAGCCACATTTTCCACGTCGAGGGGATGATCAAGTTACCCGCCCCGCTCTTTCACAGAGGCATTTAGCCACCGACACTTCCGGCTTCGGTCAGTAGCTGTTGGGAGGTTATCGAAGACGCTGGCGGTACGTATACCGACTGATCCTTCGGGAAAGGTCTGGGAACGGCCGTGGGCTGGGGCGGGCTTTCTGATCGACGTTCGACAACCTCTATCTTATCAATATCTTCGACAACTGCCTTTTGGATAGTTACATAGGTGAGCATGCAGTTCCTCTTTCTCAACCTTCTTTCTTCTCCTTTTTCTTCTTCACCACGAATGATGACCCGAGTGCATTTGGCTTGAGGACTGCTTTACTAGTCGTCGATGCTGAAAAAACCACGCTACCTTAAATTCAATCTCTGACAACTTGATTTATTCTGAAAATTTTCACTTGGCTCCTTTTCACTCGAGGACCTCCAGCTGACAACTATCTCAGTATTCGTTTCATACTTACCCTTCTATACTTCACTAGTAATGCATACAATCAATCACACTCTTCTGGGCGTCTTGTCTGGCCACTTCATTTTTTCATTTTCATCGCCATCATCCATACAACTCTTCCCGAACATCTCGACTATTCAATCATCCTTTGACTCCTTGGTCGTTCTGCCAGCGTTACTGGTATCGTCGACACCATCAGGGCGCTGCATGTCGGTCGGTGCTGCTGGGTGTTGTTTGAGGTGGGCGTTGTGGACAGATTGTCCTTCGACTGGCAGGGGTGATGAGACCATGAGGTTCGATGGGGAAGGCTCGCGCATAGTGGGCGCTTGTCTTGTACCGAGGGCGTTGTATGACGAGGTCGCCGCTGCTGGACGTTGTGCATGCATACATCGTACTGTGATCGCCTTGAACGTTGCCGGAGACTCTTTGCATCTCGCCGTCACCTGGCCGAGCCTCTATTCGCCCGTTCTCTTCCTCTGCTCAAACTTCAAGAGATTAACATCGCTCAACATCGCTCAACATTGCTCATGGGGCGATGTTGATGTGTGCAGCCTCACTCACCCTGAGGCCCCTCTTTAGACTCGACGTATTGGTCAGAAGTCAAACTAATCGGCAAAGGTGCAAAGAAAATGATATACATGTAAAGAGCAATCCCATATGCAATACTGTAGACAAGATCCTTCGAGCCCCGACCTTCAACCTCTTTTCTTTTCCAAAGAAGCTCATGGACTATGAGCCGAACCAAGAGTTGTGAAGACCGACGGTGTCGTTGGGCGTGCTCATGGCCGTAGGTCCAATCTTGGGTGAGTGATTACCCAGCCCAAGGATGGAGTCTTGCCTCTTGGGCGACGACCCGAGCGCGTCCGATCCATTCATCGGTCCACTGCACCCATACTCTGCCTCCGCCTGCTCAAACGCCTGATGCGTCTTCTTCGCCTTCGCCTTGTCGTTCCTCAACTTTGTCAAGTGCTCCAAGTATCGCTCATCGACACCACCAGTGACGTACTCGCCAGTAAAGACGGAGCAGTCGAATTGAGGGATGGAGGGGTTGAATTGTTTGCAAGAGGTGACGAGGTCGTCGAGGGTTTGGAAGATGACGAGGTCGGCGCCAATTTCGGTGGCGACTTCCTCGGTGTTTCGGTTGTGGGCGACAAGCTCTTGGGGAGAGGGCATGTCGATACCGTAGACGTTGGGGAAGCGGATGGGGGGAGCGCAAGAGGCAAAGATAACCTTCTTGGCACCGACTTCCTTGGCCATCTGGACAATCTCCTTGGAGGTGGTACCCCGGACGATAGAGTCTGAACAATAGTTAGCAGCCGTCCTTAAAAGTGAAAGTGTACATACCGTCAACGAGCATGACGACCTTGTCGGCAAACTCCATGGGCATGGCGTTCAACTTTCGTCGGACGTTCTTTCGTCTGAAATGACATCAGCAATAGCCTTGGACGGTAGCCAGATACTCACCGCTGAGTCTGACCAGGCATGATGAAGGTCCTTCCAACATATCTGTTCTTGACAAAGCCCTCCCTGTAAGGGATACCAAGATGTTGGGCGAGCTGCAAAGCAGCCACTCTCGAGGTATCCGGTACAGGAATCACGACATCCACATTCAACCCCGCCTTGGCCAACTCAATCTTGGCAGTCTCCGCAAGATACTCTCCCATAGCCATTCGGCTTCGGTAAACACTGATGCCGTCGATGGTAGAGTCGGGTCGGGCAAAGTAGACGTACTCGAAGATGTCGGGGGAGAAGGTGCTAGGGGGAGCGACTTGTCGGCGGGTGACCTTTTCACGGGTGATGATGATGGCTTCACCGGCCTTGACGTCTTCCCAGTCGGAGAAACCGAGACCCTGGGCAACGACGTTCTCGGAAGCGACAAGGTAGTCGAGACCACCCCTGGCGCCCTTCCTGGTAGCGATACCAGCGGGCCTGATACCGTTGGGGTCTCGGAAGACGACGAGACCGAAACCGGCAATCATGGCAACACAGGCGTAGGCGCCGACACAAGTCTTGGTGAGGTCGCCGATAGCGGTGAAGATATCCTCCTCGTTGATACGGAACTTGCCAGTCTTCTGGAGGTTGTTGGCAAGTATATTGAGGAGGAGCTCAGAGTCAGAGTCGGTGTTGATGTGCCTGTGGGCGTCGACATCGAGGAACTGACGGAGAGCGGGGGTGTTGACAATGTTACCGTTCTAGAGGCATTGTCAGTTTGGGGCATAGCAAGAGAGAAGAGTACTGACGTGAGCAAAGGTAATACCGTAGGGAGAGTTGACGTAGAAGGGCTGAGCCTCAGCGTGGGCGGAGCTTCCGGCAGTGGGGTAACGAGCTGAGACTGAGTGTTAGCAGCTGTCATCGCATTGCTAAACTCTCTGACACCAATCGCCAGCACAACATGGTCTTTTCATGATCAGGACAGATCCGAACCTTACCAGAAGGTCACCAGGTACCCCAAAAAAACGCGACTCGACAACGAAAACTCACCATGTCCGATACCCATCCAACCCTTCAAGCCAGCAACGGCAGCCTCGTCAAAAATATCTCTGACCATCCCGTTCGCTTTGACCTGGTTGAATCGACCACCCGACCCGCAAGTGACGATACCGGCAGCATCCTGACCACTGAAAGCGCGCCTTTGTCAGCGAGAGCAAGTAGCCATGGATTTTGAAGACATACCGGTGCTGCAAAAGGGAGAGACCTTCGGCGCTAGACGATCACGTCAGACCTGTAGCTATGCGTTTCTGTTACACGACTCACAGCTCAGCAGCAGCGAGGGTAGTCTGGGTGTTCAGAGGGTCGTGAAGGAGAAGACCAATGATACCACACACTGCGGGAGTCAGCTCGTGACCAGGGATGCATCTATCGCACTCACTCTTGACGGGTATGAGGAGGGTTTGGGGAAAGAGCGGATGGACTGGTGTGTACCAATCTGAAAAGAAAAAAGAGAAAAAAAAAAGTTGTGCTCTGGAATATCTTGTCGGTAAATCCTTCCTCGGAGCGCCGGTCGCCGCCTCGCACAGGGCCCGTATTACGTCAGCTCATGTTGGGACGCGTCGAGGCGACGAGGATCGCAGAAAGGCGTGCAGCAAGCAGAGACAGTATCAAAGAGAGGTTCCATTATTCTCTCATCAGCATTGTCATCCAACATGGCCTCCCCACCCCCAGACAGTGGCCCCCGTCGCTCATCCAGGCCCAAGAGGGTGCGCACTCCTTGCTCTCTGACGCGTCTCGTACTGACTATCCATTGTGACAGACCATCACCGTTGCCGAGAGCGACGAGGAGAATGATATTCCTAAGCCCGCCCCCAAGAAGACGAAAGCTCAGAAGGCCAAGGAAGCCAAGGATGTCGTTGTCGTCTCTGACGATGAAGAAGAAGCCTTCTCGCCCGATGTGCTGGACGCACTGAAGGGCGACAGTGACGAAGAAGGTATTGAGGACGACGACTCGCCACCTCCCAAAAGCAAGAAGGGCAAGAAATCCGCTCTCAAGGCTACTGCCAAAAAGGAAAGGGCGCCTCCCAAGCCGAGGAAGAAGAAGGAGGTGACCCCAGCGACGGAGAGCGAAGATGATGAAGCCGATGGCCCCACGCTAAAGCTCGGCGACAAGCTCCCTAGCATCAAGCTCAAGAATGAGGACGGCGAACTTGTGGATGTATCAACTCTGGCAGGGGAGAAGGGCGTCGTGTTCTTCCTCTATCCCAAGGTCGGCTTGGCAAATATATGTGTTGGCCAGTCTCGCTGATTATATTGCAGGCTGACACTCCTGGGTGTACCAATCAGGCGTGCGGCTTCCGGGACATGTATGCGGAGATCGCAGCGTACGACTATGAAGTGTACGGTCTGTCGAAAGATTTGCCGACTGCCCAACAGAAGGTTCGAGGTTTCCCTGGCTCCCTCGTCTCAGCTGACGTCTCGACAGTGGAAAGCCAAGAAGAACCTCAATTACCACCTTCTAAGTGACCCCAAGAGCAAGCTTATCGAAAGGTAAGCACGTGCGCGTCCTCTAGTCCATCAGCTGATCACATCTGTGCCATAGACTCGGTGCTTTCGTACCTCCCAAGAAGTGGGTACCGTTCCCAGCGTTGCGACAGTATGCTAACCTGTATCTTCAGCACCAAGCGCTCCCATTTCATTTTCGAGAAGGGTACAGGTGAACTCATTGACGCTGAGATTGGGGTCAGGCCTGTGGAAGAGTGAGTGTCGTGACGGCTGTATCGAAACTTTGCTGACTCTGGGCGCAGCCCCAACAACGTGGTCGCTTTCCTTACAGAGAAATACGATTAAGCGATGCGCTGCTGCTGTTTTCTTGACCATTGATACATGAACATACGTTTGATCTTGATATACTACTTTAGGATAACACATGTGCTCTTGATGTATATGAACAAGTTGAAAGGCCCAAAGTATACATGGAACTGCCGGAAAATTACTATTACAACTTTGAAATCTAGCACGATGCTGCACTCTCATCTATCCCTCGAGGGCAACCTTCTCAACAGCCTCGGTGAAGATGTCCATAGCTTCCTTCATCTGCTCCTCGGTGACGACCAAAGCAGGGATGAACCGGATGGTGTCAAAGCACGAGGTGGTGAGCACCAGCAAGTCCTTCTCCAAGCAGTACGCCTGCACCCTCTTGCCAATGTCCTTGGGGATCTTGGTACCAGCGGGCAAGCCCTCGTGGGTAAGAGCGTCGGAAGCAGTTCGGAACTCGATAGCAGTCATGAGACCAACACCTCGCACATCGGCGATGAGGGCCTTGGTCTTCTCTCCCTGGGCGAGCTTGTTCAAAGCGGCAAAGAGCTGCTCGGAACGGGCAGCGACGTTCTTCTCGATCTCGCCGGAGGCGTAGACTTCCTGGGCGGCGACACCGGCAGCACAAGCGACGGCATTACCAGCATAGGTACCACCCATAGATCCGACATCAAGGGTACCCATGAGCTCCTTGGTGGAGGCGATACCAGAGATGGGGAAACCATTGGCGATACCCTTGGCAAAGACGAGCACGTCGGGCTTGAACTCGGGAATGTCGGAGACGGCAAAGTACTTGCCGGTTCGGAAGAAACCAGTTTGCACTTCGTCGACGACGAGGAGGATGCCGTGCTTGTCGCAGACCTTTCGGAGGTGCTTCAAGAAGGCAGGGGGGCAGGGGACGTAACCACTTAAGATAAAAGTCAGCACGTGTGTGGACTGTAACAAACTTTGTGACCCACCCCTCACCCTGGACGGGCTCGATGAAGATGGCGGCAACGTCGGTGGGGTTGACCTGTTGACGGAGAAGGAGCTCGAGCTGGAACTCGGCGGCTCGGACGACCTCTTCCTCGGTAGCAGAGGGAGGCAGGCCGAGAGAGTGCCAGTAGGGGTAGGGAGTAGCGAGCACACCGGGCTACCTTTCATTAGCTTTACGAGGCATACGCGCGAGCGAGAAGGCTCACCATCAAAGGTCCAGTACCCTGGGTGTAGATAGGCTTAGACCTAGTCATCGCACCGGAACCCATGGTCCTTCCGTGGTAAGCACCCTGGAAGACGATCAAGTTCTGCCTGCCGGTGGCCTTCCTGGTGAGCTTGATGGCGGCCTCGATAGCCTCGGAACCAGAGTTCCAGAAGAAGAACTGGTCGAGAGAGGGGTGGGGCATGACGGGGAGGAGCTTCTCGATGAGCTCGAGGTAGGGGCCGTGGAAGCCGATGGAGCACTGGAGGTGGACGAGATTGTTGACCTGCTCGGCGGCGGCCTTGCTGACAGCGGGGTGGCAGCTGCGCACAGTCGTCAGCGGTGATTCCCATATTCGCGTGGTCGACTTACTGGCCAAGGTTGGTCACTCCGATACCGGCAGTAAAGTCGAGGAGCTTCTTGCCATCGGCGGTGATGAGGTGGAGACCTTCACCCTTGACGATGACATGGTCCTTCATACGGCCAAGACCGTGAGAGACGTGGTCACGGCCAAAGTCAGACCATTGGGCGGCGGTGCGGACAGATCCAGACATGTTGATAGCGGAGGAGGCGAAAGACCTGGCGGCGAGGGTCGAAGGGCGGAAGGAGCGGGAGAGGGCGGTTCTGAGAGACATTTGGGCCTTTTTATACTCGAGCTTGGGTCCACGTTGTTGGATTAGTAGAAGACAAATTTGACCTTGTGGACAATGGACAACGAAAACGGGCAACCGTGTTTGACTGATAGGCGTCGCTTAGCCGCGCCGCCGAGGTCAAATTCTCCCCGAAAAGGTCAGATAATCGCCAGCGAGGTCAGATTTCTAGCCGTTATCACGAAATCCCTCGTCGTTCACACCCTCGCATTTACTCGGACTTGTCCAAGCGTCGCCTAGCGCCCCATAGCCACCAGATAGCCTGCACAGCCAGATTACGTCTCCATGCATACGGGCATCCTCATCGACTCCCATGTCGGGTGAGGCAGTCCAGGCACGATGTTGTTGATCCCCCACCATCCAGGTCAGCAGTCAATCCTTGGACTCGTGATGTGTATGCCTCGAGGACTCTTGGAAGCGTCCAACTCTATATGCATTGGAGCGCCATGCTATGATCTATAATAGATATGTATTTTCTGCATATAACGTCCATTCATCCACGAGTAACGTAGAAGATACGAAGAACTATAGATGGAGCGTGCCAGCACGCCAGACTAGGATATATGAAGATGATAATATAAAGATAGACTATAGATCCCAAAAACCCCCTTTATCGTCAGACAATCGTTAAAACTACTATATACAAGATAACGCCGGAGAGCTAGCTATACTACTCATGATCTATGAGGAGCTCGACCCGACAAAGTAGTTATAGTTGTAAGTCGTGGGAGAAGTGGTGTAAGAGAAGTCGGAACCAGCGTCATAAGAAGCAACAGTGCTACCAGACCTCGTGATGGTACCAGAGATGGAACCAGCAGCAAGAGAAATCTTGAGCTTGGTAAGACCAGCCTCGACAGAGAAGCTCTCGGTGGTGGAACCGGACGTGAGGGTGACAGTAGCAGCTTCGGTAGCCATGACGACTGCGTACAAGTAGTCCTCAGTGTAAGAGTAGCCGGTAGGCCTGCCGATAGAGTCGGACGAGGCGGTCGCATCGTGAGAATGGGGTCGAGCCCACATGATGAGCTCATCCTCGGTAATGGAGGGGTAGGCACCGGTCTTGAACGCAGTAGCGTAGTAGTTGGTAAGGGAGAGAAGACCGGTGTGGGTCATGCCATCAACAAAGGCATCCGAGCCGGAAGGAAGGTCACCAGAGATGGAACCGATGTAAGAAGACTCTCCAAAGTCGTTCCAGGTCAAGATCTCGGCCAACTTGACAGTCTCTCGCATGGAGATGAGCTGCTCCCATCGGGTGCAGTAGAGCCAGTCGTCAGATCGGTACAACCAGTTCTTGTTCCAAGAGGAAGCACTGAAGTGGGTGTAGAAGAAGGGAGAGACGGCGGCAGCGTAGACCTTGTCACCCAAAGCAGAGATGTAGGTCTCATCAGAGTTGGTGGTGAGGTCGGTAGATCCCATGGGCCAACCGGAGTTCCAGTTGAGCTCACCGTCCATCCAGGTGTTGGAGGAGAAGGTAGAGACGTCGGAGAAGAGACTGGGGATGAAGAAGATGTCAATGCCATCGGCGGTAAGGGCGTCAACAAAGCTGGTCTGCCAGTCGATGGCGCAGTCGGAACCAGAAAAGGTAGAAACGACAACCTTGTCGTCGTAGGTAGCCTGGGCTGACTCGGAGGCGAATTCGGAGACGAGGCTGACGAGGTTGGCAGCATCAGAGGAAGAAGAGCAGGACAAAGAGGTCATGTCGAGAGACAAGAACAGCTTGAAGCCGCTAGCGCCAGCAGCTGTGTAAGCGTCGGAAACTCGGCTAGACTGCCAAGAGTCGGAGCCAATGTTCAATGCGAAACCGTCGATACCGGCAGCAGTGGCAGACTCAATGTCGCTAGCCCAGTTGGAGCTGGTGTACGAGTAGGTGTTGCCAACCATGTGGTGAGCCCAGACTTGGTGGTCGGCGCTGGAAGAAGGCACAGTGGTAGAGTCGGCAGTGGTAGCAGAGCCGGAGGCGGTAGCTGTAGTAGACGCAGACACAGACTCGGTGCTGGACTCGGTGCTGGACTCGGTGCTGGAGGCTGTCAGAGAGGCGGTAGCAGACTCGGTTTCGTTGGCAGAAGCGCTCTGGGAAACGGTCTCGGGGGCAGATTCAGAGAGAGTCTCAGAGGTGCTGGTAGCCGCAGAGCTGGAGGCAGACGCAGTGACAGTGGCAGAGACACCGCTGGTCAAGGAAGCCACAGAGGAGGTGGCGGGAGCAGTGCTGTTGGAGCAAGAGGAAGAGACCGCGGAAGAAATGAGCTCAAAGATCTCGATGGCCCAAGTACCGCCGCAGGTCTCCGCCTCGTCACCGTTGCAGACGACGTTGCACTGGTCCTCGTCGTAGGTCACAGCAGAGGCAAGGGTAGAGCTACAGTAGCATTCCTCGCCGAATTCGACACTGCATCGAACGTCAGCTTTGTTCGAGATCATAAAGACGAATACTTACCCGGCATACTTGTAGCCCAAGTCCTCACAAGCGGAAAGACAAGAGTTGATAGTCATATCGCTCATGTCAACAGAGTACTCGGAGAGCACACGGTCGGAAGAGTCGATAGCACAGCCAAGAGCGTACCACTCGGAAGCATTGTCAGAGTCTTCGTAGATGGAGGCCGTAGAAGTGAAAGAGGAAGTGGCGACAGAGCTGGTGGCAGACGCAGTGATGGTAGCACCGGCCTCGGAAGAGGTAGCGGTAGCAGACTCGCCATCACCAATGGAGATGCCAACGGAAAGAGAGAATGAGAGGTCAACAGCGGCGACGGCAGAAGAGGCCGTCTCGGTGCCGGTGATCTGAGAAGAAGACGCGCTCTCGGTAGACGAAGCATCGGCGATCAAAGTAGCCACATCGAGGGAAGAGGTGGCTGACTCGGTAGCCGAAGCAGACGACTCGGAGGCGGTTGAGGAAGCAGATACAGAAGCGACAGAGGAGGTAGTAGTGGAGTCGGACGAGCAAGAAGCGAGGCTGCTAGAGTTGTAGGTGTAGAGGTTGAGGTACCAGGTAGTGCCACAGGTCTCGCTCGAATCACCCCCACAACCCATGCTGCATGTCGAGTCGTCCGCCAGACCACCGCCGTTGCCAGAATAAGAGTTGGCGCAGTAGCACTATGACTCACATGAGCCAGAGCCGGGCAAACAAAAAATGTGACTAACCTCATCTCCATACTCAGTACCAGCCATCGTGTAACCAAGCTTGGTACATTCATTCACACAGAGGAGTGGAGTCAGGCTGCTTGAAGAGAAAGCAAAGCCTTGAAGAAGTCGCTCATCGGTAGATTCGGCAACACAGCCAAAGACAGACCAGCCATCGGGAAGAGAGGTGTCACGCTTCTCTGGAAGAGGAGAGGGCTTGGTCTGCATGAGTGTCAGCGGAAGCCAGGCGCTAGATGACAGTGAAGACTTACGAAGCCATAGGTAGATCCGTAGTACCTCGCAAGTAAGTTGTGCAGAGACCTCTTGGAAGAAGACAGGACGTTGGCCACGCCAGGTGACGCGTGACGTCCGGGCTTCAAAAGAGGCGTAGCCTCAGCGACAGTACCGGCAAGAGCGAGAAGGGAGACCGCAGTCTCGAGAATAGGAGCCATTGTTTATAGATTGGTCGAGATATATGAGAGATGTAGGGTAGGTCGCGCGCAGCGTGACTGAATCGATGACGATGAACGAAAGTGGGGGCCGTCAAGGCTGTGGGTGAACACCAGGTTCGGGTTGTTCAAGAGTCGAGGCAGGGGGGAGGAGGCGAGGGGGGTCGCGATTAGGATGGATTGGATTGAGGACTATGGCTGAAGAAAAGAAAAGAAAAGAAAGAAGAAGGGGGGAGATTGTTGATGCGGCACGTCTGGCGCGTTTTCAGGAACTTTACATTTTCATTCAGGGCTCGACGCGTCAACAAAGTTACCAGAAGTGGAGATAAGTGGGGCAACTTCCCTGAGAGCACTTGGCGCAATTCCCGCCAAATCGTGAAATGTTCCGGGAACTTACAGGGACATTGCGGGTGGCGTCGGCGCGTCGCGTCCATCCGTATCTTCTTTGGTTCCTTTCCGTCTGACGTGAGCACGCGCAGCGCGTCGCAGCAGCTGCTCCTCAGCCTCGACCTGCCGCCTGAGGTCTTGAGTCTGTGATCCCACATTTACACCCCGTGAGGTCAGTTCTCCGGCCATCTTCCCGTCTTCTCGTTGGTAGAATGTTTGCATCGATTCGGAACATCGATCTCATCAGACGTCAAATAGTCTTCTAAAGACGAGTTCGTCCATGAAGCATCTATAAGGGAGCTCTGATCACATTATGAGATGAATATCATACTATTGCTTGGACGACCGACTAGTATGTCTGCATATGACTTTCCTTTAGGAGCTCTACCGTGATCACAGACGGATTATTGCTTGTCGAAGACCGGAGGATCTGTAGTACCAGCACTTTTTTTCTAATCACAAGGAGTACGGAGAGGAGTGCGGAGACGATAGTAGACCATCGGGATAAGTTGCTTGACGGTCATTGAAATTCTCAATCTCAACCACATCTAGTTGGATCCATCAACGACCGCCCGAAGGCGCAATGCATGTGGGTATGATGTGACTGACATGTATAGTCGTCTAAGTCTACAAGTAATTCTCTCTCATGATCCGATCGCCTAGATGACTATGCTACAGTTGTGGGTTGTTCTAATGCTGTAATAATCATAATCTACTCGTCATCATCCTCCCTATCTCTCTTCTTGCCCACCACGCTGGTCGTGGCAGACACCTTGATAGGCACCTCTTTCCCCTTACCCTTGCCCTCCAACTCCCTCGGCACCACCCACCCGTCGTTCCTACACCTTTCACACCTCACCCAACCCTTTCCTTCACCGTCATCTTTGATTTCTCTCCCCGCGCTCCTCGCAGCACCTTCCAGACAGCCCCTATGCCACCTATGCGAGCAGGCCAGGATGGTGAACCGGTGATCATCGGTATGAGCCTGCTTGGCGGCTTCGAGAGAGATAGCAGGCTGAAGGGGAGAGAAGATATTGATCATCTCTTTGTCTTGCTTGTCTTCTCCCTCCACAGCGGGCATTTCAGAGTCTTCGTCCTCCTCCCCGATAGTAGGACCATACATACACTCGGGCGCCTCACATCGCCACCCCAGGACCTTTTCCTTTTCCTCCGTCCAGCTTTCGAGAGACTGGGGCACGAAAGGGGGTTTGGAAGGTTCTTCAGGTTGTTGAGGCCTTGGAGGAAACTCCCCGCCGGGCGTACCGCTTCTCGACCCCCCGGGAGTACCTTCGCCTTCGGTACGAGGCATGGGAGGACCAGAAAAGAGGAAGCTCGGCAGGCCGGCAGGGAGACCAGCAGGAAGACCGTCGGGACGACCCGCAGGAAGCCCAGGGCCACCTTGTTGACCAGTAGGCAAGGGAGGAGGCATGTCGCCTCGTGCTCGTGCCATCCGCGAGATAAGGTCCATTGTGCTCTGGATCATTTGCATGTGAGCTCGTTGTTGAACATCAGGCTCGGGGGCACCATTGGGCGCAGCTGGATTGGCATCAGCAGGATGGGCACCCGTACTGCCCTCGGGCGCGGGCCCGGAACCCTCGACTGGAGCCGACGCAGAACGAGCCGGTTGGGCAGACGCTTCCGCTGAAGAAGCTGAAGCCTCTTGTCCGCCTTCTGCCGGGGCTCCGTCCGTACTCGAGGGAGCTGGTGGCCTTCCGAGACCAAAGAGACCGTCCAACAGGGAAGGTATATCCAGCTGTCGGAGTAGGGCATGTGCAGCACTGTGACCAATGTCGTCTTCGTGGCCCTCGGGGTGTGGTGAGCCGGGACGGGATGAAGATGGCTCTGGGGCAGACGAACGGCCCAGTGAGGCAGCCTCGGGCTGCGAAGGCGCAGAGGTAGAAGCGGCAGCAGGGGATGAAGCGTCAGGGGCATCGGCAGAGCTAGTAGGCTCGGTGTTGGCAGCCTGGAGAGGGGGTACGGAGCCAGATGCAGGCGTTTGGGCAGACGCCCCAGTAGCTGGAGCGGGAGGTTGTTCGCCTCGAGGTGTTGGAGGGAAGGGAGAGTTCGAAAAGATGAAAAAGTGATGTGATGTCTGCGACCTCCTTGGCACAGGTCGCTGGGGTTGCCCGTTATCTTGGCGCTGCTCGGTCTGGGCTTGTTCTGACTCATCACCTGTGGCAGCACCGGGTGTAGTAGTAGAAGGGCCAGCTGGGGGTATGCTTGATGATGACGCCTGTCGACTGGGCGGTTGAGGACGCTCGCTGCCTTCAGACCTGTCTCCGCGCGCATAAGGATGGGCATTGGCGGATGCCCGAGTGGATCCTGCACCAGTACGAGCTGGCCGTATAGACTCTGTTCGTGCGGGACGAGAAGCTCGAGGCGGCGAATCAAGTGTATAGAGCGGATCAAGGTCCAGACGGCAAGTAGGGCTAGAAAGGATCAGCTCGAGTAGGCGCGCTCATACACGACTTTTCGACTTACCAGGTGTGATGGGTGGCAAACCATGGTTCTAAGCAGTCTCCATGGAAGAGGTGATTACAAGGCAAAGCTTTCACACCTGTGGTCTTCTTCAACTCCTCTTGGTTATCCTTTTTCTCTTCAGTCTCTTCCTTCTTGTCGGTAGTATCTTCTCCCTTCTCCTCTCCCTTGATCGTCTCATCAACCTTCTTGTCCTCCTTCACCTCTTCCTCCTGCCTTGCGCTCATCCCCTCTAAACAGATGCCACACTTCCAACCCCTCTCTTCTTCATCCTCATACGAGTCCACATCCTGCGCCGCCACCACATTGTCGACACGCTTGAGCAGTCGCTTGCCAACGGTCGGTAGCGACCTCAGAAGCTCCGCAGCCTTCTCGGGATTCGGTTGCGGGTCACGGCGGGGCAGAAGAAACTCGAGGAAGGGCGCAAAGAGCCAAGCAGGCGGTCCACCAGCAGGAGGAGGAGCTGCACCATCAGCGCCTTCGGGCCCATTGCCACCAGGCGCGGGTGCACCAGGAGGTTGAGCGAACTGGCTAAAAAAGTCGGGAGGTAGAGGTGGATGGTCTGCGTTACCGTGTTCGCCTTCACCAGGAGGGGGCCCAGCGCCAATTTGGAAAGTGTATATCATGGCACCGGCGCCTGGACCGTTGTGTTCGCCATCGGCAGGCTCCTCACCCTCTTGTCCGGGCCCAGGCGGCGGCGGTGGAAGGCCAGGGACGGCAATTGTCATTGTGAAGAACGGCTGAGGCGGGCCTGCCTCTGGGTGCTGTTCGGGGGGCTGCTGGGCGGGCGGGGGCTGCTCGGGAGGGTCCATATTGGGTGATAGATGATGGAAAGACAAAAGAGAGATGGGGATGTTGAATTACATGAGTCATCAGAAAGAAACGCCGAGAATGACAACAGCCCATTACAAAATATACTCCCGTCCACTATAAACAATTTCTAATGCCCACCAGCGAAATCCACGTCTTTTTTTCGCGCGCATCTCCTCTTGCAACAGCTCGCAAGACCAAATTTCGCCATACACTCGCGATGGCCTCCCTCTCCACCCGGCTCTTACAACGCCCGCCCCAGCTACTTTCCAGGTCAATCCACACCTCCCGGGCGCTTTCAGCCCCCAGATTATCACTCGTCCCTCCCCCCACTGCTCTCAGCGCACTCGCATCTCGTCTCTCGCTCCAGCCCTCCCCTGCGGTATCTACATCACTCATAACATGCCTCACCCACCCCTCATACTTGGCGGAGCAAACTGAGGATGCGAATGCCGAGATCGATTTCTCTGAAACTTCAGAGTCCAATGAGCTCTTAGCAACGGTCGGCAATTCGCTCATCGGCCTCTTTGCCTCGGAGCACCTCGCTTCCCTCTACCCCTATCTCCCCACCCAGGCGCTTCAGAGCGCCGTAACAGCCTACGTCGGACCTGCCGCTTGCGTCTCTGTTGGCCGTGAGCTCGGTGTTGCCGTGCAGGGTGGAGGAAACGCTGGTTTGCCCGGTATCGGTAAGGGTGCCAACAGTGCGGGTGTCGTGGTTAGGTGGAGCAGGACGGCTCTGGCAGAGAAGAACTGGAGGGAGAACAAGGGCAAGGCGATGGAAGGGTTGAAGGTGCCCGTGGGAAGGCGGTTCCAGAAGTTCTTGAAGGAGCAAGAGCAGGAAACTGCGGCCGAGGCGGAGGGAGAGGCGAGGGGAAAGAAGCAGCAAAGCCATGAGGATGTCATTGCCAGTGCTGTACGATCGTTTGTCGGATTGATCTACCAAGAAGAGGTACGTATCTTGACTTCTTGTAGGACGACTTGCTAATCTTGGTAACAGGGTATCCACACCGCCCGAACCTTTGTCCACGCCCACTTCCTCTCCCGAGCCCTCGATCTCGCCTCCCTCATCAATCTCAACAATCCCATGCACGTCCTCTCCTCCGTCGTCTCCTCCCATCTCGCCTCTGCTGGCGTCCCTTCATCATCTTCCGAAACTGCCATCCAGCCCCGCCTGCTTGCGTCTACGGGTACAAACTCGCAAGCACCCTTGTTCCTTGTCGGTCTCTTCTTGCCTTCGGGCTTGAAGATTTCAGAAGGACATGGGTCTAGTAAGGCGATGGCAAAGCACAGGGCGGCGGTGAACGGTTTGCAGAGTATCTGGTTCACAAGAGGTGATCAGCCTGGTGCCGAGGTGCTCGGTATTAAGGGTCTTGGGAAGCCTTTCGGGGAGTACGGGGAGGGTCTGCCCTCGTCGGCGCACGAAGACTGGGTGTACGAAGAAGGAAAGGTCATCATCGGAGAGGAAGAGTCAGAATTCGAGTCGATAGAGTGGGGAGGGAAGGAGGTTCTGCCGGGAAGCAGACGGTAGAGTCATAACATGCATTACTCATCATCTGGTAATGTACAATTGGGCGCGGGGTTATTGTTGTTGGTCGATGGGTTCGTTGACGAGGGCATGAGTGGAAGACTTGAGAGCGTCTATCCGGTTGGACATTTTGTCCACTATGAGTATTCAGTCAGTTCATTGGGACCTTCCCCTTTTTACATGGACATAATCAACATACACTCCTGTCTGAGTACGAGTCAGCCGGGATCTGCGAACCAACCATATCGACTCACAGTAGCTCGTCAGTCTTGTCTGCCACTTTCTGATCCAGCGCCTCCAGTTGCTTATCCACCTATAGTCAATGGTCAGCTGAATGACCATTATCGAGGCTCGCTTCAATTGTCAAGGTGACTCCTAACACTATGCTACGCCAAAGTACCACTCGTTGCAGGAACAGTGCCAATTCAGTAGACCAACAAGACGTACACTCTCACCAATCTCGCTCGCACTCCCTCCAGTCTCCGCTTTCGTGCTCTTCTTGAGATACGACGATGGACCGTAATTACTTGACATGACTTTGATCGGTCGGAGAGTGCATATAGACTCGTAAAGTGATATCAAGATGTGAAAGCAAGATTCAACGCAGAGATACGCGTTGTAATGGGCGGCCTACCCTGACATTTGGTTCCGCTGATTCGAGGAAACGAAACTCAACGCTGCTCAAAGTCGATCAAATGCATGCTTCGTCCATGACCCACCCAAAGTCAACTGCGATGTCCTCTTTCGCTCGCTTCCAGCGCACATTTCAACGCTTCCGACCCCCACCCCTCATCCCCACCGCCGTCCGCACCATCCAAATCCTCGCTACGCTTCACCTCGTATCAAGCACTCTAGCCGAACTCCGGATATGTTCTGGATTCTCCATGCTCCCCACTTTGTCCCAACACGGCGATTGTGTCCTAGTCTCCCCTCTTTCCTACTGGTCCCTCCTGTCCGGATCACATAAAAAGACAAAACCACAGAGGGGCGATGTGGTGGTTGCGACTTCGCCAATGAACCCCAGTCAGGCAGTGTGCAAGCGCGTGCTGGGGGTAGAAGGCGATCTGATAGAGATTGAGCCGAGGAGAGGTGGACAGAGAAAGTGGATTGATGCAGGCGGACATGGGTTTTTGGTCGATATACCGGATGAAGAGGCGGCGATGGACAATGTGCTCGTGCCCCAGCGACACGGAGAAGGCCAGTGGGTCAAGGTGCCGAAGGGACACGTCTGGCTCGTTGGCGACAACTTGAGCAACTCGACAGACTCTAGAAAGTATGGGCCAGTACCGATTGCGATGGTGAAAGGGAAGGTGCTTGCAAGAGTAAGTTCTGCGTGGGCCGTTGATGCTCTGGCTTGATGTCGGCTGAACGGCTGAGATCACGGACGTATACTGACGTGCCTACCAGGTCTATCCCAACCCCCGATGGATAACGAACAATGCCAAAGAGGTGCAAGCGGAGGTATAGGTCACTCGTCAACATATCGTTGTGTCAACACCGTTGAAGAGTGCCATGCCGCGAACACTGGGATGCCGCCTCTAAGAACGCCGCTGATCGCGAGCAAGGGCACTTCAGCTGGACCGATGAGATACGGTTGGCCCGTGAGTCGAGTCAGAGTTCCTGGCTAGATGTGTCTGACATTGACATAGGCCGCACAGAACGTATATGTAGAGGCGTCCGTGTACAGTGGGGTGGCCTGAGTTTGCGTCCCAGGTCTCAGAGTGATCTCTATCAGGTCGTACATACTATCCTCTTCGATGCTACTAGGATTCGCCCATACATTGATACCAGTCACCATAAATCCTCCACTGTTGATGCAAATCGTTATATCACCGTCGTCCGTCAGTAAGAAGGTTCGGTGATCCGACCGTAGCCATATGTAACACCTTGTGGCGAAACGTGCACAGACAACTGCTGGCAGCACGCAGCGGGGCAAAACTGGGTCCGAAGTTACTGTAGAAGGTATATATGTATCGCTGCGACGGGGCACAGAATTAGAGGCGGTCAGTCGAACCAGGGTTTCCTGTGTGCCGGCGTGTGGCTACGAGGGGCTCAGTGTGGTATCTGGAACGCTGTGTCGCCGAAGCTGCTGTGTCAGGGCAAAGCGAGACTTACATAGACATGAAGCGGATCTGCAGATGAAACGGGAGAACCCCTGCCCCCTGGCGTCTCCACTCTTCGGGCGGTGCATCGGTCACAACGAACAATGGCAAATTGAACGTCCCAGCGCTGCGTCCTCGACCCTGATCCTTGCGCCCGGGGCATTCTTGCAGCATGTACATCAGTATATGTAGGCGGCAAAAGACACGACGCTAAGGTCTTCCCCACTCTCTGAACTCATACACCACGTGTTCGGTAACGGACTCTCTTGTGGCTTACATAGCCTGCTCGACGACAAACAACATCCGACGGGCCTAGCAACATCTCTTCACAACAACCACGGCACCCCCCATCCATCGCCTTGCCTATCGTAGTTTCTCCCATAAAGACCTTGGCTACAGAAAACGTTTTCTCCATTCCCGAATAGCATCATCTCCATCATTAACCGCCCTAGGCTGCCAGGTTCTTGGTGAGTCGCTTAGGGCTTTGATACGACACCCCCACCGGACTGTGCGGAGCTGACCTAGTCACCAAGTTCGCCGATATCATACCCAGATATATCCTCCTTCTTGTTCTTGCTTCACCGTTCATATCATCCCTCCCTTCGCCTTCAATTGATCTCGCCTCTCGAGCCAGATACACATTTCTCCCTTTCTCCTGCATCGCAAAGGGCACCTTTCGACCAACGGTTCTCCGTGCGCACAGCCTGCGTCCCATTACTTAGCTGCTTTGCCACCACCCCTTGGCTTCATTCGCTTCGCCTAGTGCATCTCTCCCCACCCTTTCACAAGACGCCTGGTGCCCATCTTGAAGATGTTCGAAACTACCATCGGCCAGCTCCGAGCTCGTCAGATTGAACGCCCGTTCCAAACTCAGCACGACCTCCGGCAGCGCCAGGAGATGTACAACCAAAGCGGGACTGAAGACCTCGAGAGTGAGAATGAATTTGGGGACGAAGATGACATGGGCGAACTATCGGGTAAGTTGTTGTCTTCGAGCGCATTGTCCACGGCTAACACGTGGGATAGATTCTTACTCCAGCAGCGTCCACACGACCTCCCGCCCAGTCACCCCTCCCCACCCAACCCCTACCCCCGTACACATTACCAGCTCCTCATCCTCCTCCTCTTCACCAAAGAATGACATTTTCAAACTCGCCGACAAGGCTGAAAAGATCCTCGGCCTCACACCCGGTACACTCCCCTATGCGAGAGCCAGCCTAGAGAACGCCCGAGATCAAGTACGCCGTGCAGCGGCCGTCCCATCGCCCGAACCTGTCCGTTTGTCCCTCTCCCCGCCACCGACGGGGGAGGACGCCGAGCCAAAGTCGTACTTTGACATGGATGGCAAGTCGAAGAAGCAGTCAAGGATGACCAGGGCGAGAAAGGCGATGAGTGTGACTGGTTTGGGAGGGCTCGCACCGGGGAAGATTGCGAATGTTGTCATAGGTGCGGGTGGGAGAGAGGAGGAGGAGAGGCGTGAGAGGAGGAGGAAAGCCACGGATGGGGTGCTGTACTGGCAGAGAGAAGTAGCCAGGCTGATGGAGGAGGAGGAGACGATGAACGCGACTCTAAAGAGGAGACGTTAGATGCAGAAGTAGATAGTTAGTTCCACAGGATTGTGTCCTATAATTACACTCTTTTAACCATCTTCTTGTTGATGTTGTTTCTATCTTTAGTCAGTCATTACCGTAGAGCCATTGTACACTCGGGCAACAGTATGCATCTGTGGCTGTAGTCAGCAGGTTGACAGCATTGCAGGACCTGGTACACACTTTCTATGAAGTCTATACATATCTATGATCCCTGGTCAGCACAGGTCTCTTCAGCGATTTTTCACTTACCATGCTGGTGGATAATGCCCTGCCCATAGCACCATAGCAGCAGACCCCCATACTACCGTCCACCCCACCCAATATCTCCCCAACTGCGTCATCTCCAGCCGCCCACCCTTCTCTCTCTTGTCCCATTCAAAAGCGAGACCTACTACATTCCACCAAACCACCGGGTCACCTAGACACACTCTCAACGCTATCTGCGTATGGCTAGCAAATAGCAAGAGGGCCATAGTAAGGATATGAACCAGGTAGAGTTCTGGCAGAGGCCGGGCGGGTTTGGGTAGGGTTCTACCCGGGTTAGGGAAGATGGTGGAACGGAAGAAGGAACGGAGGAAGGTGGATGTGCCGAGGAATGACGAGTAGAGGATGGGGAGCGCGAGAGCGATGTTGGGGAGCTGGGCGAGAGTCCAGTATTTGAATGGCCCGACGTTCCTAAGTTGGATCAGTGGTTGTCGATGAGGAAGAAGAAGAACGTACCAGTAGAGAGACTGGACGAAGCTATAGGAAGAAGGAGGATCGTGGTGGCACCAGGGACGGGCGGTGTCGGCAGACATAGCTTCTGATGTACAGAACCCTACACTAGTATACCATTGGAACGCCACGAAGGGCGCAATGACGAGCAAATTTGACGGCATAGTCTTGGCTGTCCTAAGGGCAATGCCCTGGGAAGAGTGAGATCAGCCTGGGAACAGCTTTCAGACTCGAGAACCCTCACCTTCAAAAGACGCAAGTCACTGGGGTCATCAAGGGCTACAGATCCGCACACATAGTATGCAAAGATGAAGAGAGCATTGAAGACACCAGTGCTTCGGATGCTCGAAGCTCCCGCAAAGAACAGTGCGCTGATGAACATTTGCTCTTTGATAGCCAGCATATATATACCGGTGAATGTTAGCAGCGCATATAGCGGCTCGGTGTATGGTGATCCTAATATCGCTGTGGGAGGCAAGAGATACAGGAGGCAGGTGATGAAGGCATAAGTAGGGTCGAAGATGTGCGTTGAGAGTCTGTTGATCATTAGCGACAATCGTCGGTAGCCGTATGCTTACTTGTACAGCACCACAGTAGCTCCAATAATTGAGGCATTGGCGACGATGGTGCCGCCCAAGACGACATCTCCAATGTCCACGACGGCCGCGCCTCTGACCCATCTCATTACTTCACCAGCTGATCGCATGACTCCAAGCCATCCTGGCTGGAAAGCGACCTGCTGCTCATATTCGTACCCGCTGGAAGCTACAGATGCAAAGTGAATAGCATCCCACCGCAGCCCTGGCAATGGCGAGTGTTGCAGGAGTTCTGGGGAAGAGTCGAAGAGAGGGACGAGACGGGTGAAAAGATGGAGGATTGAGAGGTGGATGATCCGGGTCGCGAGGGCGACGAGGAACACCTGTGCCGTCGGAGAGCGAGCCGTAAAGTAGCTGAGGATGCTCATCGCATGGCTCCGAGTCACTCGTAAAGAAACCTCAAAGAAACGAAATGATAGCGATGAACGAATGCCTGGCCGGCGGGCATGGCGCCACGTGGAAAAAAACGCCGGGAATCGCCGCCTGCCTCCACCGGGCTGTTTCAAGGCGTGCAAGAGTCCTATTGTTCTTGCGACTGGTACCTGCCCCTGCCTGCCGCACCCCGTATGCCGTATGCCGTATGGCTGGACCCACTAATGCAAGGGGCGTCAGTCATCGCTTTTCTGTTAGCACAGACACACACACAGGCATGCCGCCCCCTGTCCGCCCCGCTTCGCACGCCACCCGGCCGCATGCAGCTATAAACCTCCCCGCTCGTGGCAATCCTGATCCCCCACCCATTTCTATTTTCTTTCTCATCATCACGAGCCAGCCTCACGTTTACCACTCCCTCTCCACACCTTGTCGCTGGACGGCCCCCTCACTCGACGAGCTTTACGAGACGCTCATATACAATCCTAGTAACCATTAGCATACACCCATCGCACCTTCAAAATGTCCCCCGCCGCCAACATCAAGCCTTTCTTGCCCTCATCTCGGCCTTCGGGTACTGTCTTCATTGTTCTGAACGTTCTGCGAGCGCTCAGCATGATCGCCCTCATACTTGTATTCGCTTCCAACATCACCACGATGGTCTCGTGAGTCCCTTTGCCCCTGATGCCAGTGAAACAAAAGCCGACATTGCTTCTAGCGATATCAAAGCCATAAAGAACCCCGCCACTGACGACGACGACTGTGACTACATCGAGTACTCGAGTGTACCCGACCAGACTGGAGGGGCTTTCTGGAGCATTCTCAATAGGATTTTCATCCGTGAGCCTCTCTAATCGTAGTGGCGAGTCAGAAGCTGATATCGATATAGTGTTCGAGTGCATCCTTCTTGTCATGTCCGAGATCGGTTGGCCTCGTCGCTTGTTCGAGTACTACATTCCTTCCCTCGGCCCTGCTTATGGCCTTGGCTGCCTTGGTGTCTTTCAAGCTTTGTATGTCCTCAACTCTACAATTTGCATTGCTGACCCTCCATAGGATCGGCGCTCAAGTGCTTTCGCACTACTGCGATCTCTTCCCTCAGGTCTCTAGCTGGATCCTCTTCATCGTCGGGTGCCTCAACATCCTTATTGTGAGTCGGCAAGTCCCGCTTCATGTTTCGTGAGCTGATGGGGGGCTTCTAGGGCATCTTCCTTCGTGAGAAGGCCAAGGAGAAGCGTCTCATATTCTCTTGGGAAAACGTCTCCTCCTTGTACGTGACATCCCCATACCCTATTCATACTCGCTAATGATACTCGCAGGACACCCCAAACTCGTATGGCCGCCACCGCCTGGGACATGGTCACTGAAAAGCGCAAGCCCTCCGCCAAAGACCCAGAAACCGACCTCGCCCGCCACAACACCACCGCCTCCGACACCCCTCTGCTCCCCAACCGAACAACGCCCGGCGCCAAATTTGGCGGTTTCGGTTTCGGCAAGCAAGGGGAGAAGGCTGCGGCTGAGAGGGGATGGAAGATCAGTCGGCCAACAGACGCTCTGCCTCGTGAGTGTCTCGCTTTTTGCCTCTCGTCCTTGCTCTGCTTCCGGCATTGTTTTGGCACGGGGGCAACTTTATCGCAGTCGCTGATAAGATGTGTCACATTTAGGTTATGCGATCTAGGTCGCTTTTCGAACGCCACATAGGGACCCAAGGGGGTGGCTTGATCCCGCAGCCGACAGTCCCTCTACCAGAGCTCTTCAACCGTTCGCTGGAATCACTAAAATCTAGACCAGGCCTCGTAATAATGGACCATCTGTCTATCTAATAGCAACTCATTGCCATGCACTGTCTGTAGATGTATTTGCTCCCGTGAGGCCATCCGGCTTCTGACAAGTTTGACGGACGTACTGGTTTGTAATGACGTGGGCATGCGCCAGTCCACTAACGGCAGCTTTCGATTGAGACTCGTCATTCTTCAGCTTTCAGCTCGGCAAGCATATGGGCGTAGAGCCGTAGCACGCCTCGTACGCCTCGTGCCTCGTGAATGCCAGTAAACTGAAAGAGGTTTTACGGTCAAAGGGGTTTGTTAACGCTCGATTAGGCATCAGCAGCACGCTACATCTTGCCGGCTTGGCATGCCCATGTCTCTTCGAGCGCCTCGAGGAAAGACATTAAACAGAGCTGCACAATGACCGCATCCGGCTCTGATAACCACCCGTTGCCTATTGCCTATCAACCATGTACACCCAAGCTTCTCGTTTGTTTACATGGTGTGGCTGAATCCCATGCACGGAAAATAAACATATCAACATTCCGGGGGGCGTTCGTGGAAGATGGACGGTTTGAGCGACAGGTACCGGATGCAGCTGATGAGAGAGAAAGGTAAAATTGAGAATGCTGAAAAAACGCCACATTCCCCGCGGCGTGCTTCAACGTGCCCCCCCATAACACGAGCAGTTTCCCACAACGCCACAAGAGCCCACAGGGCTACATTGTACATTGACCACCGACCATTGACCACCGACCATTGACCACCGACCATTGACCACCGACCATTGACCACCGACCATTGACAATGCGAGTGCCGGGCCGCGGAAATACAAGAACTTTCATAGAGGGCGAGTGCGACACAGGTCGTTCTGACAGCCGTCTCTGCGCTGAATCCGGCCAATTTCAACGATGACTGTACAACCTCTTGTTTGTGGCTTGACGCTCGTTGTTCGGCTCGAGGAATACATCCGAGCGGCCTATGACGCTTGGAAGATACCGATGGAGGACAGAACTTCGGCCAGGAAGACCAGCTTGCACGATGTACAGAGTCGATCAGAACAGGAGAAGCATCAATTTGCTCGATCAACTTTCTCGTGCTATAACGTTATCAGACTTGATCGCGAAGAACACTTGGTCGTCCGATGCGCAAGGTGACAATGCGCATGGTGCATGAATAGGCGATCCGCGATCAGCAAGATCAACGACGAGTTTGCCCCGATAGCCGGATTGGCCAGGCTTGTTCTCGTAATCCGGCAGAGTATTCCTGATAGAAAAGTCCGAGAGCCGGGTGTCCTGAACTATGTACGTAGCTCAATGCACTCGATGGAATTTTTCATTGATGAGGGATGGGGTTGTCGATGTCCAAATGCAGACGTAAGAGAGGAAAAGCCGAAGAGAGTTGCGCCGGCGCCAAGAACATGAGCTCCTTACGGAACCCTGGAATCTTCATCAACAAACGCGTCGAGAATGGTCGCGAATTACCGGATTGAGCGACGAATCCGCCAGGCACCAACGTTATTGCCTTTATCTCTGGCGGCCAGCGCCGCGCCCCTCAACGCCTCTTTCCTTTATTTTCGCTTTTGCCCCTTGATGCGATTATGCTCCTCGTTTTTGCCATCGGCTTGCTCACAAACCTTGTTGCAGCTGTCAAACCTTCGCTGTCATCCAAAATAACGTTGAAACTCCGGTTCCCACCATCCTCCCACTCACATCAATGGCTTCTTGACGAAAGAGGATATTCCTGCGAAATGACGCTCCGGCTGTCAGCAACCTAATCCCAGAACCAAAGGCGACGTCGATCTTCTTAGGCCCCAGATCAAGGGCAAGAACCTCCTGAGATAAGACAAACTGCCGTATACGGACACCTTCTCCCAATTAACTCAATTAACTCTCAATGGTAAGAAGGCTATCAATCCTCTCCTCTTGCGGCAGACGATGTCCTGGACTTGCCTCTTGCGTCGACATTTCCACCTCAGAGCTTCTTGGATTCATGGAGGACCTTGAATCCTCTTTGTGGGCCATCGAGGACTTTAGCTTCTCCTAAGAGCCCCCTGGTCTCACTCTGCCGATCTTCGACAGCCGTGCCCATGGCAGCTACTATATATGCTGCGGGTCCCTTCTTCAATTAAATCCCCACCCTTCATCTTCTATAATCTTCGCCAATCAGCAACAAGAGCCAGCCTCAACTCCCTTCACCTAGCCACCACCTTCCCTCTACGCCGGACGTAGCAACCCTCACACCCATCCACCTCAATAGTCTTCAGACCGCCCAGTCTTTTCACTTTCACCCCACCTTTTATTTTTGTTCGAGATGTCGTCCGAAACTGACGTTATCATTGTGAGTACTACCGCTGGATAGCTCGGACAGACACTGACGAGCTCGATAGATCCCTACCTTCCCTCCTTCTCCTCCCACTACCTCCTCTCGACAGATGTCTACTTCTCCCGAGTGGTTCACCACCCCGGTCAAGGCCGCCTACAAGCCTTCTCCACTCTCCATCTCCATCCCCCTCAACAACTTTGCCTCTTACGGTCCTCGAGCTGCTCGTCGCTCCAGCTCTGACGACGAGACTCTGTCCGAGGTCCCCAGCACTCCTCCTCTCTCCCCCGCCAGCACCATCGGCTCCTTCGACATGTGCCGCAAGGACTCCAACATGTCTTCCTGCTCCAGCGGCTCTGACGGTGACTGCGACGAGGTCCTCGTCACCCCTGCCCCTCGACCTTCCACCCCTCGACGCACCTCTGGTTACTTTGACCTCGAGGCTCCTTCTCGCAAGAGCAAGAAGACCCAGCGCAAGCTCCCCGGTGTGCCCGTCACTGGTTTGATCGAGCCCATGTGGCGCATGGAGGAGCAGATGGCCAAGAAGAAGACTTCTCCCCCCGCCACTGCGAAGCTTTTGGAACCTTTCAAGATGACCCTTCCCACTCAGGTATGTTACTCCACTCTCATCGCTTGTGCACCGTGCTGACAACGATAGGCTGGGCCCGAACCCAAGTACACTCTTGATGAGCACTCTTTCGTCCTGGCCCACGTCCCCGCCAAGTCTGTCTCCCTCTCCGCCTTCAGGCCCCGCATGATCCGAGTGCCCAGGTGGCAGCGACCCATCGTCATCGTCGTCATGTCTGTCCTCCTCTTCGGTACTCTCTGCATGGTGTCCTTCTTCCAGCAGTCTATCGTCAGCGCTGAGCGCGCGATCGCCATCAAGCAGGGCGAGTGGCTCGCCAAGAACGCCGCCATGGCTCAGGCCGAGTCTGACGTGAGTCTTCCTTCTCTCTGTTCTCGAGCTATCACTGACGCCTTTTACAGCTCATGGTCGAGTCTGAACCTGGCTACAAGTCCGCCTCCCCCAAGCACCACTCCCTCAAGGTCCAGGCCAAGCTCGCCAAGCGCGCTGCTGCCGGCCAGTCCCCCATGCGCGTCTCTCTCGAGATGACCAAGGCTGAGGAGCTCGCGGCTCTGATGAACTTTATCGTCGGCACCACCGCCAACACCCTCCCCGAGATCGACCTGGAAGACTCCACCTCTCTCGAGGGCTTCCTCCCCTTCAACCCCCGATCTCCTAACGCCAAAGCCGAACTTGCCGAACTCGTCCGCTCCCAGTGGGAAGACTACCCCATCATGGTCCTCGGCAACATGCGAGACCCCAAGATGCGCGAGGCTCGAGCTCTTTTCAAAAAGTACAACGTCAAGCCCTCCCCCTTCTACGTCGACATTGACCAACGCACCGACTCTTCCGTCCTCTCTTCTACTCTTGAGCACGTTCTCGGCAAGCAGGAGGGCCCTTACGTTCTCCTTGCTGGCAAGAACATCGGTACCACCACCAAGCTCGTCGAACACGAGAAGAAGGAGACTCTTATCGAGACTATTGCCAAGACTGGTGCTAGCATCGCAAAGAGGCTCAAGAGGAACAAGCACCAGAGGGAGGAGGAGCGAAGGGAGAACGAGAGGGTCCTCGGTCCCAAGCCCGTTCTCATGGCTTAGGTTGTGTAATGTCGTTTTTCTCTGGTTGGGATCTTCACTGGGACTTTTCCCGACTTGTATTTTCTAGACTTCTGTATTGGGTCATGGCACAGCTGCCTTTTTCTTTCTCATCCGGCCACTTGGGGTCTTCGCTATAATAGATGCTGATATGCACACTCTACTTCACTCTTTACCATCTGCTGCATTTGTTCATGGCACAAAGACAAGCGACGTACTCTTCTGATTCGAATCTCGGAACCCACAAATCTCGGCAAAGAACGTACACAAGAAGACCGAGAAGAAGCGAGGAGATCGAAAGGTACGACGGAACAGAATTCTGCTTGCTTACACCGCGCGGATCCAGAAGAAGCTCTGCATGCTGTCTTCGTCGATCACTAATAGGAAGCTGGAAGATGGTATGTCCCATGACTGTCCATAGCGATGGCCGGGATGTGCTCTGAGAGGTCGCGGTCACTGGTCACCTGGTCCTGATGGCGAGATGGGGCATTTGGCTCAAGCCTCGCAAGCCACCGTACATGAATGGGCTTTGTCTGGATTCTGAGATGCGCACGTTGAGTGATGTTCATCAACATCCCCATGCGCTGACTGATGACCCCATGAGGTCTAGCCTCCATGCTATGGGCCACTTAGCGGGCATTAGCCCTGCAATCCCCTTAACACGCCACCCCCGTGTTGGCCGCGAAAGGCAAGGACAAAAGGCAAAACTGTTTCTGGTGCGTGCCTTGTGGGGAAGGCGCGTCGGGCCGGCTGATCGGCTGATTGACGTGTGTGGGGCCGAATGCTCGCAGCGACACAAAATATTCATCTTGGACCCATTTCCATCTCCATCTTCCATCTGCATCTCTACAATCCCACCATGTCCTTCTGCCGCTCCTCCCTCAACCTCGCAAGGACCGCCGCCCCCAGGCGCACCGCCTTCGCTGCCACAGCCACCCCCCTCCGCGCCTTCTCCAGGTCCGCCCTTGTCATGAACAAGAAGCCTGGAGACGACGGCTACGAGGAGCACAGAGAGCAGGTCGAGCCTAGGATCGCCCATGTCGACGAGTCCTTCACCTTTGAGCACCCGGACGTGAGTCCACTTTCATCTCCCACACTGTCCTTTCCGGGTCCACCTGACTGCCACGTCTCCCTCCTTTGTCGCTCGGCAACCCTCCTGCCCATCCCTCCTGACTCTCAATTCATTACCTGACTCTCTGCTGACACTCATGTACAGCAATTCGTCGACAAGCACCCCGGCCACGACATGCAGCAGGGTGACTATGGGCGTCACACCAAGCGTACCCTCGCCTCCTTCTCCATGGAGGGCAAGGTCTGCCTCGTCACTGGTGCCGCCCGTGGTCTCGGCAACATGATGGCCAGGACTTTTGTCGAATCGTGAGTGACGTCTCTCCCACTGGCTGTTTCTCCGTGTGGTGCGGGGTGGTGGACAGGTGCACGTTTTCGGGCGGGGAACGCCGTAATCCGTCGGAGGCTGCGCTTCGGGATTACATCATTGAAACGATATGCTTGGTTACTATCCTTGACGTCTTTTTTTCGAGAGATTGCCGCGGGTTTCGCTCTGCCTTGCGAGCAGGGTATCTTGGACTGTGCCCTGTGAAACGATATGCTATGAGCTTCGGCTAACCATTTCATCATAGTGGCGCCAATGCTATCGTTCTCGTCGACATTAATGAGGCCGAGGCCCAACGCTCTGCCGAGGAGCTTGAAGCGTGGTTCGGTAAGTCTTGCCTCGTCTACGTCACTCTGCCCATGCCCCGCATGATAAGGACCTCCCGCTGACGTCCGTTCACAGTCGAGAACGGCCAGGCCAAGCCCAACGAGATTCAATCCGTCGGTCTCGGCTGCGATGTCTCCAACGAAAACGACGTCAAGAGGGTCTTTGCCGCTGTCAAGGAGCGATTCGGCCGCCTCGATGCTGTCGTCACTGCCGCTGGTATTGTCGAGAACTTTGTCGCCCACGAGTACCCCACCGAAAAGATCAAGAAGCTTTTGGACATCAATGTGATGGGCACTTGGTACTGCGCTTTGGAGGCTGCCAAGTTGATGCCTGAGGGCGGTTCCATCACCCTTGTTGGCTCTATGTCTGGTAGCGTGAGTAGCGTTTAGTGTATCATTTGGAATCAGGACTGACGAGATTGTCTTAGATTGTCAACGTTCCCCAGCCTCAGACCCCTTACAACTTCTCCAAGGCCGCTGTGCAGCACATGGCCCGATCCCTCGCTGTCGAGTGGGCCCTCAAGGGTATCCGGTACGTCTCCGATCCCTTCTCACTTTATCGCGCTGACTCTTTTCGCGCAGAGTCAACTCTCTCTCCCCCGGTTACGTCCTCACCAACTTGACCAAGGTCATCCTCGACGCCAACCCCGTCCTCCGAGACGAATGGCTCCACCGTATCCCCGTTGGCCGCATGGCTGACCCCTCCGACCTGAAGGGTGCCGTCATCTACCTTGCTTCCGACAGCTCCAAGTACACCACTGGTACCGACATGGTCATCGACGGTGGTTACACTTGTTTGTAAGCTAAGAGTTGGAAGAAGGAAAGGGAAAAGAAGGGCAGACGAATGGGTGTTGGGGGTGGGGAGTGTAAGATCAAGCCAAAGGCTGTATATAATTTGACGAAGGCAAGAAATAGATTTCACAATAAGCAAAACACAACAAGCATTCATGCAATTACATTCAAAATGATGCTTTGCGATGCGTCTACTTCTACGTTACATGTGCTTCTATAGTTGAATAGTGATGCTCCTTGATTTTCCAGTTGCTCCTTCAAGGCTTGATACCCCAAAGATCCTCCAGCCTCCACTTCCCCCTTCCCTCCTCTGTCAACAAGTTCAAACATATTCTAGTTCCGTTGACAGAGATGATACTCCAATCCGCATCCGGGTCTATACGGGGTGTCTTTGGGTTCTCGATAGTTATCGGCTCCACATGCGACGCCAGAGGGTGCTTCATCAACTATGCAAACGTCAGCTGTCGGATCCTGAGCAAAAAGGAAGGAAGAACAAACCCATCGCCTCACAACCCCATCAGCCCTCCTGACCACCCCCCGTCCCCGCCCCTTGACCTGCACAACCCCAACCCACTCCCACGCCGGCCCCGACCCTTCCTCCGCATCGATCAAGTCTCCATCCTCTGGTAGCTTGACATCTTTCCCCTTCTTCCTAAAGTATGCTTCCCTATTCTTCGATCCGCTCGGGCGCCTTGTTTCGCGGGGGAAAGAAGATGCTGGAGCGGGTTCGAGGTCGAGGGCGCCTGGGGCGGCGGGGGTGCCGGCGATACCGCTCAGTTTGACAGCGCCCCCGACGTCGCCGAGCCCGTCTTCGAGGCCGTCAACTTCGAGGCCTATGGGCAGCTCGGCAGCTTCAAGAGCGGCGACAGCTTCGCGGGTATCAAAGAACTGCAATGTCTCTGGCAAGATGACCTCGGAAGCTTCCGAAGGAGCTTGTTCCGTGAGGAAAGCGTGGAATGCTTGGACGGCTGCTGGGGCTGTGGGGGGTAGAGGGTGGATGGGAATTTGGTTGTTGGGTTTTTGAGAGGGGGAGGGGGTTTTGTTTTGGAGGAACCATGTTTGGATCTTGGGCTGATCGGATTTGGATGATCCTTCGGTAGAGGTGGTGGAGCTGGCGTTGAAGAGGGGGGTGGTGGTGGTCAAGCATCGCCTGGGAATGGCCGATATAGTCCTTGTGGGTCTGATTGTCCTGGCGAGGAGCGACATACTGGGGATAGTATAGTAGAATGGGAATATAGTTGTGCGAGATGTTGGCGAGATGAAATGCAGAGAAGAGTGGAGGAGAGAAAGTGGAGGCATTTCTACTCATGTCTGACATTTCCATCCATCCCTGCTCCCCATATACATCTTGCTCAAAATGCTCGCACAGACATCCACTCCCCCCCAGTCCATCTCCCCGGAACAGCACGCCCAGCTCACCTCCTCCACCCCTGCAAGCTTCACCGACATACCCCCAGTGCTCAGGTGGGAGGACGATGCCGAAGTCGAGCTTTCTTCTCTGAGCGGTGGATGGGAGGCGTGGGGGTCACAGGGTACCAAGGTTGGAGGAAGGCTTTATGTGACGGAAGAGTGAGTGCCGCAGTCTCGATTGATTGTCAGAAGCAATCTGACAGTGTCTGCAGGTCTGTCGCATTCATCCCCTCTGCCTCTGCTACCCCAGGCTTCAACCTCCCTTACGTCTCCCTCACCCTCCACGCCCTGACTCCAGCAAGTGCCAACGGACCTGCGCACTTGTATTGCCAAGTAGACGAGTCAGACGCTCCCGCGAGCGACGCCATTCAGGTGGATGCTCCTGTCAACGGAAATGGGGCTGTCAACGGGGAAGCAGAGGATGAAGATGAGGATGAAGGAGTGGAAGGCGAGGAAGAGTTTACGGAGATGAGGGAAGTCAGAATATATCTGCCGGATGCTTCCAAGCGTATGTCACTGCACTTTACCTTTAGACATCTGCTCATCCAACTATAATAGTCGAACCCCTCTTCGCAGCCCTCTCCCAATGCTCAGCTCTCCACGCATCCCTCCTCCCCAACGGCGAGCCTTCCAACTTTTTCGGCTTTGGCGCTGATGACTCTGACGACGAGGGCGAGGACGGGCAGTGGGATGATGCAGACGAGGAGGGACAGGATGAAACTGGGAGGGTGAGGAGCGATTTCCATAGTGGCGGAGGACCTGGCGCGAGGTTCAGGCCATATTAAATGAAGGGATGGAAGGCTGATCATATGTACTTTTCTTGCCGATTCACGCTCGCCTCATTGCCGCCACCACCTTCACGCCATTTTCCACAATCAGATTGACAAGAGGATCAAGGTCGCAACAGCTGAGAAGGTCGAGGACAAGAAGGCGGGGGATGAAGAAGGAGAAGTGGTGGATCAGATGGAGCGGTTCTTGAATATGGTGGATTGGGGAAATGTGGAAAAGCCCAAGGGCTGGGATGAGGCTGCTTGATGGTTTGTCTTACGACTGTCCTACTCGGGGAATACAACTGACCGGTTCTGCAGATATTTGTAACGCCATGTACAGATTGCAAGACTATCAATTGACCTGTCTACATCTAACCTTCCACACTCTTCATCCATCAACGGAAAATCTATCATTACCAACCTCCACGCAGATCCGCAGCGCAACTCCCACCAGCAACATCCTCCTCCAACCGCCTCCTTCGCTCTCGCTCTCCCGCAGCCAACGTCGCATCCAGCGATACCCTCTGCGGCACGAGCATCGTCAGCCGAGAGATTGTATCCGGTCCACTGGTCGCACATGTCACATCGTGGAAGTCGTCGCTTGCGTCAGGTCTTGTGACTGGGACTTGGTAAGGAGTGTACGTCGCTCGGGTGGTATGGACTTGGCGCAGGCCGTCTTCATCGACGCGGGTTAAGGTGATATTGTCCGAGATCTGGAATCGACCGTTCTCCTGCTCGAGGTCATAGTCGTTCAACCTGTGACCGTCGGCTACAACGAGGGTCCCCGACCCCAGACCTTCGAGCGCCAACCCGTCAATATCATCCAAAAGAGGCTTGAGTACTGGCATATCTGTCATGATTTCGAGATTTTCCTGCGTGACGTACACCGAGTCGACAGCTTTGATCCATGACCCTTGTTGAGCTTCCTCTCTCGCGGCGCGTTCGGATGGGGTGAGCTGACTGTAGAAACATGTCACATCTGTGGGGATGGTATATTTCTCGGGAGGAAGAGCAAGGACAATGTCGGACTGAACAGTGTAGGGATATTCGCCTTGCTCACTGCCCTCATCCAAACTAGGCAGCTTGAAATCGATCACGGACATGCCATTCCTCTCTTCGTATACTGGGAACTGACCATTGACCGACGACATGGGCGGCATAGGGTCTTCCAGGACGAGTCTGACTCTCCGATTGTCGTGGGACATACGACTTCCGGCTATGGACCATCTCATAAAGTCATCGCCGTCAGTTTCTGGCTCGTCCAGTAACGGCTGGAAGCTTTGGGTGTGGTAGGTGAGTTGAAATTTGTCAGTTTTGACAATGTCCGCATTGAGGGTGATCTCTTGAAAGATGCCCGGGATGTCTTCTGGGTTGATCCTCTCCCCGAGACCTTGCTCCACTTCGGTGATTGCCGACATATAATAGTACCTCTAATATCGGGCTATCTTGATTCTGACGAGGTGCAATAGATGCCCGGAATCGATCCATTTTATATGTGGCATTTGGTCAAGGACTGTCACTCCTTACATGCATAATTGACAGTAGTGCGACATCCGCACGCATGCAGGGCGACTTCCCTCCGGCAGTCCTTTCTTCTTCTTCACAATCACCGAAGCGCCGCTGAGTGCCTCGTCGAGGTGCGTGCAAGGAGATTTGTAAGACCGACAGTGGACACAGGAGCGACATACATCCGATATCGTGCTACCGAGTGCTACTTGTCGCTATCAGCTGCTGGCTAACACTCCCTTTAGGGTAGCTGATACCAGACTGGAGATACATCGGTATGTGAATGTATCTGTCCAGATGCATCAGGCCTTCTGTCGTCACTGTTGTTGCGGCCCCTTTCCGCTGTAGGCAAGGGTGTTGAGGGTTGATCGCTTCTCACCGCTTCTACCGTTAACTGTTCCTTACGAACCCACAATCCTTTGAAAGCAGCATGCCCTGACATGTAACGCAGACACAGTATCGAAGTATGCATGCCCGGCGTGGAGCTTGCTGTTGGAGGGATGCAGAAGTGGCTGACGAGAATGGCCAGGTGATAAAGGCTAAGGCACGCTTCTGGTAGTTCCGGCAACCCGCCGGGGCGTGTTTACAAGTCGTCCTCGTTTTAAATCAATCTTCATCTCCTCTTTCAATTCTTTCTTTCTCCACGCCACCATGCCCCTCCACCTCCCCAAGATCATCCACAGGCGCAGCCACTCCGGCACAGAAAGCCCTTTCATTAACAACTCCCGCTCCTCCTCAGACGACTCTCAGCCTTTACCGGGCACATCCCCATCAGCCTCCTTGCAGAGTGCTGGCTCCCCCGTCCTCGCCTCTCGTTCGCCGAGGCCAGTGAGCTTCATGGAGCAAAGCCGTAGGGAGTCTGCCCAGTCCGGCTCGCAACTGCATGGGATACTCAAAAACGGCGCCCCATCTGGGAACGGGAGCGACAGCGCTTCTGGAAACGGGTCCTCAGGCGGATCAGCGCTGGCAAGCTTGCACAAGCGCATGAGTTCGTTGACCTTCAACAGAACCGACACTATCGAGACCATGTTCTCTCTTGACGGAGACACCGACCGAGATGAAAACCCTCGGAGAGACTCTACGGACCCCTCGTCTCCCTCCACTGCCGCCACCTCAGTTTCTTCCCTATCTCAGTTCTGCCCGCTACCCGATACGCAGGGCAAAGGCTTTCCATTCTTCATGATGACACTCTCATCAGTATCCACACTCTCCTTCGTCGCTTTACCGCCACTACTGCGGACCATTGTCCTAGATGCGGTGAATCGCGCCTGGAAGCGAGGTGTCAGCAAGATCCAAGAGGTAGACTATCAACCGGAGTTGATGAGGAGGCACAAGGAGAAGGGATGCGAGGGCGGGGTCTGGGAGGTGACGTTTAGGGGGGAGGCTTGGATGCCCACGAGCTCGGAGAAGGTCTCGTAAGTCCGCCCCATCCCGCGGGCGAGCCTCAACTCGCTCCCATTGAATCAACTCGCTGACCAATCATCAGCTCGAAACGGATTATCCTCAACCTGCTCACAGAGTTTGCTCGCCAAGGCTACAGCCTCACCTCCTCCTTCCGTACCTCTGCCAAAGACTCGGGCAAAGACAGTCTCGTCTTTTTGCGCTCGCCGGCGCCCCCCGACCCAGAACCTGTATTCTTTGCGGTAGCGTTCTACTCGCATGACAGGATCTGGATTATCGATGCAGAGGCGGAAGTGGGTCAAGCGGTGGAGGAGGGTATCAAGAGCTGGTGGATAGACGGCGTCCGGGACGCAAGGGTGAGAGAAAGACATTGCAGAGAGTTGAGGCTGCGCGGAGCTCCCTGTAAGTCTGGCAATCCAAGTAGGGACCTTCATTAGCTGACCATGGTTGTCTCTAGGGTCGGCGCACTCTACTCAAGGGCTCATTTCATCCCGAGTCATCCACTTGACCATCATGAAGATCATTACTCAGCGCGCCATGGGATACGATTTCGTTGGAAGTGTTGATATGGCGGATAAGGAGGAGGCTGAGATGCCTGTGACGTTCTATCGGAGAAGGTGGGGGCCATCGACCAGAGCAGTGTGGGGCGAGGTACCAGAGGAGACCACTGGATAGGGGCCTCAGATTTGATAACCTGATATGTTGAGGGCTTGGCGCTCTAATCTCAAAACTCAATCCGTCCCCCGAGTTGTTGCGGTATCTGTACTTACTTTGCTATTTGTACTCCAAGCCCATGTTTCTGGCTAAGTCCAGATCTGCATGCACCACAGAAGTTACAGATTGTCAAGGCCGACAGCATCACGAGAACAGATTCCATCGCTGCGTCATGAAATATAGTCCAAATATATAACGTAATAGATGCAGAAGACAAAGGTGCGATGCCCAAGCTCAATGATGCAATGATGCTTTTCTACGGATATGCCAGGAAGGATAGAGAAAAGGTAATGAGATAAAAATGAGAAAGAAATATAGCTGATAATAACGATACAAGTATGTGGGCATAACCCAATAACAGATGACCTCCATCTCTCTAGTCTTCTTACAAATCATCAGGCTCTTCCGTGACCTGGCTGAACGATGCCTCAAATGGATCATTCTCCTTCTTCATTCTCACCCCACCATCACTAGATTCGTCCTCGTCTTTGGACTTTGGAGAGCGCGCCGGCCACTCGTACTGCGAGAGACGCGGCGTCTCCTCGTTTGAATCTTCCGGCATGGACCACATGGTATCCGCGCTGCTACTCATCGAGTATGACGACGAAAGAGAAGATTGGCTCGACTTGGAGGCCGAGAGATCTTCCGTTGGACGGCGAATATTGATGGTAGGCCCTTGTCTGGCTGACATGGGGGGCGAATTGCTCCTAGGATCTGGAGTCGCTGTAGCAGAGACTGGCGCCATCCGCGAACCAGGACTCTTCGAGTCGGAAATGGGGTTGTTGTAAGACGCCGTTGGCGATACGTAATCGCCCGGCCTCGATGCTCGATCCACCTCATGGTTCTCGGGTTTACCGGCAGGGTGTAGCCCCTCGGCCCCTTTGCCTTTCTCAAGCCTTTCCACCTCAACCTTCATCACGAGATTCCTCACGTCCGCAGACTCATCCATTGACAGACCCTTGGCCAATTGTTTGATGATATCGGGTATTTCGGAACCTGACTCGTAGTATGCTCCAACGTTGAATAGATCGGCGATGTCTCGGGCAAGACCAAGACGCACATCGACGACATCTTTGGCCAGGCGAGGAAGCTCTGGGAGGAAGAACTCTTCAAAGGCGGCTTGATTGGGCGGAGGTTTGCAAAATTGCCCCAGGCAACGGACAAACGTCAGACGTTGTCTGTAAGAGGGAGAGGACCCCAGGTCCAGTAGAATGTGACGGAATTTCTCAGCTGATTGCGAGTGGACCTCGACGTTGAGAACTTGATAGGCTGCAGGAATCTATTTTGTAGTGTCAGCAAAAAAAAACTCGGTAGTGAGATGATCAATGACTGACACCAAGTGTTGCGGCATCCCTCACCGCAGCGAAAGGATCCAAAAACGCGCTTCTCATCATTTCCAACACTTCACCAATCCCATTCCAATATTGGAAAGTCTTCAGAAAACTGGGAAGATGGAGAGCTAGCTTCTCCCTGGCTCGCCATCCACCCAAAGTCTCATCTTTCCAAGCCTGAGCCAGATTTCGGAATAACTCCCAGCCATACTCGATTGGAACCGCACCAACGATGCTGTCAACGTGTTCAAATACCCGCTCGCGGATATCTTCCCCACAAGCAAGGAGGACGGTGTAGACCGGTAGGATATCTTGAACGACCTGGGTAGGGGTGAGGATTTTGGCAAGCTCGTGCAGAAATGCCGCCACGATACGCAAGACTCTGTCTCCCGCGCGATCAACCAATCGGTGGAAAAGGTCTCTTATTTCGTGCCATCCGTCGGAACCGAGTGTCAGACAGACGCCCGGGAACTGCGTATGTCAGTATCGATTCGGATACACAAGGGGTAAAGCTCACATTGAACATGGTGATAAGGTCCCACTCCGCTTCGTGGTCATCTCGTGCGACCTCTGAATCATCCCTGTAGATATCCAACAATGCCCTCGGCGGTCCCCTAGAGTCCTCGTGAAAGATGTAAATGACTTCGCCCAGCATCTCTAGGGCAGCCACTCGTACATAGGCATCTTGGCCGCCTGAGCCAGGAGCAAAGTACGAGTCAGGCGCGACTCCAGTGTTGGTCAAGGTCTCCATGGCTTTCACTGCAAACGAGCGGCGGTCGTCTATAGATTCGATACGCTTGCACAGAGGTGGGATAACACGGCAAACAGATTGTCTGACGTAATCATTCTCGTCTCCGCAGAAATGCTCAAAGAGTGTTATCTGCAACGATCAGCTGTCGTCACATCCAATAGCAGAGTGGTGCTCACCATTTGAGAGACCTGCTCAGCGGGCACCTTCTTGACCAGAAAACTCATCGCCTCTGCGGCTTCTGCTCTCACAGTAGCATCTCCATCCCAGCTCCTGAGCACCTCATCAACGAACTGATGCCTGACCACCTCCGCCTCCTCATAGAACTCGCACACTTGGCCGATAAGATTGACACTGGTGGCTCGGCCAGTGGTGGCTTCGTGCAAAAGCTGCGCTTCGAATGCTTCTGGGTCGGGTGGATTCAAGTCTCCTTCTTCAGAAGACTGGGTAAAGTCGAAGTCTGCAGGCATTTCAGTCGAAAGTTGGCCCATGCCAATGATGATACCGCTGAGCAGTTCTCTCTCAACCATCGCCTTTTCTTCTCGAGTGAAAGGTCGGAGATCGTGCTGATGAGGCCCAGTCTGAGTTTGAAAAGTCCGACGTTCGTCGGCTTCCTCGGCTAAAGCCGCTTGGCCCCACGTTTCCACTGTTAGATCACCGCCCTGCTCGCCCTTCCCCTTCAACCTCGAGAGAAGCGCAACAACTCCAGAGCGAACAGCCGTGGGGATCTCGAAATCTTTATCGGCTGGATCAGCTGATAGTAGTAAAGACCCTATAAGAGGCGTGAAAAAGCCGACCTGGAGCGCAGGTCGATCGACCAGCACACCCAGCTCATCCTTGCTCACGCCTGAGTCGTCTTCCGCGTAAGGCTTGATTATGGGCCCTGGGCTATAGGCCGTCTCTTCAGACAATGTGGATCCAGGTGTGCCGAATTCTTCCTCACTCGAAGAGGGGGTGCCGGCTTGAGGCTGTTTATCTGAGCCTTGGCTGGAGGGCCCAGCACTGGCATTAACTGCAATCGAGCCCGACGCTTGTCGGCTAGGGGGTTTAGGCTCGACAACGACAGCCTCTTTAGCGGCTTCGGCAGGGGTCGGCGTGGGGACGACAGAGACACCCTCGGAAGTGACCGTTACCGTTTCTTTACGAGGTGGTGAGGTAGGCACAGAGATGGGATGCGGTGAGGCTACTGATGCGGGGCAAGGCTTGGCAGGAGATGCGCTATCATACCCTGCGGCCCAATCCTCTTCCGCGTAATCGGCTTCCTGTCCATAGCCTTCCGCATCGACTTCTTCCTCTACCAGGCGGCATGTGGAATAGAAATACCACAAGATTCGATGCAGCTCTTCTGCGAAAGCCATCCTCACACTCAAATCTTCGTCCATCGAGAACCCACTCAACAAGGGCAGCACATACTCGACGCTCTCACAGGGATCAACCTCGTTCAGTAGATCCCCGAGAACGCGAGCCACATATGCGCGGTGAAAGGAATATTCAGACTTTGACAAGAGGAAGATACGCTCAAGCGTATTAAGGCCTTCGTCGTCAAATGTAACGTCCATTTGTGGAATATCTTCGGCTGAGGGAAGGACATCTCCTTCATCCATCAAGGAGACATCACCGACATGGTCTGGTTCCATTGGTTCGCCGGGCCATTGATCAAAGGGGTTCTTCTCTTGGGCGTAGATCTCCTCTTCCTGTTTTTGCTCTGGATGCTCCTCAATTGTTCCTTCTCCTATTGCTTGCTCCAGCTTTTCCTTCCCTTCCTGATCCTTCCTTCTCTCCAGCTCCGCCCTCTCTTGCAGGTTCATTGTGATGGGACTCTCCACGACGCCCTCGAACCCTTCATTTCCCTGTGGCACCTGAAGCATAGGCAGCACCGTGGGTGACCGCCGAGGCGACTTCCGCTTTTGTGCCAGCCCCTCAGATTCTTTTCCTAACGACGTCGAGCCCCCAGCTGCAGGCAGAGGCGATGTGTCCATCCCTGGGGACAGTAACTCCGATGTAAGGCGCCTGACCTTTTCGGTCACGCCTTCGGTCGTATCGCTCGAAGCACGCTGCAAAACAGGCGGACCGCTTCCGCCTAGCGTACCGGCACCTCGTCGGAGCTTCCTGCCATCATCAAAATCGCTGATAGCACGCCGCAGGACGGCAGGACGGGCGAGGGGAAGGAATAGGGGAGGTGAGGGAGAGCGAGGGTGGACGGGAGACGCGTGGACAGATTGATCGATAGGCGGGATATGAGGTGCGATAGATGGCGGCAGGGCGATGGGCGGAAGGGAAGATGATTCTTGACCACTCCCAGATATATCGTTCATTTTTGGCCGTTCAATAGGCGGGGACCCCATCGGGGCCACTCTCGGGCTGTTTCGCGGGCTGCTTCGCGGTGACGGTCTAGGGGAAAGGTTGAAATGCAAGGGATGTGATGAATGTGCGAGGTGGGCGAGAGGGGAAGGTGCACGAGCTTGCGATTCAACAGGGAGGCTGAGGCTGGACGCATTGCGTACCGAGGAAAGAGAGTGACCTCTTGTTCGACCCTTGTTTGCAGGAGCTGCAAGTGTCGAAGCAGAAATTTGTGGAGCTGCAGTTTGAGGTGTGGTAGACCCCGACGCAGAGGGTGTATTTGACGATGAGGTCGATAGCGACCTCCCATGTCTGCTCGTTGACGATGAGGCAATAGGTACGGGCCCAGTCGATGGATTTGGCGCGTGCAAAGGCGCCGCCTCCCCACTTGATATTGATCGTCTTCTCCGACGGTCACCCTTCAGCTCCTCCCCAGATACTCCGAACGTAGGCGAAACGAGACCCTCATTCAATCTCGGCGACCACCGTGAGGAACTGCCTGAACCTTGGCCACCCATGAATCGCGTAGGAGACGTTGTGTTATCTTGTGAACTGCGATGATACGCATCGTGACTTGGGGAGGAGGGCCGTCGGCCGGCGCTTGACACTGTACTGTTTGATACGACGGAGGGAGAGAACGATGGAGTGACAAAGGGCGAAACCGGAGCGGTTGGGAAGCGTGAAGGACCAGCATCGGAGGAGGGCGCCAAGGTGCTATTGCGATGGCGTACAACGACTGCTGCCGGCCACTGAAGAGGATGAGCGATGTACAGACATACCTCAAGCTCTTAAAACTCACCACACTATCCCAGGCATGCTCAGCGGGCATCTCTGCATCTCCTTCCAATCGCGCAAGCACTCCAGAGCTCAGCCGCCGCTGCGTCGGCCGCTCCTGATTCCCTTCATAACTGTCCTCGGCACTTTCATCAAACACGGACTCATTGGCTATCCCCGGATCAGTGTTTGAGGAGCTCTGTCTTGTAGCCATTCCAGGCTCCAGAATGGATGCTGACCCAGCGCGACTCCGACTAAAAGACGGTGTTGTCACGGTCGAAGCCTCTGATACCAGCCGCTCGCGCATCTCCTGCAAATGGTCGCCCCCTTCTGTTGACGAGAGGGAGCTTGTCCCAGAGCCCGGTGTAGGAACACTCTCGCTGGATATCCGTCTTATTGATGGGGATGTTGGGCGGAGGGGGGAGTATTCAATATTGGGAAGAAAGAAGGAGCCGATTGCAGCACCGCTGCTCGAGCCCGAATTAAACCGAGAAGGGCTGCCGCCGGGAACCGGAGGTGAAGCGATGGTCTCTGCGGGAGAGTCGTATGGGAACTCTACTGGCGGATTGAAGTCGGGTGGTGGAGGGGGTGGCGAAAGTTGCGAAGCAAAGTCATCCGAGCCCAGTGACGCTGATAGGGGACAGTCAGCGTGAATCAGCAAGAGTCGACGAGACCACGGAGACTCACACTTCGGGCTCGCTTGGCTCACTCTGTCGCCACTGCCTGACGTCCGCTCTGCCATCACAGACTACCAGTGAGGATGCACTGTGGGCTGCGAGGCGAGTGGCAAGGAGAGGGGGCGAGAGATTTTATCCGCGCCCGTGAAGGAGTGGGAGTGGGCGGGGGCTGAAAGTATGTGGATGTGGCTGGGAGGCAGGCGCGTGCGATGGGGCCGGCGTTGGAGGCGGGATGTTGGAAACTTGAGGATGGAAATGCGAAATGAACGATGGAAAGTCGGGGAAAGGGTCGATCGATGGAATGGAAGCTGAGTTACTCCGACACCACTTAATTATTAAACAACTCCCGCCGCAGATATTGTCACGCTTCCAATGCATGCACAATCTTCATTCTCGTGCCCATCCTTATGAAGTATGGATCGGTATGTAGAAATACTGGTGCATGTCCACGACGATCGGCGTGCAGCAGAAGATCAAGCTTGCTCGTGGAGCGCACCACGGCGGGTCAGTCGTTTTATTGACCCGGGTCGCGAAGTCTTTTCCTTTCGTCTCTTCCTGCATCACTCCAATGTACCTTTGTGCCCCCACTCCAACCTCGCCGAGGCCTAGCAGTCCCCCATATGGTCCTGAAAGTCATCTAGAAGGGCAAGAGTCGTCGCGGCAGTAGACAATGAGCTCGTCCGAGTCCCTTGCGCCGCAAAGTCCCAGCCCCTTTCGAAGAAATCTCATAGCTTTGAGAGGGACAGGGCGGGGAGGGTTCTTTGTTGCTGGGCGGTGACAGTTTGCGGCTCGCGTGCGACCCTGTTGGAGCCCGTCAAACAGGCTTCGAAGAAGATTGAGGGAAACAGAAGGGATCCCGAATCGACTGAATCTAGACCTTTCTCTTTCGTCATGTTGAGTCGCAGGCGGGGGCGGGGCTCGCAATGGAGCTTGCGAATGCGGGATAGATATCCCATTCGTTATTTGTACGGTAGTCTTTCTCTTTGTATGCCCAACGCTCATTGCATGTAACAACACACACGTACTTGTGCGTGACACATCTACGACGCAGGCTCTGCAGGTCGGTACTACCACTACTAACCGCTGGACTCTCTTCTCGTACGCATGGGAGCGTCATCGCATCATCTCAAGGCATTTTTGTAAATTTCACATGGCCGGCCTGCATACACAGATCAGCAGGGACAAAGCGAGGCTACACAAATTCCAACTCACAGACTTCATACCATAGCTTTCAGGCTTGCCGCCCGGCAGATAATGCGGATCTCGTCCGAACAGGTCGAATGGGAAGCCCCAAGCAAATGGTGTAGCGTTGTTGAGCTTTTGAATTTGGGTTCCGGTCAAGACTATCTTGAGAGCCTATGAAAAGTATGAGTACATGTGGTTTAGAGCCATCCGGTGCACTTGCCTCGATGTTGGATTGGAGATACTCGGGTTTACTGATACCAACGATGGGAAAGATGTCTGCTACAACATGTCTCGCCCAAGCCATGGCCACTAACATCCAGACCATCAGCACCCTGCTACTTGCCCGGCGGATTCAACATACCATTTGCTGGTCTGATGCCTTCTCCAAGCTCGTCCGCTACTTCCTGGAGAACGTGCGAGACCGCGAGCTCGGCCTCGGTCGGGGGCACACCGTCTCTCCAGTAGGCTTGGTCCTTCAACTCGTCTGGAGATTTGAACTTGCCCTGACCCAGGACGCCCCATGCAGCTGGTATTGGTATCAATATTACCCGACAGTATCAAGCTCATAACAGAACACCTCACCGACACTCATCCCGTTGGCTCGGCACATAGGGATGATATCTCTCTCCATATCGCGTTTACCCACATTCCAGTTCCCTTGATAGATTGCAAAAGGAGTGAGGGCATTCTGCCTGGCAAATTCGTTTGCTTGAGCTACGATCCAAGCTATACCCGGATAAGCTGACAACCTGGCAAGTGAAGTGAGTACAAACCCGGTGTGTCGGATATGCCAAGATACAGGACCTTTCCGCTCTTTACAAGGTCATTCAATGAAAGCATCACCTCCGGAATGGATGCAGAATAGTCCCACCAGTGGACATACAGAAGATCAATGTAATCCGTTCGAAGCTTCTTCAGAGATGCTTCGACCTGCCCTCTACTACGTCAGCAAGATACACGTGAGCGCAAGTGAGAGACATACAGTAAGGCGAAGATTCTTCCTGCTGTTACCAGCGTAGTTGATAGGAACACCCGAGAATGAGTTTTCTTTGTTGTTGAGGGAGAAGGTGGAGTATTTGCTGCAGTCGCTGATCAGGAAAGCCGAGCAACACCACAACCTTGATCGACCCACGTTGCAATGACGATTTCGTCTCTGATGCCTCTCTTCTCCATCCACTCTCCGACGATCATCTCTGACTGTCCATCTGAGGCACATTGCTATGAGCTTGAGCTATCCCACTAGATCTGCGAGAGACTTGCCTTGATAGTTGCTCGCCAAGTCGATGAAATTTCCACCCGCTTCGTGGTAAGTATCGAGCAATTTGCAGCTCTCCTCAAAACCCATCGCACTCCCTAGCCATCCAGTCCACTGGTCTCCAAAGATTGTTCCACCCAAACAGAGGGGCGAAACTCGTACTACATAATTTGATTAGCCCTGTTTGCGCTCGTGTCTTGGCAGACAGATGAAAGGTCACTCGCCAGCGGCATTGGGGGATAAAAGTCGATAGTTTGCCAGCTCTGACTTTGGTTCAGGGGCTGGTGGATTGATCTCATCCCAAGCTATACAGGGACGCACCAATCGCTTCAGCACACTTGCCCTCGGCTTGATGAAGAGGAAAAACCCTCCTGGTACTCACTTGTTCGTTCGCCGGGAGGCGCAGGGGTAAATCCTGTAGAAGATGTGGGCTCGGAGCGGAGCATCTTTCTAGTTCGAGATTGATGATCAGAGATGTAGAGAACATGAACGATTGAGAAGATTGTCGCAAAATATGGACCCCTTCCGGAGGCCAGAACGGTACAGCGGCCTTCCGAGAGCCGTGTTCAGTCTCAGGAATGAGACCAAGCATGCAAGATGTGCTATTTGGTCACTGGCATGATGTCCACTGCCATGTAGCTGCCTACCTGTGCCCAGTGCATGGCGTCCTTCGAAGGATAGTATAAGTCAATTTACACCTCCTGTCGTATAGCCTTTCGGCCGTTGCCGACGAAAGACCGAGCAGCGACGATCAGTGCTCTGTTTGTGTCCTTTTTGTATATTTGCCATCTAGCAGACATGGCATTTCAGCCAAGCTCTTCAGCCTATGCCAAAGGCTAGAACACGCAATCTCAAGATGACCCATTCACCTCCTCCTCTCTCGTACTCTTGCCCCCCTCGCCGGCAGCTTCGACCCATTCCTCCCTCTCATACGAAGAAGCATCTTTCGATCAAAACGACACTCACCCGGACGATGATGCTGCTGCCCAGAGACCTATATTGGGGCTGAGAGACATCCCCTCTATGCACAGCCAAGACCTTGCCCGTAAAGCCGGTCTCAGCACTACCCGGGCCCGCAGCCCAAAAGGTGGAATTACGGTCAACACTGCAACATATATAGGAGATGAAGAGAGGAGAGTGTTCGGGAAACAGGTCGTCATAGGAGGCTGGAGAGTCGTTGGAGGCAAAAGCTGGACGGATGTGGGGAAGCTCGGAGCGTATGTGGGTAAGTCGACTCTCTCTTTCTCTTACAGGCTCGTCGATAGAGAATGACGTTCAGGACCAGTATACGACATCGATATAGAGCTTATGGATGTGCGTGAATTACGGTGGTCATAACACGCACTGCTGATTACTATCCGGAGCAGGGAGGCAGCATCAACACTCTCAGACGATATAGCCACTTTGAGTCATTACGATCAGCTCTGGTCAGGCGTTATCCCGTAAGTATCACCATACTCAAATGGAACCGGTTCATAATGGGGTATAGTATTTGCAAAGCGCCATACCCCTTTTACCGGGTAAACTGCACATGAGTATGTCCGCCACTTGTAGCCTGCCGCACAGCCTGCGCACAGCTGACCAGTCCTCCAGCCAAGTTCTCCCCAAAGTTTCTCGAAGATCGGCAAATACGGCTACAGCGTTTTCTTAAAGCTGTCGTTCTCCATCCCGAAATGGGACATGGGCAGGGGTGGACCGGACTCTGTTGTTGGGGCTTGGATTATTGGGGATGGGAGCCTCTCTTGAGACGAGTGAATGGCTGTGATCGACTTCGTGTGATGGAGCCCGTGCCCACATGTATAACGTACTTTGGTGACGAGTTGCCGCGCATAGAGAGAGTACAGTACATACACATACCTCGCGTTGTTGAATGAAAGAAAGACTAAAACGAAGTTTTCCGCTCAGAGGCGTACTATAGACAATCGAAACATGTAGTGTACAATAAAAAGCCAATTATACCCAAACACTTCGAGGGAAAGGGAGACGAGCAGCAGTCCTAAGCCTTAGTGGCGACCTTCTTGGCCTTCTTAGGGGCAGCGGCAGCCTTGGCTATAACGAGGCGTCAGTATGTCTATATTAAGAAGAGGATCAAACGCACCAGCTGGGGCCTTCTTGGGCGCAGAGGTCTTCTTGGCTCCAGCAGCGGTCTTGGCTGTGATGAAATGTTAGTAAGTTGATCAACATATAGAGGAGGCTGTGGGACATACCAGCAGGGGCTTTCTTGGGCGCAGAAGTCTTCTTGGCAGCAGGCTTCTCAGCCTTCTTCGCCACAGTCTTCTTAGGGGCGGCCTTGGTAGTAGAAGCAGCCTTGGGGGCGGCCTTAGGAGCGGCCTTGGTGGCAGTGGACGCCTTCTTCGCAGCGGGCTTCTTGCCAGCGGGAGCGGCGGCCTTGACAGCGGGCTTGGAGGCACTCTTGGTGGCAGTGGTAGCCTTCTTAGCGGGAGCAGCCTTCTTGGTGGTAGGGGCGACATTCTCCTTGTCGTCGGAAGCCTTCTTCTGCTATTAAAAGTCAGATTGCATTTTGATGTACGAGAAGAGGCTTACCTTGGGAGCGTTCTTGACCTTTCCAGCAGTACCGGAAGGGAGGATAAGCTCGCCCTTCTCAGCTCCTCGCTTGATCGCGCTGTTGAGGTTGTTGATGTTTGCCGCAGAGCTCATGTCGAGCTTGAAAGTTTCGGCAAGATACCTGTCAGACTTGTTAGCATGATGCGGTTTGTAGAGGGATGCATGTTCTTACTTCTTGATGGCAGGCCTGGAGACACCCTTTCGGACATCTTCCTTGTTGTTGGTGATGCACTCCTGCAAAAGAGAATGTGTCAGCTGTCTTTGATCTTTGAAGGCGCGGAACCTTCCCGAAAAGGAAACAACAGGGGCGTTGAGTGAGATGTTAATCGACGGCCGATTAACATCCATGCACCCCATTCTTGTGGATGGAATATGCACAAGATGCAGAGATTGAGCTGATGAGAAGATGAAGGCTACTCATCGAGCAAGAGAGGGAAAGAAGAAGAATGACGCGAAGCGAAGGACGGCTCCGCGCGGCGGTTGACGAATGTCTGATAAGCTCCTTTCGACCGTGCTTGATATGGAGTTACCAAAGCAAGCAGTCTGCTGGAGACTTGCAAAGCACGCATGAATCATAAACAGCAGAATCATCTGCGGACCCAATGAAGCTTGGAGGCGTAAAAGCGGAGAAGCGACGATGCAAAACACACCCGCAGTCCCGGTTTGGTGGCGCTGCTCCAGACAAAACACAGCGCGGAAGCGACTTACCTGGATCATGGAGAGGAAAGTGGGGTGAGCGGCAGGCTTCTTAGAAGCAGCGACGGTAGTGGTCTTCTTGACGGCCATTGTTGTTGTGGTTGGATGTTGTTTGATTTGGATAAGAGGTGAGTAGTGGCGAGCTGTTATTGCGGGTGATGGGATGGCGAAAGACGCGGCAGAAGAGAGGGATGTCAGTGTATGCTCTGTGCAGCTCGTGGGGGGCTGAAGGGGCGATATGGCTCGGGTGAAAGATGCCAGAAAGGGCAACATACCTTGAGAACGGCGTGGCACGAGTTTGATAAAGATGGAAGGTGGGTGGGAAAAAGAAGAGGTGGGCGACGAGCCAGCTTTATATCCATTCCCCGCGCCAGTTTCAGAAATCACCAAAAACACCCCCATTCATTTCTAAATTCGATATCTCTCGTCACAAGCCACAAAAACGCGCTCTGGCAAATTGAGGTCATATAGAAGAAGCACATCTACTTCATGGATTTCTCTAGCGGTCATATGCATAGCAAAAAGGGGTGAAATTGAGTTAAACAGAACAGGTCACGTGCCTGGAAACCTCGACGCCTCGGCATTATCGCGCTCGCCCCATAATCCCGATTGGATCCCCTTGAGAATAGCATTCGTATCTCGTGATCCTTGTATACCAGGTCCTGTCGAAGGTGTCTGTAGAACCAGAAGCACACGGGAGGTTATATGAGTCGTTACCGGAGAAAGAAGCGTGTGAAATGGTCGAAGGGTGCTCGTCATCTTTACACGTCCTATATGCCTTCTTCTTTCCGCCACTTTTATCGTGCTTGCCGGTATAGAACCAGCTATAAGCCTTTGCTATATGCGTATCTGCAGTATTTCTCCTTCATGTCAAATAGGCTGAACAACTGGTTCCAGAGACATAAGCCATTCGATTGCTGAGCTGTTTCCAAAGAAGTCAAGCCCGGAGCACAGAAGCGGCCGCGCGAGAGCCTTGGGTTAGTTCCTTTCTGTATGTGGTAATATGACTTCCTGCGCCCTGGAAACTTGTAGGATTGTGGTGCACTGTGTATCATAGACATTGCAGCAATTGTTATAGCTGCATTTGCGACCGTTCGCGAGCATTGCGCGGTAAGAACGACCTATCGACCTCGACGCGTCAACGCCCCGAAACACCCCAGGTGGACTTGAAAGTACATATCTTGCACTAGACCCGATCCTCCCCATATTTTACACATCGATAGCCGAGTATCTATCACATCGATATACGACGCGTCGCAAGCGCCCGCTTCTCCGGTAACGGAGGATGCACGCCAAAGTCTTCAAAGAATGGGTAAAAAGCAACAGTTTTTGTTTGGCTCCTTCAACAAACATTATCATCGGCGAGTGCCGCCCGTGCCTGACTGATAGCGGATGTTGACAACTTGTTGGCGTTTCTTTCAAAGTGGCACTTGAACATCCTTCCTGGTTCTATAATATTGCATGTGCATGTTTTCAATCAAGAGATAACAATCCAGATGTATACAAGATCACAACCATGCTGCATCGTGGTGACCTTTGTGCAAAACGGCGGTGGTGGCGGCCTCAACGGCCTATTGATTCTGCCTGATCAGCCGTGCTCGGGCGTCTCTTTACCTGCTCCTGGCTTGCTCTCTATTCGTTTTGTTGCCATCTCCTGGCTTCCAATTCATCGTTCCCTTCTCTTCTATCCGTACTACATGACGGCTGCACCTTATCATTGAGACACTGGGCCGTCCTCATTTCGCCACATTCGGCGCCTTTTGAAGCTCCTTTCTGGCCCATCAAGCTTTTTCCACTTCTCACCTAGGGTCATCTCTTCCCTCGAATCCCAATATACCCTCGAACTCTATTTAGTCGCTTGAATGCGGCTCATTATCGTCCCCTTCCGTCGCCAATGCACCGGCTGCTGCCTCTACGATTACAACCTCCCGAGTGGCAGATCTACTCTGGCCGTTGTTGATATCTCGGGTAATGATTTTCACCCTCAGCTTGGTCATCCTGCCAAATCCCTGAGTGCATATACTCTCTTGCTGTTTTCTTTCCACATCTCGAAAGCTCATCAGCGACATCCGGCTCTCTGCGAACCGCTGAATGCGGATGGGAGCTCAGCAGAGAGAGTATGAGTCATCTTTTGGAAACTTCCATGCACAACTTGCAACGGCACCCTGCATGGCCACCACTGTGATGAAACAAGACTAGAGTCAGCGCCTCGTCGAGCATCACCCCAAGCGCCAAATCGCCCATCCATCGAGCAATCGTTGAAAGCATGCAAGATGGATTCAGCTGCCGAATAGGCCTGATGTGACTGTCGCCACGACAAACCGCCATCGGCGCATCTTCCCGAGCATGTCGGTAGCACGAGACCCCTCGGTCCCAGCAATTATAAAGGACATGCCTCTGCAAAGGACGAAATCAGGCGCTCCCAGATCTTGCGTTTCTAGGACTTTTTCAATGGTCCGGCCGTTTGGATGGACGTTGTGGGAGCAGAGTGGTCATAAATGGATGCAGAATGATGCGGATACTATCTTGTACAATTTACACAACCTATCACTTCATTAGCACAAGATCTCAGCTTATACACGGCACAGACTCACCTTGGGCGCCAACATCAATATCTTGCCCCATCTCCCACCAGCTCCCGCAGCACCTCCCCTGATCTTCCTCAACTCTCCAGCCACAGCTCCGACTATCCTCGTGCCCAACATGTCTCCCTTGTTGTTCAGCAGCACCGCCGCCGAGTCATCGAATCTGACCACCGAGCCGTCCGGTCTTTGAAGAGTCTTCTTGGTGCGGACGACGACGGCGCGACGGACGTCACCTTTGCGGATTTTCTGAATGTTGGAGGAGGCGTTAGGGTTCTTGACTACTTCGTTGGTGGGGATAGGGCGGGCTTTCTTGACTACGCAGACAATCTCGTCGCCTGACAAATCAAGTCAATGGCGCCCCGCTCGACCCAGCAGTGATACTCACCGACAGTCGCGAAACCGGTGGACTTAAGTTTTGTCTTGACTTTGAGGACGTTGATGCACTCGACTGTCAAGGCGCCAGTGTTGTCAATGACCTTGCAGCATGTCAGCATATCATTGGGAATTTAGTGGCTGAAACTCACATTGAGGACACCCTTCAACCCGATCATACTTGTTGTTTGTTTCGATTTATGCTAGATGCGAGAACTTCCGGGTGGCTGGGAGGGAACTGCCGTATCGAGATTGTGATTCTCCTTTTCGAAAGTGCCAAAGAGAGGTCACTGACTTGACGTCTTTTTCGATTTTCCACTATGCGGCGTCCGCCGCCCATGCTTGTCCCTGCTGTTTACGCGGGCAATACTGTATGAACGAATGTGGTTGCGTCAACCATTCGGAGCTCTGGGGCTCTATGGCTCAGTGCTGATCAAATGCCCACCACCCCATCCCACCCCTCACTCGTATGGCCCCGCTCAGACGGCGACCCCTCACGTTGGCCACAAGTATCCGCCCCGAACGACACAGATTGGTACTTTCAAGAAGTACCGGAGACTGATGGCAGATGGGTCTACTACGAACAGAAGACTGCTGAGGCCGTCTGCAGGCATTTGGGGCTGGATGTGGACGGTGAGTGTTCTATCGGCAGCGAGGTGGATAGAACTGATGTGAATCACAAAGTGACAAAACAGAGAATGCCTCTTCCAGACGGTTATAAGTTGTATGCGCATAGAAAGAGGCAGGGGGATGGGTCCCTGAGAACTGATTACTATGTATATGTGAGCTCAACACCATAGTATGAAATATATACTAACGCTGCCCAGGGATCAACAAGGGCCCCTCGAGTATGTCCTTGAAGCTGATGTTGAGACACGACTGACGATTGCACAAGTTCCGAAGCACCAGAGAATTCGAACAACATGCCATCTGGCTCTTTGATACCTCCATACCCTTGGAAGAACACGAGAAAGTGCGTACACCTCCTCGCTACAATGACCTTGCTCATCACGATATAGTGCGGTTGTCCGTACAGCAAATCCAAGAAATCCTCCCGTCAATCCATGCCCGCAACTTTCAAACGCTCCCGCTTATCTGCCGCTGCGTCCATGTCTCCCGCCCCCAGCGCATCCAAACGCCCTCGCCGCTCTCTCGGTGCTATCGAGCCGCGGCATCATAACACGCCTAGAAAACGCACTCAGAGGCAGTTGACGCAGCAAATGTCGGATTTGGACGATGATATTGAAGACCCGGAGGGACCTGAAATACCGCCTACCGTTCCGGATCGCGCAAACGAGCTGCTTTCAGGCCAGCGTTTCCGTAAGTTGCTGTACAGATATGTAGGCGTGTCAGCTGACTGGCCGCAGGTCGCGGTGAGCTCATATGGTTCAAGTGCGGCCCCTTCACCGCCCCTGCCGGGACCGACACCCAAGGTGTTGGTCCTATCGGTCTGTGGCCAGGTCTCGTGAGCAGTTATGACCACAGGGCCCACACCCTCTCTACCACCTCCCGTAACGGCGACATGACCCAGGTCATTCTGCACTATATTGAATACCACATCCGGCCACTCGGTTGTCTGGACCCCAAGACGGAGGTGCGAAGAGACGCAAAGGATCTCATGCCGTGGCTGGGAGGAACAGGGCTGTTTGAAGGCGGGTTGGACCAGTATGACTTGATTGGAGACCAGGCGATGGCTGCTCTGCGAAGAGGTGCAAACGCGGCGGCAGAGCAGATATTGTCGACGGGCGCAAAGATCAGGTCCGAGTTTGAGCAGATGATCAAGCTTTTGCCAGGATGGGGTGACAAATGGGGCAAGCCCTTGAAATTTGAAGAATTGGAGGACTGGGATGTCATTGTGATGCGACTAGCGTACGGGATCAGGTTGGCATCTGTGAGTAGATATCGTTGGTAAGAGCTACATTGCTCACGGCTCTGCAGAGTATTGCGTCTTGCTGGACCCAAACGGACAAGATCACGCCTCTGGAGGACGACCCTGATCTGACGGAAGAAGACCACATCGCTGTCAAGAATCACGAACTGTTCTTGTACCAGGGTCTGTACTTGGGCGGTGAGAGAATATGGCTGGAGGATATGGTTAGGATCAAAAAGTCGCGGGCAGAGCTGTTTTCAGAGTCGCATATGCTGAAAGGGTCAAATGGGTCAGATTCGAGGTGTATGACTCTCCTCATCCGGTGAGTCGCTTGTACGTCTGAGGACTAGGCTGACATGTAACAAATAGCAAGATTTGTGTGGTGCCAAAATTAGAGCTCAGCGCCGAAGGCAAACGCGAATATCGCTGCATTGTTTATGGAGATCTTTTTGAGCTTGAAGAACTTGAGAGCAAGTCGGATGTCGAGGAACTGGTGACGGGCACAGGCGAGGAAGGCATGGGGCAGAAACCAGTGGTAGAGGCATACACGCCGCCAAAGGGATTCCGGTATAGGAAGCTCAACCCGGATGATTCAGAAATCATGACTGACGTCTGTGGTATGTCTTGTTTGCAAATGATCGGGATGCGTGGCTGATCAATGGTGCAGATGTTGCTGGAAGGATGTATCCCGACCTCCTCGATTATGACACACAAAATTGGCTTATCGACCCTTTGAACCCAGAGGTGTCAAAAGGCAGGCAGACGCCGGACGATCATCACTGGTCACTCATGGGGCTTCGACCAGGGCTTGCAACTGCGTCAAAATCAACAATATGGAAAAGTGCGTCGTTCATCTGCTACCCGTTTAGCAAAGAGCTAACGCGTTCCAAATAAGAGGATTTGGCAGACGTTGTGTTCTTCGCCCCGCGGACAACTTGGGAGGAAATGACAAAGTACTACGAGCGGCTTGTGAGGGACAGACTAGAGCTGGACCAGCTGGAGGTTTGATTTGTGTATACGATTTATCTTTCTCAGAGTCCGGTGAACCCCGGGATTCGAATCAGTTGTAAAGGGGGCTTGGAATGCCATGATGCATTGTTCTTTTCAACGGGGCAAGAAAGGCCAAGCAAGCCATCTGATGACGTAAAGCTGCCACAAACCTTGAAACGCCGAAAAGAGACTAGTGCTCGATTAAGACTGTGATTGTAATGGCATTGGAACAGTTTGGTCCCGCTAATTGGACAACAGGACGTGCTTCTGTTGCATCTCGCTGTTTTCGTTCTCTCTGCCACATCCCCTGCACCCGCCACTCTCATCCGCACCCAGTGCCTCCACCGCCACAGTACCCGGTGCACCCCACACATCCCTCGACCCGTCCCATCCATACCCAACGCCCCCACCCCGGCCCCCTCGCGTCCGTCGCCTGCTGCGCACCGTTGGCCACCTTTCAAAGACCCGCAGTCCAACCACATCAGCATCCAATAGACACTCCCACCACGAGACATACCCCAGCACCGAATTCGCCATGAAGTTTTCCGGTTCAGCTTTGATCGCCACCCTCTTCCTCGCGTCTTCTGCCGTTGCGCGAAAATATACTACTACCCTCGATGTCGATGTAGGTCATCAAGACGCGTGTTGGCCGCCGCCTGCGTCGCATTGAAACGTAAAGAGACGCTTGCTGATCAGGGACTTGCAGGATGGAAACACCTTGGTTCTCTCCGAGCACACCAACGCCAACGGCGCTACCGTCACTTCTACCATAAGTACCATCAACGGCGACGACGACGACACTTCTACTTCCACAACCACCACCGCCGGCAGGGACACCACCACGTCAGTCGATCCCCCCCTGTGAGAACTAGAAGGACTTGCTGATATGATGTTCCAGTGAACGAATTGTCGCTTCCACTACAAGTAACGCGCCCATGAGGACCACCACTTATTGGGTCGACACTGGAAACGGTCACTGGACATACTACACCTGGACCGCTCCCACCACCACGTACGCGATACATCATCCATCTTCCTGATCGTGCTGACAGACTTCTAGCGTCCCCACTGTCGCCACTGCCAACGTCGCCCAGGGTTCCGTTGCCAACTATGAAGCGTACCAGTCTTCCATCAACGCCGCCGTCTACTCTTCTGCCGCTGCTGAGAATGACGGTCACAAAAGGGCTCAACCCGTCGGAATGGACGGTGTCTTTGGCGCGTGGATGACTTTGGCTGTCGGTGCCGTCGGCGCTGGTCTGGGTGTGCTCGCGCTTTAAGCTGCTGCTTATCTGCGCGTGGGAGATGGAGACCCAGGGGCGGCCAGTTAGGCATTGGCTCCGAGGATCGGCTGCTTGGCCTTTCTGTATCTTACTTTCTGCATTGTGACGGACAATAGACCTTTTTCATCCTTTCTCTTTACTTTACGACCGCATTTTCATAACCTTGCATTCTAGCGCGCCGTCTTCTTTTCGCAAGATTCTGTTTGCTCTCCATAGTCTTTTGCTCGAGCCCGTGTTAGTAGCAGGTGTGATGACATGTTATGATACCCTTATGCTATCGCAATGCATCCATTGTCCGTCAAGACACCTTTGTAGCACCTCATTTCCAGGCACACCGGCTATCTCCTACGGCGATGCTGCATCTGCGACCATTCCGCTCTTTTTTTGCTACTCAAATTCCACCAAGTCACAAAAATGGCCAAGGTTCAAGCATCTCCCTTCCGTCTCGCCCTCCTCCAGCTCGGCGGCCTCACATCCTCCAAATCCTCCAATATCGCCTCTGCCCGCTCTGCCGTCGCTGCCGCCGCCGCCTCCCACCCTAAACCCCAGCTTATCGTCTTGCCCGAGATCTGGAACAGCCCGTATGCCGTCAGCAGCTTTAGGGAATACAGCGAGAGGGTGCCAGAGATGGGCAGCAAGTGGAGTGAAGAGGTGAAGGAGGGAGGGGAGGGAGAGACTGTCAGAGCTCTGAGGGAGATGGCTAGGAGTAGCGGGTGTTGGCTGATTGGCGGTATGTATAGATCGTCTCGGACATCAGGGCTGAAAGATTAACGTGTGAAGGATCCATCCCCGAGAAGGATGACAAGACCGACAACATCTACAACACATGCACCGTCTACGATCCCGAAGGTGCGTGTAATCGTCTATCAGGTCAAGGCGGCTTTCAGTACCTGACACTGACTCGTACGTATAGGAACCCTTGTAGCGACGCACTCGAAGGTGCATCTGTTTGACATTGATATACCCGGCAAGCAGACCTTCAAGGTTAGCTTTTGACACGCAAGCTCATGGTCAGAGCTGATATTTGGTCCGATAGGAATCAGACACTCTTACAGGCGGTTCCCATCTTACCACATTCACCACCCCCTTCGGCAAGATCGGTCTTGGTATCTGCTATGACATTGTACGTTCTCCTCGACCCAGTCATCGTGACTATGCCTGGTAAAAGTGCTGACTGAGCCGCCTTTAGCGATTCCCCGAGATGGCCATGATCGCTGCCCGTCAAGGTTGCATTGCCATGATCTACCCTGCAGCTTTCAACACCACCACTGGCCCCATGCACTGGACTCTTCTGCAGCGCGCTCGGTATGCCTATCGACCATACGGTTTAGAGAGAGAATTGTGCTGACATGGTGTGATAGCGCTGTGGACAACCAGATCTATGTTGCCATGTGTTCACCGGCCAGGCATCCTGACGCTGCTTACCAAGCCGTGAGTGTGCTTCTGAAGCAGGGGCGAGACGTGTAGTAGACGTCTGATGCTTTCTCAGTATGGTCACTCGAGTGTGGTCAACCCCGTTGGAGATGTTGTCGTCGAAGCCGGCCATGAGCCCGAGACTTTGTATGCTGATATCGGCAAGTCTTTCTTTCAAGTATCCATAATGGCTGAATGTGATACTGATGGAGCGTCGCAGACCCAGAGCAGCTCGCGACCACCCGGAGGAACATTCCTGTTACTTTGCAGAGGAGGTTTGATGTCTACCCTGATGTCGCTGCTGGTAAAGAATAGGGTGTGAACAAAGGGGAATCGAGGGTTGATGAATACCTGTAAAGTGGAGAAGATTGGTGAAGATGATGATTTGGGGATCTTTGACTGAGAGTATAGCAATAGAGCTAAAGCTGTCTGCATAACTTTATGACAGCCCAATAACGAGAGGCTGATGAGTGACAACACCCTTGATCCACATTTCCTATTCTCACTCCCTCTTATCGCTACCAATCCCCACGTTCCCCGTTTCCGTGATATTCTTCCTTCTGCAAGACACGTCGCTTGATCATGATCGCGGCGCACCACCCCTGGGCGCTCCCCTGCCCCTCGGCGCAAACCCTCCTCGTCCACCACCTCGCCCAGGAGCTCCACCACCTCTGCCTGGTGGTCCTCCACGTCCTTGATAGAAAGTCAGCACTATTCCTCTCACACTTTTCGAATCCTCAAAACGTGAATAAAGAGACAAGACTCACCACCTCGGCCTCCAGGTCCACCTCGTCCGCCTCTACCGCCGCCACGTTGACGGCTCGCTGCTCGCGCCTTGTCTTGATCTTCAGCAGCTTGTTCCAGGATGTTGTCTGCTATGCGGAAGTACTTGATCTACAGGCAAAAGTCAGTGTCTGCTCCCTTCGACTTGATTGACCCATTCGCGCCCTGCATCCCTTCAAACCTCCACCCAAGGATAAAATCAAGACTCACAACATTCCCCTTGATGAACATCTCCTTCATCTTCCAAAACCTCTCTCCGTCCGCCGACGTTTGATACACCTCTCGCAACGTAACATTCATGAATGAATCACAGTCGACAAGATGGCCGTTAAATGTGACACCGGATTTCAGTTCCACCAGCTACGAGTAAAGGTATCAGTGGGCTGTGGTGACACAAGGAATTGACCGAGAGAAAGCGACGGACCATGGGTTTGCCTTGGGCGGCATTGAGGAGCGACAGCGGGAGCTAGAGGGGGTGTCAGTATGTGGGAAGCGCTCTGTGATGGGAATTACCATGGCTGTATGCTAATAGGAAGCAGTATGGGGAGAGATGAAAGACAAAATAATGGGAGAAAGAGATGAATGCTTTCACAACAGCAAGATCGAGGTCAAGAGCGCATTTGGACATGTTACGTAATGTATTCTAAGTGCTGCAGCAACTGCTGCTGCTGCAAGAGACCACTTTTTGTTTTTCTCGTATGCATAAGCTATACTCTACTCGCAGTCCATTATAATCTACTGGAAGCTCCGGGGGCATCAACGCAGCCTCAAGAACACAGGAGCATCCCAGGCAGCGCCACATTAAGACTCGCCCGACGCGTCTATAGAACGCGTCCACTTTCGACAACATATGGCCCATCGACCATGACATCCCTCCCGACCCCCTCTCCCTCCCGGAACCCCTTTGCCAAACCAGCATTAGCTACTGAAGGAGCGTCGTTCTCAAAGAGCGCCATCTTGCCTACTTCTACAAAGAAGGCGACGCTGGTATCGGGCGACTGTCAGACGCCTATTGAGAAGCGCGTTCTAAATGAACTCGGCAGCGCTCAGGGGACACGGACAAGCTGGAGATTACTATGGCGTGGTGGGCTTGAAATTGGGAAAGAAGGCTGGCGCCTAGATGGTTTGTCTTTCGTTTGAGCGTACTGAACATATCTGATTTTTGGTGTAGGTATAACGTTTTTCGCCCAACTATCATTTCCGCCACCAACACCCTCTGGTAACCCTTTTGCCTTTCCCACACCCCCACCTTCCTTCTCTCCTGCCCCTTCTTCGCCATTCCATTCTCTCCCAGGAGGCACCACGGACCTTTGCTTGTCTCTAGAGTCTATGCGCGGACGCAAGTACCTCCAAGTCCGTGATGTCGTCGATCTGCCCGACGGCGAGGTCTTGGAAGGAGATGAAGATGATGCCGGAAGTGGAGTCCAGGTAGCAATCGCGGAACAAGCGCCGCTGCTGGCTGGGTATGTGATAGGATTACTGGGGAGAGACGGGTCTTTGTCGGCAAATGGGAGGACGAAGAAGGCTATCGTCATCGGGCTAGGCGATGAGGAAGTTGGTGCGTATACCACCCTATGCGTCTTCGACGAGAGCTGATGAGTTGGCAGAAAACACTCTGAAATCGACTATTCTCGTATACGGTCAACTCCAAACTTCATTCTCCAACGAATCCTCAGAAAGCACCTTGCGTCTCTTCGTAGGCCGGCGCAAACCCCCACCACCGCCCCCGAGCGAAAAGAAGATCCGCCCAGGCGAACCTCTCCCCCGAGCACCCCTCTTCATACCAGCAGACCCCAAGAAACCCTTCCGTCCCTTCGCCCGATCATTCTCCCGCACCTCCTCGACATCCCAGACTCAACCCTCCATCTATGCCCCGCCGCCTTCTGCTTCTGTGCCGAGTATTGGCATGGGCGTGGGGGTGGGTAAAGGGAAAAGCGGACAGATAGCGCCTGTATCGGGCCGTACACCCGGGAGGAGGGGAGAGAAGCGCGCGAGGCTGGGTGAGGCTGGGAGAGAGGAAGATAGGAAGAGACGGGCGGGGAAGATTGTCAGTCAACCTCGTCTAGATGATCGGGTGGAAAGAAGAGATCGAGAAGGTTCTGTGCGTGTCAAGGAAGAACGCGGGCCGAGCCTTGCGCCCTCTGAACATTCTTTGCGAGCACCGTCGCTCTCGCGCCAATCCGTACCGCCGGTGTCCGCCTTTGAGCAAGGTCCAGGAGATGCGGAAGGAGATGAAGAGGATATATTCGGCAAGAGGGCGTCCTCGATGGCGCCCAGTATGAGCCGGGTGTCGTCTGCTGGGGGTACAAGTGAAGTTGGGCTGAGCGTGGATGAAGTTGGTACAGCAGAGGCGAGTGGTAGGAAGAGGGTCAGGGTGCCTCAACAGGTTTTGGATAACAAAGCTGTGAGCCATGATCACCATTCTGACAATGTCAAAAAACTAACAGAAGGGAATCAGTCGATACGCAAGCAGACATTGTTGCTTTTGGAACTGCGAGGCATTCCTCGGACCCACGACCTGTTCAAAGACATATTTGGAGTGACCACCAAAGGAGTCTACTTTGCTTTTGTACGTCATTCTGATTGATATGTAGAAGCCTGAGCTGACAAGGAGAATCAGAGAGACCAACTTCAAGATCATCCGGTCTCTAAAACCGATATTCAGCGGATAATTCACGGTCATTTGGATATGTACCTCCAATCTTCTTTGCCCTCTACCACACCCCTGCCGCAAGGAGAAGGTCAAGAGGAAGCGTCAAATTCGATACTCGAAGTCAAACAAGAAGAGTTCAGTAAGAGCGGGAGCGGGGTGACATTGCATTTGCACGAGCATGGCGATGGACGAGTCAAGCTTGAGGCTGTGGTGGAAGAGGAAGAGTTTTAGAATCTGTAGCATATTGTAGGCAAGCATTACAGCATTGTTGGCATTGATTAGTTGTACTAACCCCATGCATATTCATGTCTTCTGATAATGTATCCGCTTTCGACCCCTAAAACCCCTACTCGATGTCCTGGGTGAGAACGGTCCTGTATCGGACAGTAGAGTTCTCAACGGCCTTGATGGCCTTGGTAGCGTCCTTCATGGGGAGAACCTCGATCCAAGGCTGGACGTTCTTGTCGGCAGCGATCTGGAGCATCTGCTGGACCTCGCCCTTGTTACCCAAGTGGCTACTGCTCAAGCTAGCAGCATTACCGCTCAAAGCCTGACTGGTAATGTTGGCCAAACCTTCCTCGGGCATACCGACAAAGACAAGCTTCTTGTCAATGTCGAGGAGGGAGAGGAAGTCGTTGATGGGAAGCTTGTTGGAAGAGGCGGTGACGATGATGAGGTCGAATTCGAGCTCGTGGCCCTTGGCAAAGTTGGGGTCGGCGGTAGCGATAAAGTTTTTGGCACCCATGGCGAGGGCGTCCTCCTTCTTGTCGTCGGTACGAGAGAATACGGTGACTTCGGCACCGAGAGCGATACCGAAAAGGACGGCGTAGTGGCCGCTATAACCGTATCAGCTTTGCGCTCTGCCTTAGCACAAAAAGCAACTTACAGACCACCAAGACCGACAACACCAACCTTCTTGCCGGGACCAGTACCGTTCCTCACAAGAGGGGCAAAGACGGTGATACCAGCACACAACATGGAAGCGGCTCGGGTAGACTCGAGGGCCTCAGGGATGTGGAAGGTGAATCGCTCGGAAGATCGAACGTGGGTAGAGTAACCACCGTGGTGCTCAGAGCCATCGTACCAGTGGGTGTTGTAACCGTGGACGGGCTTGACACAGTAGTTCTCTGCTTCCATCAGCTCTGGACCGAGTCAGATATAGAATGGACTGACCGTTGGGACCCTTGCAGGGCTTGCACTCGCCACAAGATCCAACCTGGGCTCCCACACCGACACGGTCACCGACCTTAAACTCTGTGACCTTGTCGCCGACCTCGACGACCTTGCCGATGACTTCGTGGCCGGTGACGACAAACTTGGTCTCGAAGGGGCCCCACCCGCCGGAGACGGTGTGGTGGTCGGAACCACAGACACCACAGCACTCGACGGCGACAGTGATGCGGTCATCGGCGAGAGGCTCAAGCTCGTACTCCTTCAAGTAAAAGTTCTACGCCGGGTCAGATAAGAGAGACGATGGAGATGGGTTACTCACGGGGTAGTCCTTGGGGCTGTCGATGGCGTATCCTGTTACGTTATCAGCCTCGAGCATACATACCCAGAGCACCCGCACGATGAAACAATCTTATCGCCTCTCGGGTCCACGCCATCGTTGCGTGCGCCGGCGGGCAACGGAGATTACGTACCTTTAGCGTGGGTGATGGCCATGTTGCTGATTGGTTTGTTGGGGAGTTGAGTGAGAAGGGGGGTGTATATGTATGCTTTTCAGATCGGTATTCACGAAAAAGAGTCCTCGATTGGTATTCCATCGCCCTCTCCTCTGATCCATCGCTCCGGCTTCTCGGCCCGCCACCGACCCTATCGGTGTGATTAAATACGGGATCAAATCGCGCGTGGCGGTCTCGTTCAACTCCGTCTTATCATTGCTTTCCTGCAACTTCCTAACGCCTGCTAGTATCTCTGTATGAGTATCCTCCTACATGGTCACTCTTATGGCCCCTTAGTACATTACTAGGTGCTTCATCCTCACGATGCAGTTGCTCAAATAGCCTTATCGAAAGCTACTACTAAGCGCCGCATCTGCCCTTGGTCCTGAAACTCGCTGATCCGCAGCTTCAACTCTCTTCCTCTTTCCCGCATCTTGGCTCAGGAGTCACGCTTGATCTCATCCTGATGAGACGACTAGATTCCGGCGCATCCCAATCAGGAAGCATACTGTACAGCCCGAGCGATCGATACAATACTATATTACGTGGCGGCTCCGGGCCGCCCAGAAGCCGCTTCCTCCTTTGTACCTGGCGCCGATGAAAGCCCGGCAAGTAAAGTATGTTGCATCCCTCTATGTGTGCCAGGTAAAGGCGGTACCTCGGCCATGACTAGCAACAGAAGGAGAACATACAATACTTCATAATTGAAATACTGCGGACTATCATGACTGGCTCTAACAGCTGAATGGATGCGAATAAGAACCAGATGCAAACTAGACCAATCCCTTGAATCAGCGACGGACTAAACAGCGCTTGCAAGTCCACTTACCCCTTTTTTGATACCTTCTGAAGCACTGTACATTCCCAAAGGCGTCAGAGCAAGGCTCAGCACAAACTGCAAAACATATCAGCCCGCCTCTCTTACGTCCAGCAAGTGTAGACTCACAACGCCAACAGAACAGACGTAGAAGAATTTCTTGGACTTCGTGTCTATAAGTCTAATCTGACCAGGAAGGGCAAAGCGGGGGTGGTTGTCAAAGAACCACATGACTCCGCAGAGGCCGAGGGTAAACCAGACGTTGAAGATGGAGGCAAGGATGGTCAAGAGTTCGTTGAAGAACTATGACGGGCCCAATCAGCTGAGGGAGCGAGAGGAGTGATCAGAAAGCTTACAGGGATGACCTCAGCAATGACAAAACCGATGACCCACATGAGCGAGACAAGACCCACCCAGCTGATCCTCGCTTTCCAAGAGCTGAAAGTATGTCAGCTGTTTGTCGAGTGTCGGTACAGAAACAACTTACTTGCTCGTAAGCAGATCCTTCTTCCTAAAGACGATAATGTACAGGTATTTCGCCCCGACATTGACCGATATGATACCGGAAAGCATGTTCATAGCCTCTGCAAACACCCACGCCGTGATTTTGACCGGCTTGGTCGTCATCCCCAACGCCGGACTCGACACATACTGCCCTCCGAAAGCATACACCAGCGCTCCAGTGATGGTGTAGAGTAAGATCCCAAAGCCTTGGCAGATGATGAAGGATTTCTTAAAGTCTTCGGGGCGTCTCATCTCGGAGCAAAAGGAGAAGGCGGCCATGTTGCCGCCAAAGGAGAAGAGGACGTTGGTGACACCGCCGACGATGTCGACGAGGGTAGGCGCTAGAGGGAAGGCATACCATGCGATGGGTCCACCACTGGCAGTGACGAGGACACTGTCATCTTGAGCCTGCATGCTTGTCAGGGTGATTACCTAGAAAGAGAAAAGAGACTGACGCCGACACCGATGATGGCGATGAGAGAAGCGATGGCGATCGAAATCAGGGAAAGAGTAGACATCAAGTAGAGCTTGCTGAATTCTCTTGATATCGACATCTGCCGAACCAAGTCAGCGTTGTTGAAAGGCCAAAGAGGACCCACTGACCAACACACTAGCGACCGCAGTAATCAGAGAGAACCAAACACTGCAGATAGCGTTGGAGCTCAGTTGGGCCAAGCCTTGTTTACCCAACAAAACATGAGAGCCCGCAAGACCCATACTCTGATCTGAGAGTCAGCAAACATGTCGATGATCATGAGAGCACTCACGTTGATGACCAACCCGATCCCTATCAGCTTTTGCCCCCAGTGCCCAAACATGACGCCTCCCGCATCCCCGTAGTGCATGACTCCAGGATGCCGGATCTTAAAGTCGACGATCATCCAGCAGGTGATGTATGACAATACACCCATACCGACTGTGGCGATCACACCGCCGACCATACCGAGACGGAGAAACACCGATGGGAAGGAAAGCATTCCGATAGCAACGTTCTGTAAACTTGTCAGCCGGCAATTTGAGATTTCCAAGGGCACTCACCTCTGCACAAGATAACAGTCCCGCTTGTGTCCAGCCCATAGTGCGGAACTCTACATAGTCCTTGCCCTTTGCCTCTCGTTGAGCTTCGAAAGGGTCGATATCGTACTTGTTGGCGTCCTTGCTCGTCCCAGCAGTCGATGCCAGCCAGTCGGCGTCGGGGACACCAACATCCTTGTCCAGGGTATGAAGCGGGCGGAGGTGAAGCTGATTGTCTGACATTACAGACACTAGGTGTGGAGGTGGAAAGAATGAGAGCAGAAGTGCCAAAAGTCGTTCACGACTCAAATTCGCCTATTTTGAGAATATTCGGTCCGCAATCTCGGTAACTAATAACGCTATGGACACGTATCTTTCATGTGAACCATGTGGTTCTTTGCTTGATATCAAAGCTAATGGGCTGCACACGCGTAACTGTGTTCTGTTGTCTGTAGTTCGTGCATCACTCTGCTCAGGCGGCAGGCGGAGAATTTGCTCAAGTCGGCTTTCGCTGAACCAACCGATTAGCGCGGGCTGATGCCTGATTAGCGGAGGCAAATGTATATTTCAAACTATCTCTAATGCAGACCTCCACTTTCTTTGTTCGTTGTTTTTCCACAAGACGACAAAAGACCTGTATACCACGCCAACAACATGAAAGCAGCCCGAAGAGTCCCCTGGTCCTCCCACGCAGAGCTGTCAGAGCTCTATGACTATCTGTTTGCCCCCGGGGCCGATCTCGATGGTCGTCGCAGAGGACTCGCCAGGGTATGTTCCTTCTTTCCGGACAGTATATCCACTTATCGGTCATAGATGAGCATCTATATCTCGTCCCCCTCCTGCCCCGCTTTCATTCATCTGCTTCATTCGCTAGTAGCTGCCGAGCTTCTGCCCTTCCCGCCCCCTCGAGGCGCGGAAGAGTCGCAGAGGATGAGGATGATGATGGCCATGGCTATCGTGCGCTTTGTCAATGGCCTCGTTGACCCTCTTCAAACTGGTTCATACGCCAGGCCTATATCGCATTTGGCTGCTAGTATCGGCCTTCCCCCTTCGTTGATCGCCCTCCGTCACCGAGCGACGCACGAAGATTTACCGCCATTACCACTCTTACAACAGGCTATCGCACAGTGTATCTTCTATCTTCACCAAAACTCTTTCCTCCCTCTGCTCTCTCTGAGCTACAACAATGGTCAAAATCTAAATGGCGTCATGTCAGAAAGAGACGTATTGGCCAAGAAGAGAATAGACAGTCTGCTGCGGCGCTGGAAGAAGGTCATGAAGACCCGTTTGAGAGAGAAGGAAGTTAGAGAAGAAGATGCGAGCGGGTTGGAGATGAGAAAGGTCAGGAGAGATCTCGAGGGAGAGGTGTCGGGGGTCGATGGGATCATCAAAAGCTTGATAGAAGTGGGGAGTCTGGTCCCGCTCGCCAAGAGGCAAGTGTCAACTCAAGGCATGATAGCCAATGCTAATCCGCCACAGAAAACGAGCCTCTCCCCAATCCTCTCTACCTCCTACTCCGTCTCTCAAGATCTGGCTGCCTCTCCTCACCCACTTGTCTGCTACCACCCCCTCCTTCCCTTCTTCCCTCGCCACTGCCATCCTCGACCTCCTCCTCAACCCTTCCGACCTTTGCACCAACCTGCCAGCTGGTCGACTCGGGTTCAACGCTCAAGCTGAGATGATCACTCTAGGCGAGCAGGAGGAGGACGATGCTAGAGACGAAGAGGAGAGCTACAGATGGAGTCTGGGTGTTTGGTTACTTTACCTCTGGGCAGAAGACGCCGAGGTTGAAGGAGCTTTGGGACTTGACGCGGAGGAGAAGACAATTCTATACAGACGGTTGGCTATTGCGCTCTTGCACAAGCACGATGACCAGATGTAAGCGTCCCCTTGTCCTTTACCTATCAATATAAGCTGACGATCTGGTAGCTTGGTTCGCCTCCACGAGTCACTAGCCAACATTGACGAGAACCTCTACGACGTGATAACCAGTCTTTCAAGCGCTCTGCCTGACCCAGGAGAGGACAATGGTTTGGACGGACTCGCTATGGATGTGGATGATGACGAGCTGGAAAAGGGATTGGGAGAGATGGAAATGAGGCTGGCGGAATTCGAACGACAGGTGAGCAAGGATCCTGTATCAATCGTCTAGCCTTCTGACATGCCGCCCCAGAATCTTCCTGCCCGACAAGCGCCTCGTGAAACGACCTCCAGGCCTTCAGACTCGTTGCCTGGGTGGAAACGGCTGACGACAGAAGAGTGGACCCCATCACCCATCGGCTCTGCTATAGCTTGATGAAACATGCATATGCTGCCACCCTTTATATAGATACGGACACAAACATTATGCTGAGCAGGTTTCGAATCACGATCCATTCTTTACTTCTACGCTACAGTGTTGGTTTTTTGATAAATATGACTAGAGACTATTGATACAGTTGTGAGGTACGCAATGATAAGAGAAACGGGAGAAGGGGAGACTCTATGTAGAAAGCCATGGGTATCACTCAACGACTCAGGTTTCTTCAGATAATATCAACACCAGCTTGCTTACAACAAAACCATCCTCTTGAGACTAAGCAGCCGCCCAACCTTGCACCAAACCCTGCTGCTGCCCCGACAACGGCCCTTTCTCCCTCGCGCCCGCATATAAGGGCTCCTCAGTCGCCGGATCCTGCACATCCTCATCCCTCCCTACCGGCTCCTCTTCTCCCCACACCGAGAAACTCGCACGCTTGCCATGATCATTCACCAATGATAAACTCGCCATGCGCTTGTTCCCCCCCCGCGCTTCGGCCGATGTCAGTCCAGCGGCGCCTGCAAGAGCTGGAGTGGTAGATTGCGAGAGTTTGGATGCGAGGTGAGGGTTGGTAGACATTTCCAGACCCGGTGTGAGGCCAAAGCTGGGTATCCTCTCTGGCGCGAGCGTCTGGTCGAGTGCTGTACGCTGTACGACGCTCGGCAACGGTCGGCTCGGCAGTGGCACAGCGGCATCGAGAGGCAACGCGCTCTGGCTGCCCTTCGACTTGCTCTTGCCAGGCGCACCGAGCGAGAAGGACGACTGCCTCTGCTGGATCTGATCTTTCCAACTCCCAATATCCGGGATACTCCCACCCCCTTCTTGCTGGCCCTGTCCGTGCCCTTGCTCCGAAGGCACGTGTACCCCAATGTAAGATTGCGACGCATGCGCTTCACTCGCTTTCGGCGTCATGCCGTTCAAGAAGGTGGAGAAGAAGTTGGGGCCGTTGATCATGGGCGACTGCAAGTCTGGCATCGAGTTGGACTTTGACAGCGTCCTCTTGCCCAGCCCTGGCCTCGGGGTGATCTCGTGTGTATGGTCCAAGTCCATCCCAGACCCATCGCCCTCCGCCACAGGCGCAAGCCCGGTAAGGTCCATAGGTTCCGACATGAACACTTTCCACAAATCCTTTACATCTGACAATGTCGGCATAATTTGCTGTCCCTCCGGCTGGGGCTGAAGAGGTTGTCTACCGCCTTCAGGCGACAGGTCCGAATGGGCCGAAACGGCTGACTCGCTGCCTTCGCGCATCCTCGCGGCGAGAGCCTGCTTTTGCGACTCCCCAAGCGTCATCTGCTCCAAAGCGTGCGCCCAGGCAGTCTGGCTCGACCTCCTCCTGGCGTGGCCCGGTTGATGCCCGGCACTCGCACCAGATACAGAGGAGTTGGGGTCAAACATGGAGCTCGACGTGACTGAAGAAGACAAGATGGAGCTCGTATCGTCGCTCCCGCCGGAGAAGCTGTTTCGCAGATGCCATTGCTGCTGCCCCTGGGGGTCGTTCAGCTGCGGGCCCGAACCTGCGAGGAACGGCAGCTGGGATTGCGAATGCGACGGAGAGATGTCTTGATGAGTGTGAATGTCGGGTATATTCGGCTGGAAACCGAGTGTACCCTCTGAGCCTTTACCCTTTGTCCAGAACGGCGCAGGAGCGAAAGTAGACGTCGCACTAATTGCAGAGTTATGGCTCCCCCGTCTTTCGGCGGGTTCATCCATCTCGGAAGGGCTACCCGCATTGCTCACCAACGACGGCGTTTGCAACAATCCCATACGACCCGGTGAGATCTTGCCGCTCGCGTTTGCGTTGGGAGGTATAGGAGACGCCGGAGCAGGAAGAGGTACGTCGAGCGAGTTGGGAGAGGTTTTGTATGCCTGGCCCGTAATACTCCCAGGAGCAGTGTTGTCCGCGTACGACAGAGACTGTTGCCCTCCCATATTCGGAGGCCACGTACCCCCCACTGTCGTTTGCGGGAAAGAGTCCCAGCCGCCGATACCGTGTGCAGGGCCATGCGACATGACAGGTGACGGGTTCGGATTCGGTACATTCCCCAAATTGGGGGGTAAAGACGACACTGACGGTTTGCGATAGGCGACCGGCTCTGTCGGGGCGATACTAGGCATCTGCATTTGCGTAAACTGCGGAGACGGCTGAGTACTGCTGGAGATGGACATGTTTGACGGGCTGCTGCTGGGGAACGGCGCCACTTGCGCAGGAGGCAAGGGCGGACCCATGTATGAGGAAGGTCGTTGGGGCTTGCGGTACGAGCAAGTCAGGTTGCGTTGCTTGCATCGGACTTGTATGACGTCAGCTTTTTATCCAACCCGAAAAAAAAAAAAAGTTGGCTCACGGCATGGGTCGGCAAAGTCGCATCGCACTTTCGAGTGATTGCACTGATCACATGCCCTCTTCTTCGTATCCCACTCGTACATGCTTTGGGAAGGGATCTGCTGATCCATAGGACCTGACATTTTGAGCGGCTGCGCAGTGAAGGGCGGGTCGAAAGCTGGCTGGAGAGGATATGTGGCACTATGCACCGGCGGGTTGACAGGCATCGGTCTGCCCACGCTCGGGCCGTATGTGGGTTGAGGCGACATGGTCATCATCCCGAACGTACCCACGGACCCGCTCGGGTTGGTGTTCCACGACTCTTGCGGTCCACCAGGTTGAGCGGGAGGCACGGGATGGACAGCGAGGAGGGGGTGATGCGGGTACATGCGTTGGGCTTGAAGCTGGGGTTGTTGGATGACGTGGCTCTCGCTTCGTGATCGTTCACGAGCAGCTTGCTGTTGCTGTTGCGCATGCGCTTGCTGCTGTTGCTGCAAGGCCCGCTGACGCTGATAATCTTGCTGCTGCTGCTGTTGCTGCTGCTCTGCAATGATCTTATCTCGATCTAGACTGGAGTGCGCAGATGCAGGTACCGACTTGCGTCTTCCCTTCTTTGCAGGCTTTTTGTCGACCGGGCCAGCATCAGGCGAGCGATGAGCCTTGTTGACATGACGGGATAAGAGATCGCTGTACAGCATCAGCATGACCCCACACACGAGCATGATGGGTTCTCACCTTCGAGCAAACTTGAGAGGACACTCTTTACAGGCATAAGGTCTGTCGCCGGTATGCGCTCGAAGATGCCGGCCGACGTGCTGGGGTCGAGTAAATGTGGCTGAACAGAGCTGTGACCGCCGTCAGTCAATCAGTCAGTCGTCCTAAGATAGCCTTCGCATTATGAAAGGATGATCGGCCGCGCCTTCTTTCCCAAGGATGCCAGGGTTGGGAATTACTAAGATACGGGAGAGCACTTACAGGACACTTGTGGTCGCCACCCATGGTAGAATGCAGACGAGGACGCGCTCAACGGTGGGATACACCTTGTGACGCGAAACAAGCAGAGGCGTACTCCTTTTGGAAATAAAAAGATCACGCGTTGTGTCCGAGTATGCGCTGGGTGGGAGGACGGTACAGACAAAAGTGGCGGGGTGGTCCAGGTGGTAGGGGAGGTGAACGACGGTGGAATCAGGTGGAAAGCAGCGATATGGGAGCGGTGGTAGGGGAAGAAGGGAGGCGGTGGCCGGGAGGACAAGCAGTAGGTGACACTGGCAGTGGTTGACGTGGACGGGTCACGGGGGGGTGTGTGTGGCGTGGCTGCTACTGGGACATCTCCTGGAAGCAGAGTATGGGACTGGAGGAAGACGGGGCACGAAAAGCACAGTGCTAAGTGGGAGGCATCGCATACATCCTTTGTGAGAGGTTGAGCGAGAGAGTGAGTCGCGGTGACGTCACCCAGCCACTACTACGGCACCCATGTTCCAGGCTAATCCGCTGTGGCTGGTGATTTCATCGCGCTATTCTAGAATCCAACAAACCTAATCCAGACGTCATCTAAAGATCTTAAATCCCCCGGCGCCGCGCATAAAGCCCACCCCTGCAAGGAACAGATCACAGATTACATGGAGGAACCGCACAGCCGCCCCAGGAGAGGGGGCCCTGCTGGGCCTGTTGCATGCGCGGGGGTAGCTCTGTAGCGCGGCACAGAGCAATTTTCTGGGTAACCGGTTGACGTCGGTATCGTTCCCGGGGGTACCAACCTTGTCTAGTTCTATCCCGGTTCTCGGTGATGCTCATTGTCCTGGGCTGCGCATGTTGTACCACACACCACACGTGTGTATGTACCGTGTGTGCAAGGGGACCCACGGGAGGTCTGCCCTCGTCATATGTAGCCGAGAAGCATCGCGAATGGAAGAGCTATAGAGAATGAGAATGTACATTACGAGTACTTGGCTGGGTGCATTGGGTGCCGAATGTGTCGGCCATGCATGTCGGCACTTGTGGTGACAGACCGGACAGGTGATGGAAGTGATCGATACCTGTTATTTTCTTCAGGTTGCCGAGGTTCGAAAGGTTCATTCAAGCACCCAGAGATCCTAGAGAATACCACCATCGTCATACATCTCTTCACAAGCGGGTCTCGCCTCCTCAGCCCTCTCGCTTATTTATTAGAGCGCCGTGGTGAAAAGGGAGACATAACATGTTGGTTGGTCTATTCGCTGAGGCTGTGTGAGCGGGAGGATTACTCTCGCGATCAGGACGTTGGAACGTAGCTAGTCAAGCTGATCGCTGGTCGCTGGTATACGTAGCTCCTGACACATGAAACAACACCTTTGGTACTTCTCACCATACATATGTTGCAAGAGATGGTAGTCCGCGCTGAAAGGGACAACGTCTCGATCAGTCGGGTTTCAAGATCGCCGCGATGATGACATCGCCCACAGTCCAAAAGGTCTCGAATGTTATCTACAGATCGGTGTCATCGTTTTTATCTGATAAACATTTGCAGAGGCCAGGATGAGGTATCGGCCGCACCAGAGACTACCGTAATGATGAAAGGTGGCCGCAGCATATCGCAGCAGCTCTTGTGTGAGGGTTGAGTAAACGACGGTAATCGACGGCCGGCGGTGCGCGTTGTATTCTCATCATCGCTGGACGCTCATGAAAGATCCAGCACATTTACAACTTACAGGTGCATGTCGAGCCCAGGCATGTGACTCGCACAACTCTCTTGAGTCTTGACGCAGAGCGCGAGGACCAAAACAAGCGTTCAGACCAGTGGATCATTTTACACGACGTCACCGAACCCTTATCCCCATAGACTTTCGCTTTAATTAATGAATCTTAACAAGAGAGGTTGTCTATGTACACTCCGCTACTAGCCCATCTTTAACGCCGGAAGGGGACATGTCGCTGATCATACTTTTTGGTTGAAGATGGGTTGTGTGACTGACTGACTGTCGTGTACCAGAAGGCCAGATCCCAGCGATGGGGTAAATAATTCAGAAGCTCGTGTTCCCGAACGATTCAAGAGAGTTTGGCTACATTCGTGTCCAGACCATCGAGTGGTCAACTGTCTATCCAAAGACTGCTACATGCATCTACATCCTTCATCAACGTCGCGTCCACCAGCCAAAGTGCCACACATACTCCCGTACACCCAAACAAAACGCCGAGACCCTATGACGCTCTCCGAATTTGCTCCCGCTCCCTTCTCGGTGGGCAGCGCACGGGGGCCAATTGGTTGAATGCCGAACGAGTGTTTGCTTTCAACGTCCAACAAAAGGTTCTCCTTACGCTTGGTATTGTACAAAAAGGCCTTTTAGCCTAGAGCCGTCGTACCCAACCCTCTCAAGCGTAGCACGTGTGACCCCGACACGTTGCACCTGACTGTGAGTCCCGGTCTCGAAAGAACGAAGAGAAATTCTGCGCGTTTCGATGGAATTAAAGGCCGGTTCGGTCAGATGATTCAAGAGTCGTCGGGATGGACATGGAGATGAAGGGAAAGTGTTGACAAAGCGCTATAGGTGGCATAGAAAACCCCTCGGGACGACGGACTTCCGCATCCCAAAGACCCATTTCGCCGCCTGCCCCCTCAATCCGCAATGACCACCACCTTGACTCAAAACTACATGGCCCCGGCCGCCCCTGTCCTCTCCAAGCAGCCGTCATGGACCGAGCAAAACTCCCTCCAGTCGAGGACGACTGTGAACAATATGGTCAGGACGCTTGACCCCTCGGCGAAGCTGCCGTACGTGCCCGACATGGCCCTCCCGACCCCGCCAGCGACGACAGCGAGCATGTTGTCCACCGACGACGCCCACCCTGCCCTCGCCAACGTGGTCGATATACCGGTGCACCAGCTTATTCAGCAGACTATCGCGACTAGCACCGGTGTCGACTTGGACGAGTCTGCATTCTTTGCTGCCGACTTGAGCGCGGTCTACCAATCTGTCCAGCGATGGCGCGCTTCGCCTATCGGGTCGCGTGTCGAGATCTTTTACGCGGTCAAGTGCAACCCCTCCCCTGCGGTGCTGCACTTGCTTTCCCTCATGGGCACTTCGTTCGACTGCGCATCTTCGTCCGAGATCAACCAGGTCCTCGCGCTTCCCTCTGCGCCGGCCGGGGACAGGATCATCTTTGCCAACCCCTGCAAGCCCGCTTCCTTCATCCGCACCGCGGCCCAAAAGGACGTGAGCATGATGACGTTTGACAATGCCGACGAACTTTACAAGATCAAGCGGATCTACCCGAACGCCAAGCTCGTCTTGCGTATCCTTACAGACGACTCCAAGTCGCTCTGCCGACTTGGCTTGAAGTTTGGTGCGCCCCTCGACTCGTGCCCCGGTCTTCTCAAGCTCGCCCGCCAGCTTGGGTTGAACGTCATCGGTGTCTCCTTCCACGTTGGAAGTGGGTGCAAGGACCCGATGCAGTTTGCCGATGCCGTTTGGCGCGCGAGAAAGGTGTTTGATATGGGTAAAGAGGCTGGGTACGACTTTGGGTTGTTGGATATCGGAGGAGGGTTTGAGCATGAGACGTTCAAGGAGATGACTGAGGTGTTGAACGATAGCTTTGAGCTCTACTTCCCTGCGAGCAGCGGGGTGAGGATCATTGCTGAGCCTGGACGATTCTTGGTGTCCAGTGGTAAGTCTTTTCCATTGTCAAAAGAGAGTCGAACCTGACATGCCCTAGCATTCACCTTGGCGACTTCTATCATTGCCGCTCGTCGAGCCATTGGAGCCGAGGCCGGCAAGGAACAGGCTCAGGCTGTTGCTCAGGAAGAGGCCAAGTCTGCTGACGTGATGTGTAAGTTTTACTTTCAAAAACCAAATGTATCGATCTGACATCACACAGACTACATCAACGACGGCGTTTACGGTTCTTTCAACTGCATCATGTTTGACCACCAAATCGTCCACCCCCACCCGCTCACCATCGCCCACGAGCGCGCCATGGTTGAGCCTCCCTTCCCTCCTCTGCCCAATGTGGCAGTCGACGTCGACCTCCCCGTTCAGATGGGCTACACCGATGTTGAGACGGCCAGTGTCTGGGGACCTACCTGCGACTCGATCGATTGTGTGAGGCAGTTGGTGGACTTGCCTAGGGGTATGGATGTGGGTGATTGGATCGGATGGAGTGAGATGGGGGCGTACACTCTGTGCGCTGCGAGTACTTTCAACGGGTGAGCATCCCCTTTGTCTTCCATCGGTACAGTTGCTGATCTTCTACAGCTTCGAGAAGTCTCCTGTCCTCTGGACTACTGGTGGACACTCTGAAGACGCCCTGGCTGTGCGAGCTATTCTCGACTCTTACAATGCTACTTTCCTCAGATGACATCGACTACTCCCCCGTATAAAAAAAGGAAACGAGTAAAAAGTAGTCATTGTTCGTCTGGGAATATCACGTAGCATCTAGTAGCCGATCTTGTTTCTCACTCATAGCTGTATACAAAATGAATCTGTAACATACTTTCATCGGACAATCGATTGCACAGACAGGTCAAGAAAGCCATTGGAACCATTGTGCTTGAAACCGTATCCGGTCAAAGTCATGAACGGCTTTGAAAACGCGGTGGCATCAGAGTAATCAGTAGTGACAGATCGACTTTGGCGCGTGCCTGGGCGATAGCTGAAATCGCGCTTTGACTGGAAATAATTTGAGCTTGTGTAAACAAATCCACCGCCACAAAACACTCCCCTTTTCTCTTCTTTCCAATCTCGTTGATGCTCCCCACGCTCAGGTTATTCAGAATGGCGAGCACAAGGACTTACAGCGTGAGTGGCTCGTCCCCAGCGGTCAACCCGGCGTGCTGATAGACATGCAGGAAGCGGTTTCTCTGCTCAACACCTGCCAGTCCAATGCTGCCACGTGAGATAATCACTGACCAAGGAATGTTGTTCTGACAATGGTGTATAGCATTGAAGCTATCCGGAAATCTGGTGGACGGCTGAACGAATATGCGGTCGCTGAAATGCACGACTATCTTCGTCGTATCGGCTACAAGGTGAATATCTCTCCACTCTAATGTAACGCATACTTATACGCGTGTAGCCCGAGGACTTGAATGCGCTCAATGTCGTGCACATTACCGGTACCAAGGGCAAGGGCTCGACTTCAGCCTTTACCGAGCGTGTCCTTCGCGCCCATATGCCAGAGAAGAAGATTGGTCTTTACACTTCTCCTCATCTTTGCGCTGTACGCGAGAGGATCAGGGTGAACGGAGAACCCATTTCCGAAACCGAATTTGCCAAATTCTTTTTCGAAGTCTGGGACAGGCTTACGGCGGACCCCAAGGTGAGTTTGCATTCACCCCGAGTTGCTCTTTGCTGACCGACCACTCTCTCAGCCCCTCACTGAGCAGACCCCGCAATATCCTGTCTACTTCCGTCTCCTCACCCTTCTCGCCTTCCACACCTTCCTCTCCCTCGGCGTCTCTGCTACCGTCCTCGAAGTGGGTATCGGCGGTCTGTACGACTCGACCAATATCGTGCCCAAGCCTATTGTGACCGGTATCACCTCGCTGGGTTTGGACCACACTGCAGTACTGGGCAACACGATTGAGGAGATTGCTAGGAACAAGGCAGGAATCTATAAGAAGGGTATCCCGGCATTGAGTGTCGAACAGGAGCGAGGTGGAGAGGTGCTGGAGGAAACAGCTCGGGCGAACGGCGTAAGTCACTCAATATCTGACACATGGCCATGGCTGACTCTTCTCTCCTGAAGGCGATCTTTGAGGTTGTCCCTACTATTGAGCCCACACCTCTGGGTCTTCCCGGAGCTCACCAACGCATCAACGCCTCTCTCGCTGTCGCCCTCTCTTCCAAGTTCCTCACTCTCCAAAACTATCCTTTCCCGCCCGCTCAACCTCCCTCCCTTATCCCCGCCTCTTTCATCAAGCCCCTCGCCTCCGCACACTGGCCTGGAAGATGTCAGCTGGTCGAGCAAGGTAGGACCACTTGGTTGCTCGATGGCGCGCACACCGTAGAGTCGCTGAGGTCTTGTGGAGAATGGGCTTGGGGGCTGGAGAAGAAGGTACCGGAGGTGTTGATCTTCAACTGCAGTGGTGGCCGAGCGGCGGAGAGCTTGTTGGGTGAGCTTTTGGAGGCTGGTGCGAGGACTAGAGGTACAAACAGGGATGAGGTTGCGAGCAAGTTTGACAGCGTCATCTTTTGTACCAACGTGACCTACACCGATGGCCATTTCAAGTCTGGTGAGTCGAGTTCAGGCGATGGGCTGGAGACGCAACTGATATTATATTCAGACCTCGATTCCAAGGCCATTGACCCCAACGACCTCTCTCAACTTGCGACCCAGAACGCTCTCCGCGACGCTTGGCTTCGCCTCAACCCTTCCTTCCCTGCCGACCGGGTACACGCTCTTCCCTCTATCCAGCACGCCATCAAGATCGTCAGAGATCTCGAGGACAAGACTGTGCTTGTGGCTGGTAGTTTGCATCTGGTGGGAGGAGTCATGGAAGTGGCTGGGTTGCAAGAGGCGTTGAGTATGGAATAGACAGCGAGGGTTTTGTACATTTCAACAATGATTTTCTCATCACGCGTATACGGGCTTCCGACTAAAGATGTACCATATGTATACATTCAACGTATCCTTTTTAGATGGCTTTGACCCTCATGCTTGGTCCTTCAGGTCAACAGCCCGCGAGGTCCGAGATTAGAGTCTATCCCATAGCAACTCTGTATAAAGGTTCCGCCTCCTTTTCATGTCTCCGGCTGACTGGAGACCCCCCTCTGCCGGCATGTTATCACCGTTGTGCTCTCTCGATCGGTCTTCGGCCCCGTCTTCACTCATACCGATCTCCATATCTTCCCTGTCTCCTTCATCGATACCACGGCGATGCCTGTTGAGCATATTGTGAAGCACTGCGCAAGCAACAACCACTCGTCATTGTTGGTCTAAGCGTTGGCGTAAAGGCTCTCGCAGAATCCCAAATCTGCTTTTGAGTAGGTCAAAAGCTCTTTCGATACAATTATGGAGAGAGGCATGCTGCCTATTGAACTCTTCTACGTCGCTGCTGGGCCTAGAAGATGGTGGTCAGCTGTGTAAAGTTGTTTATGAAGTAAATCTTGAGCTCACACAGCACCAGGCTCCCATGTACGGTACTTGACTGATCTATGAGGAGTCAGGACATCTTTTGAGAGTCCGTAACTAGCATCACCCAATAGATATAGACCAGGAGGCATTGCAAAGTTGCCTGTTGCCCGAGCCATTTCAAGTACCCTTGAATCATGCGCAGATCCCTCTACACCGGCATGTATCGCAATGAAGTCGAGGTCGAAGTTACAGGCAGCAAAGACGTTAATAGTCGTTTTGTCCTTTCTCCCTCTCCTTGAGACGTAAACATCTTCGACTCTTTTTGGTACTTTCACCCCTATATGGGTACCATCAAGCGCCCCTCTGCACCCTGCAAAGACCAGTGGCGAATAGTCTTTGATTTGGGGGTGGTCTGGCTCATCGGCAGAGGGGATCCTGATCCATTCATCGACGATCTCTTCAGACGACAGAGCCAGGACAACAGTCCATAACGATCTGCAAGGAAGTCAGTCAGATCGAGCCTAAGTATTATCTGCTGCTGGTACTTACTCCGTAACCGTATCTAGACTCCTCTGGCCAAAAGCCTCAGCAGTATGCCTGGTCGAGTCGCCCGTGCGCAGCGTCCACAATCCCATGGCAAGGCTTGCCTCCGCCGAGACACCTCTGCTTCCCAACTCGACTCCTTTACCTTCCATGTAATCTTTGATGCTCAAGAACTCCTGGAGGTTGACGCCCAATGCAGCACGCATTCAATGGCTACTGTGGGAGAGCCACTCGCCCACTTGTTGCTCGACATCCCAGTAACCATCATGCAGCCTTCTTCTTGTTTTCTTGTTTTTGACGTGGCGTATCATTTGTAACAAGACAAGCTGAGCCATAGCCATTGTGATGATGGCCATCATAACCTTGACCATGTGATGCCGCGGTACATTGTTGTCGTGGAGGGGCATTATTCTTGACCATAAAGAGCAATTTCTTTGGTGAGAATGTAAAATACATATTCATCTTCACAACAACATCACAAGCTTGACGTCAGGGCGGAGCCGGACTTCGCCGCCAAGACGATGATGCGTGCCTGGCCAGAAATCCCAAGTGCATAGTAGTACGGCCATCTCTTGTTCTTCTCCACGCAACTTGCCACGCTCCGTTGCCAACACCCTCAAAGCCTCTTCAATTTAGAGATAACGGGACATGGCCCCCGTCTCCAACGCCTTCATCTATCTGACGGCTCTCTTCCGGCCTACCCTTTTGCGGCCACATCTTCGCGTGCCGAGTAAGTGGCCTTCGGTGAACCGCTTCAAGAGTCATGTCTCACATATCGGCAATTAGGTATCGCCAATGTGGATTTTCAGGCTCTGAAGAGAGAAGGATATAATGCGGTCGTGATAGACAAGGACAATTGTCTGGCAAGTCTAGTCTCTCCGCAAATGTATAGCTACTGAAACGATGTACTTTAGACACTACCCAACAAGGACTACATCTGGCAACCATACGAGGTGAGTGTGATCTGACAAAATGCAAGATTCTATTCACTCATACCATGAGCAGACTGCTTGGAAAGATCTCTTGGCTACTTTTGACCGTGGACGCGTTCTTGTGGTTTCAAATTCGGCTGGTACATCAAAGGATCCAGGAGGCATAGCTGTACGTCCTCGCAAATCCACTCGAGACTGGAGCTGATCTGATTCACTGACAGGCTGAAGCCGTTTCCCTTCATCTCCGCGCCCCCGTCCTCTTACATGCCACGCCCAAACCCGGCTGTTCCAAAAACATCCTCTCCTACTTTGACGGCAAACTCGGCAAGCCGCACACCCTGCGGCATGATATCGCTTCCGCTGGTTTGAAGTTGCTGGAGGAGGAGAAGCTGGATGAGGCCATAGTGTGGGAAAGGCTGGCGAAACAGCTCGAAGGGCCGTTGTTAGGTGCCGCCCCGACGAACGGGCACGAGGAGAAGAGTGAAGGGAAGAAGGTGGTAGAAGGAGGGGTGGATGGCTTCAAAACCTCTCCGTCCCAGGAGAGCATACAACCTCAGATAGTCAAGCAGACGCCGTCACCAGAGGAACTGCGGATACTCGTGATAGGCGACAGGCTCTTCACAGACACTCTCCTCGCCGACCGACTCTCCCGTCGGCTGCGCCCATCTTCCAGCAAAGACACGATACCCCATCCTCTCCCCAGAGTCCTCTCGATCTACACCACATCCCTTCCCAAACCTCAAGATGTGAGGCCCCTCAGATGGCTCGAGGAGAAACTCTCCAAAGGTCAAACGCAAGGAGACTTTAGCCGCTTCATCCTATCCGAGAAAGTGAATACTGCAGCTTTAGACGTTTCAGAAGCTATCAAGCCTTCAAGGCTGGCAGCGCTGAGATGGCTGACGCCTGCGAAGTGGAGAGAGATCGAGGTGCCGCCTATGACTTGGCATCCTCGGACTTGGAAGCTCGTGCCAGTAGCAGCTGCCTTCGGTGGGCTGACGGGGACCGTGGCGAGGATTCTGTGGACGCAAGGAAAGCGAGGAGCAAGTCTCACGTGGACCAAAGCGAGAAGATGGGTGGCGCAGAGGAAAGAAGACAGGGAGAGTTTGGAGGTCGCAAAGGAACTTGAGACGTCGACGGCAAGCCGGGTATCTGCAGCAAGAGAAGAGAAAGTAGCACCTACCGCTTCGTCATAGCCAGATGTCACATGATCATTCATAGGGTCATGGAGAACACGACACGCTGAGTACTCCTTGAGTACTCCTTGAGTCCTATGAGTCTGTCGCATGAGGCGTTACTCCTTCATCAACACTTTACATACACAGGACGACCAACAATTTCTTTACTGAGACTGATACTTCACAACACTCGCCATCTTCCGCACAAGCCACACTTCGATCCGATCATCTTGAGGTGGTGCAGAGGTATCTCGGGTCGACTTAGCAGCTCAAAAGTCCGCTTTGGAGCCGTCACTGCGCGACACAGGTCAGCCCATAAATCCAAATGATTATAACGGTTTGTAATGCATAGGCGGACTCACTTGTTCCACATCCAGCCGGAAGTCTCTTCCTTGGTGCTGGTGTCGATCAATTTGACGATACCAGCTTCGTGAAAACGCTTCCGTAAGCACTGGGCAGAGAAGGATGAGATGAAGAGACACTTACGGATAACATCATCAACCGTTTCTGGCTCGATAGGAGGCTTGCCAACGTCGTCCCAGGACTCGCGGGCCATCTTGCTAAAGAGATGCTGTCAGCAAGTTTGAACAAGTACGAGGGGTGACCGGTGAGCGCACGTGTTGACTACACCAGGATGGATAGTGAATGCTTTGAGAGTGGGCTCCTCGTAGTGGATTGTACGAGTCTGAATGATGTATCAGTATATGCTACAAAAGATTTTGGCGTAGCTCACGAGGTAGTTGACTGCCGCTTTGCTAGCTCCATACAAACCGATATGCTCCCAGAAGAAAGTCCTCTGCAATGACCCAGCAAGACTAGAGATGACCACAAAGGTCCCATTGTCCTTCAACAGTGGCCTAGTAGCTTGGTAGAGCACGAGAGGCCCACGGGTGTTGACTTGATAGACATAGTCGAACTCGGTGGGGGAGGCTTTGGTGAGGAGGGCGCCAGAACCTGCTGTACCAGAATTGGCGACGACGATGTCGAAGTGGGTTATGTTGTGTTTAGTCTTGAGCTCCTCGATGACCTGTGGGATATTGTCAGTGGGATTCTTGGTTATACGGGGCTACGCACATTATGGAAGTCGGTCAGGGAAGATTGATCAGCCTTGACTGTGATGACGTTGCCTTCGAGATTGGGGCCCTTTTCGGGGCTACGGATGGCAGCAACGACGGTCCAGCCTTGTTTGAGATAGTGTTTGGCGATCCCCTCGCCAATACTGTCAATGGATCAGTAGATATATAGAAAAGGAAATAAGTGGCGACGCTCACCCTTGAGAAGTACCGGTGATGAGGATGACTTTGTCTTGGTTGTTCGAGGTCATGACGTGAGATTGGCTGTAGATTTGTATGCACTAGTTTGACAGGGGATGAAGGAGCGTTTTCTCAGCTTCAAAGCGTGGTATATATAGCTGAATGTACCATGATTGATCAGCTAGAGTGTGAAGCAAACACACCATGGCGCAACAGATGCTTGCTCAGCTGTCTGATGCTTGCTCAGCTTTAAGACACGATGACCGTCGGCGACATGACAAAACTCTGCTGCCAGAATTGATCAGCTTCGTGCGTACTACAGTCGATGGGGCCTGAGGAAGCAAGTGCTATACGTGAATCTATACGAAGCTTGATGAGCAACCAGGATGACTGAGGGAATGACTCTGAGTCATCAAATGCCGGACCGACGGTCATTATCATTACTTGCGCGGCGCGGTCTCGATTTAGGCGTCGTACGTGTTGAAGCACCCTGCGGCGATATGTGCGTTACCTGAAGAGTACCCTGGGACCGACCTGAAGCATGCCTGCGGTGCTTCGTGTTGACCGAAGGTGCGTCGAGTCACTGGCCAGGGGAGGGGAACCACCAGCAGAGACGACGCATAGCGTATTAATCCGATGCGCAAGTTCTCTAAATCTCCACTCCGAAGGGTGGGTCTTTCTGCACCCCTGACCCTCCAGAGGGATGTTTGAATGACTTCATCATGGTGTCGGCTATCAGACCCTCAGACAATATCATCAAGATCCTTTGCATAGTCTGTAAGTCAGGAAGCACGAATCTACGGACCATCTATAGGCAATCAGATGTGTTCTTTCTCTACTGTATCGATGATGGACGTAACAGCACTCACTTGTTCCACATCCACCCAGAGTTCTCTTCCTTGGTACTGGTGCTGATCACATTAACGATGCCAGCTAACTCCCCAGTAAGCTCTGGGCAGAGACGGCCGGTAAGAGGAGCATAACGAGGTACGCACGGACAACATTCTCAACAGCACCTGGGTTGCCGATGGCATCCAAGGAATCTCGAATCATTTTGCTAGAGCGGTGCTGTCAGCAACAGGAAGACCGAAAGAACAATCGAAGCTTACGTGTCGACCGCACCAGGGTTGATAGTGAATGCTTTGAGAGCCGGCTCCTCATGGTGAATGGTACGAGTCTGAAGAGGCTATGAGTATATGCTTGGGAACGCTTCTGACCGGCTCACGAGGTAGTTGACCGCGGCTTTGCTGGCTCCGTATAGACCAATATATTCCCAAAGGAAATCCTTGTTCAATGACCCAGCAAGATGACCACGAAAGTGCCATCGTCTTTCAACAACGACCTAGTGGCTTGGTAGAGTACAAGAGGTCCACGGGTATTGACTTTGTAGATGTGATCAAACTCGGTGGGAGAGGCTTGGGCGAGAAAAGCTCCGGAAGCCGCGACACCAGAGCTGGCGACGACAATGTCGAAATGGGTGATGTTGTGTTTAGTCTTGAGCTCTTCGACGGCCCGTGAGACAGTCAGTGGGGTATGTGCTGATGAGCGGGACTGCTCACATCTTTGAAGTCAGTCAAAGAAGACTGGTCGGCTTTGACAGTGATAATTCTGCCTTCGAGTCTGGGAGCCGCCTCGGGGCTGCGAACAGCAGCGACGACGGTCCAGCCTTCTTTGAGGTAATGTCTGGCGATGCCCTCTTCAATACTAGAAGATGGATTAATATACACGTAAAAAGTAATCAGCGGCACTCACCCTCGAGAAGTACCGGTGATGAAGATAACATTGTCTTGGTTGTTTGAGATCCCGGTCATCATGACGTGAGATTAACTGTAAAGAGCTGTTTGGACAGTGAAAGGGATATCCTTTCTGGAATCTATATGTGTGGTATATATAGGTGGTATATCAGCTGTACCTATGGATGATCAGCTAGAATGTCAAGTGAGCACACCATGGCGCAATGGACGCTTGTTTAGCTGTAGTAGGCATGGCCGCGGGCCGCACCGCTGTTGTCCGCTGTATAGATCAGCTTCCCGCGGGCCGCGATTTATGTACACTTGCTCTGTAATCGCCCAAGTGCTATTCACAGATGTATCAGTATGCTCAATGCAGGGTAAGTAATTATGCGTTATTGGATGAGGAAGAGACTCTGAATAATCAGGGTCGACAAGCGCGGGCGCCGCTACTATACCGTGGCCTCCACTTGGCTTGTTGAAGCTGTCGGGGCACTCGACGGCGATGAACTACTATGAAGTAAGTCACTTAGATTGTACTGTGTATGAGCTCAAGAATCTGTACTGACCTTCTCCTCGTTTGTATCTTGCAAGAGCTGCTCTCCAACAAACTTCAACTTGCTCGGTGACCCGAACCGCTCGTCATAACTTTTGTAGCCTCTGTTCTGCTTGATCTGTTGCATCAACTTCGCAGCTCAAGACAATAAAGTCACGAGAATACCTTGCATTACCAGACCCTCTTGATTAATGAACTTTCCAAAGGGCTGTCTTGCTTAGGTAGTAGGACTGTAGGTCGTGTGACTGGCGGCGACCTCCACTCCCTTATCGTCGCCAGATCATCAGATGGACATCCTTCCATTTCCTGTCACTTTTCGCAGATACCACTTTATTGTACTCCCCTCAGACACAGCCATATCCAGTACTGCCCCAGCCAAGACTGAATGCCCCCCTACGCCCTCATCACGCCCTTCCTCATCCGCGCCCTCCTCCATCTCCCCTTCCCTCAGACATTCTTCCAGCCAGACGAATTCTATCAAGCTCTCGAGCCGGCCCACCAGAAAGTCTTTGGATATGGCTTCTTGTCTTGGGAGTGGACTGACCTGCCTCGGAGGGCGGTCAAAGCTGCGGTGGGGCTGGGAGGGCAGGGTGTAATGGAGAAGTGGTGGGATGAAACAGTTGTAGGCGGGAGGATGAGAGGGTGGATATGGCCTGGGTTGTTTACCGGAGCGTATAAGATCCTTCAAAGTGTAGGACTTGATCAAGGAGTCATGCTTGTGAGAACTTTCTCGGTAGAGCCTGTGCAGTGCTGATCACCGAGGACAGACTTTGGCGCCGAGAATAGTCGGGGTCGTTGTCGCGGGCTTGACGGATTATTACACATATCGACTGTCTTCCAAGATGCTTGGACATGGTTCGGCCCCAACAGCAGTAAGTGTTCAGGTGGAGAACTGCTTTACGAAGAATAGAGACTGACTTGCTACAAAGCTCTTCCTCTCTCTTACCTCCCTCTTCAATGCCCACCTTCTTCCCCGCGCCCTATCCACCTCTCCCGAGACTCTCCTCACTTTGATGGCCATCTACTACTTTCCTCTACCCCATCCCGTCCCCACCCATATAGAAGACCTCAAAAGGGGAGCGCGGTTGATACCTGTAGGTAATCGCGGCAAGAGTGCAAAAGAGGCAGATGAAGCGGAGATGGAGATTTTGGGCGTGGAGGATTCGGATGCGACCTTTTGGGGGGTCAATGAGTTGGACTATGTGGTGATGGATAGGACCGGTCCGGCTGTGGAAAGGTGGCCTGTGTATGTTGTCACATGCCGACAATCGCGAGTGAGGCTGATGGGTGTTATAGGCATAAGGATACATTGGCGCTATCTATTGGACTAGCTGCTTTGGCTATCTGTGTTCGACCTACAATGCTGAGCTTCTGGGCGTTCTTGGGGATCAACCTGCTTTACAGATCATTCAGATCTAAAGGGTTGTTATCAGCCATCAAAAGCGCTGTCGTTGCATTTTTGAGTTTGTGAGTGGGCACCACTCGTGACCGCCGTCAAGCTGACATTACGTAGTGTCTCCGTCTTCTCAGCCGCGACTGGCTTTGACTATTACATGACGGGACGCCTGTACTTCCCACTACTCACATTCATCCACCAGAACTTGTTTCTCGACATTTCCTCCTTCTACGGCCGGACTACGCCTTTATACCACCTCACTCAGAGCTTGCCGCTCATGCTCTTCCCTATCTGGATCTGGTGGGCGAAAGGTTTCGCTGCTGCCTTACTCCCTTCTTCTATCCTACCTGCCTCGTTGTCAAAATATGACAGGCAAGAGGGCATGACTATCCTCGCCCGCGCCATCACATTCACAATCACCACCCTCTCCCTCAGCTCTCACTCTGAGTGGCGCTTCCTCCACCCCCTCCTCCCACCTCTCCTCCTCTTTGCCATCCCCTCCTTCTCCCTCTCCTACACCCCCACCATCCTCGGCGCATACTTTCCCGTCCGCTCTTTCCGCCAGTACCTCCGCATGGACAAGGTCCCCTTCTACACGGTGCTCTTTGCTGGTGTGGTGCCGTTTGTATACTTGAATGTGTGGCATGGCGCGGCGCAGGTGGGTGTCATGGATGTACTGCGGAGTGGGAAGCTGGGGGAGGTGCAAGGGCTGGTGGTGCTGGGGCCGTGCCATAGTGTGCCGTGGATGAGCCATTTGCATGAGGATGTGCCGGCATGGTTCTTGACTTGTGAACCTCCCGTCGGGTAAGTCTATTCTGACAGCACTGCGTGCACATGACATGCTGACAGTATCATAGAGTCGATGCCAGCACATACCAGACCGAACAAGAACTGTTCTACGCCGACCCTGTCGGATACCTCTATTCGACCTTCCCCGCTCTGCCTTCCTCCAACGCACTCACCAACCTCACTTCCTACCCTTCCCATGTCATCCTCTTTGGCGAGCTTCTATCCCGATCTGGTTTCCTGCTCAAGGACGAACCGGATGACTCTGGGCTACAGATGAAGCAGAGTACGGTTGAACAGGCGTTCGAGATGCTGGGGTATGAACAAGTATGGGAGGGGTGGAATGGATTTGATTTGGCGCAGGATGAGGATGAGAGGAAGGGAGGAGTTAGGGTTTGGAGGAAAGAGTAGACCCCTCGGATTTCGGATTTTGAGGGGGTTGGATAGTTGGATCGAGGTGGTCGATGCTCTCGACCAGCGTCCAGACCAGGTCCAATGTGTATAGGCACCCGACTTGGACAGCAAAGGTCCCGAACAATCGAAAAAGAATGGGGTCATGACCAGTACGAAACAGGGTTGTAAAAGTTATAACGATTGATGCAAACGTCTACGAATTGTCTTGTCCTGAGAACATTGCAGCAAAGAAGAAACAAAAAGACGATTGATCTGACTTTTGCGTCATCTGAGTTATCTCCCAGGTCCCATCAACGGTTTACCAACTTGCATGTCCAATCCACGTTTCTGCCATGTGGATGCGAAATTCCCGACCATGTCTGGGGCTGGTGTTGTCGCAGGGAATGCACTCGGCTGTTGCAACAAGAACAAGAACAATCCTTGACGTCAGCATCTACAGACGACTCACCCGACATCCTTTTTACCTGCAAAGTCCGCCTTCGTCTCTTGCTCGGAACGAGCAGGGTAAGACGTCATGGCCAGCCATGACTCCTCAACGTGTCATCAGCAAGAGGGACTTCACTTGACCACTCCTATAAGAAAGGGGTGTGTTCTCCTCGCCGTTCCGCATATCCTCGTTTTCTATAAAGACACCATCAGCCGCCCTTCTTATCACCCCTCTCAAGTCTTCAAGCCAAGCAGTCCAAGATGGTCGCCGCCAACCGCCGTTCCCCTCTGACCCTCTCACTCGCTGCAGTGGCAATGTTTGTACGTCGCGCCCCCTCCCCACGCGTCGTTCCAAGGATTGCCGCTGACTTTTGGATGGCCGTTGGTAGATTGCCACTCTCTTCTTCTGGCTCTCTGCGTTCAGCGTGCCCTTCATCAAGGGGATCCACTACATCCACACTCGGGAGAACGACGTCAAATTCGGCAACTTTGGGTGGTGTGCCGGGCCACCTGACACGGGATACCCAGGGACCGTGTGCTATCAGCATGTCGGGTGCGTCTTCTCCTCCATCATGCTGGGATGCTCGAGCTGACAAGGGTGATAGATACGACTGGTCACCTTGGTTCCCTGGAAATAAGCACACTACCGGGGCGTTGATGCTCGTAGCTCTTACCGCCGCTTTCGGCACGCTCGCATTCTTCAGCTTGATGCACAGTGTCATGGACTTGAGGAGTGGCATGTGCTCCTTCTTCCTTACCGTACGTCCTTCACCACCTCTCCCAGTCTAGCTAATAGGTACCCCAGAATCTGACCACTTTCCTTGCTACACTCTCGTTCTTGCTCGTGGTCATCATCTTTGGTACTGCCCACCACCGCTTCAAGCGAGACAACCTCGACCCGCATTACGGTGCTGCGTTCGTGCTTGTCATTATCGGATGGTTGATCTTGCTGGTTACGCCGCCCCTGGTGACTATCGGGTGGTTCAGAGAGAGGCGATACAGAAACAGGCCTGAGGGGTACCGCGCCTAAGAAGTTTTGAGTGTTCGAGGGGTTTGAGATGATGTTGAGAGAATGATCCCGATACGAATATTGACGACATGATGATTTACATTCCTTTTAATGATGATGATGAGTGTTTATTTTTAGCTATATGCACATGTTCATGCCCTTTGTACAGTACAAGCACACAAGCACTCGCCTGCCTCTGACCCTTCTCCTTCACACAATGCCTTCTCCTAATGGCTACAGCAAGGAGAAAAGACCTTAGTCTTCGTCCTTGTTCTGGCTCTCCTTCTTGGACCAGTCCAACCAGCTTCCGACATAGTTTCGGATAGACTTGTAACCCTTCTCACCGGCGAGCTCGGCAGCGTTGGCAGATCGCTTGCCAGAGCGGCAGAAGAAGATGATGTTCTGGTCGGGCGAAGGCTTGGGGAAGGCAAACGCCTGCGAGTACGAGTCAGCGAGATGTTCACTTTATAGTATGTAGATGACTCACCCGCTGGAAGTCTCCAGGGTTGAAGTTGCTGTCCAAAGCATCCTTGAGCTTGGACAGGGGCAAGTTTACAGCCGAGGGGATAGATCCCAGGGCAACCTCATCCGGCTCACGGACATCCACCACAAGAATGTTCTGCATCACTCATCAGCAACTGCCTCCCATTCCGTCTGCATCCACTCACGTCGGAAGGCTGCTCCGTGATGGGCTTGAGCTCCTCGTAGCTGACGATGGGGTTCTTGGCCCACTCGGAGACGGAGGGCATGGACTTGCGGTCGGCAGCTTCGTGGAGGGTCTGGGAGACGACCATCTTTCGGGGCTGGGCTGTGGTGAATGCCCTTGTGGGGAGGGGGAGAGCGGTGGCCCGGAGGGGGAGGGGGGCAGCGGTGAGGGCGCGGAGGGAGCGGTGTGCGAGTGTGCGGGAGAAGGACATGGTAATTTGTGGGCGAGAGGAGAGAGAGGCAAACTTCGGCCGCGGCGAGTTGGGAATGCTCTTTCGGGAAGAGCACGCAATACCCATTAGCGGGAGCAAATCAATCTGTAATGGCGATTAGTCTGACCTCGCTTGCGATCTTAATCACAATCCTAATGCGACCATATCCTATTGCTATTGGTTTCTGCATGTGCTTCAAACCCGAAAGTCATGAGAGTATAACTTGACGGAGAACACATTGGGCGCGAGATTGATCCTCACGCCGATCCCTTTGTTGTTGTTATGAGCGCCACACGACTCATCACTCAACATGGCGCGTGGTCAGCCGCCAGCGATGTCTCTCTGTCTTGAATCTTGCTGCGTCCTGGCGCCCTGCGGTCAAAGACTTACCCGTCTCAGATCGACACAGGCATTCCATCGCCTTGCTCAGGGGATCCGGCGCTGAAAGTAGGACCGGCCTAGCGATCCTGCGATCAAGTGTTGTGACGACGATGGAAGCGGCGGCAGTATAGAATGTCAATGGAAATTGGATTTACTACAGAGAACAGCCTTGGAAGTTTACCCATGACCCCATCTTAATCTGATAAATCAGAGTCAATGGCTAGCAAAGCCATGATCGCCTCCAAAGTCTGACGTTGGTGGCGACCGTGTTGTTGGCGTTTCTCAGTGCCTCTTCTCACAGCCAAGGTACAAGACAAGAAGGCGACGGAAGCCCCAAAAGAACAAAAGACACGCAAGCAAGCTTCAGATCTATTCAAGCGAGAAGATGGATGCCCTAGATGCTCGGGTGCACAGGCAGCAGAGATGTCTGCGCAGAGTCCAAGAAGTAGTCCTCATCTTGGGAGGTCGAGCAACAACAACAATCACATGGACCGTCATGCCGTCACCCCTCCTAACCAGTTCCAGCTTCTAATTGTAACCTCCCGTGACGCAAGCTGTACACACACCGCAACCCCGACGAGCCCCGGCACCTGCACCGCCAGCGACCAAGCAGCGACAACCCTCGTCCGTCGGCTTCCCGATAACAGATCAAGAGAAGGGATTCCATTTTTTTTTTCTCCGACCGTGCCTTTTCAACTTCTTATTGTTCTTTTACTGCGACCCTTTCTTGCCCCAGCCCCGTCCTGAACTCGCCCCTCCTACAGCGCCACATGATCCACCCCGGATGAAGGAAAGACAATAGCACGTTCTCGGAGATCACCTCAGAGTCATCGGGCGCAGCCATCTCCGAAGCACCAAATTACCAGCTAACAGGGGCGGCACATGAGTCAGTTTCTGCGAAAAGAGGCGTTTCTCCTTGTGCGTGGCCCTCGGATCCTTGGAGCCACTTGGGCTTGATTTGGTGGGCTATGCAATCGAGGGGAGAGACGGATTCCAGAGCTAGTGCGTTTTCCCGACTTGCGCCATCTTTATTTATCTTTCGTCTTTCTCTCTTCTTCTAAGATTGCACTCAACCCAGACCATCCCCGGGCACACGGGCAACGACTACCAACGGAACCGATAATCACTCTTGGATTAGACTTTCTTTACCCTACCACAGCTAGTAGTAGCACGGTAGCATCCCCTCTTCCCTAAACGGCGACATCCTACACCTGCCGATCTCCCACCTTCCTTTCACGCTTGACAAGTATAAATCACAACACCACCACCCCCATTTCCCACGCCCCCAATGTCCCCTACCAACATGTTTACCATCTCCCTCGCCCCTCACCAGCCTTATACCCTCTCATACCACCTTTCCACCCCGTCCAACAAGGTGGCAGAGACCATCGACCCGGCGTACCCTACCATCATGTTTTGTCATCCGCCTTGGATTGACGGGTACATCTTGTGAGCTCCATCTCCTCCTATTATCTACAGATTGCTGATGCAAATGAGTAGTTATCCGCAATTCGAAGAACCAGAGCTGCATGAGAATTACAATCTGCTCGCTATCGACTTGCCCGGCCACGGTTCGAGCCATGTCGATTCTGCGCCTGCTGCGAGGTATGAATGGCACCGCGCGGCTGAGACCATCTACTTCGCCCTCGTTCGTCCTCTCCCCTGTATACCTATGCACACAGCTGACGAGTGGGATAGGAAGCGCTGAATGTCGCACCAGTCCATGTCGTCGGGGTTGGTTCCGGCTGCTACAGTGCCCTGCGCCTCGCCCTCGCTCACCCAGAAGCTTGTGAAAGCCTGGCACTAGTGGGGCCTCTGACAGAGCACGAACCTGACGCTGTAGTTGAAGCCTTCAAAGAATGGATCGACGTGAGTTCGCCTCTTCCCTCACACCCTACCCTCGAGGACTGAGAGCTGATGGCATGAGGGGACAGTCGCTCAAGACGGCAGTGGCCGAGAAAGACAAGGAAGCGATCTATGCGCTCAATAAGTTTGCGATCGACTTTTTGACGGATCAGGAGGGGAATCCTGTGATTGCGGATTGGGCGGAAGAGTATGGGCAGATGGTGGAGGCGAGGCTGGACTCTGGCGAGGTGCGTCCATTTCAAGCGATTGGCTATACGGGACAAGGAAGGCTAACGGATAGGGACATAGATGGAGTTTGCGTTACCGTATTACTGTGATTTGTTGGAGGCGAGGAATGAGCTGCCTACGCAAAAAGAGATGGAACAGCTCTTGTGTCCTCTTTTGGTCATCGAAGTGAGTACGCCCGTTATCACGCAGGTTCGTGCTGATATTCTACAGCAATCCTTTATTGAAAATCCTACGCCTCCTGCCAATATATACACCAAGGCTCTCGACGCTATCAACGCAAGAAAGTTCCGCGAGGGGAGGGCCTGTTCGGCCAGCCGTCTGTTAATTGAAGGTACCACCCCTTCCAGGTGGATGTCGCTGGCCTATCAAGAGCCGTAAGTCTACCTATGATATCCAGAAGGGAGTAAGCTGACTTGACGATAGTGTCAACCTCGCCCTCGCCGAGTTCATCAGCACCAAAACCACCCTCTCTCTCCCTCCTTCCCCAGCCACCCCCTCCGTCGCGCGTCGGCCCAGTACCCCGCGGGACATTACAGGTTTCTTCATCCCGCCTCCTCCCAAGCTCGCCCCGGGCAGAAAGACGTTGGGCGAGATGATGGATGAGCTGGAGAAGAGAGGGGAAGGGGTGAATGTTGAGGTGGAGGTGTTGGTGCAGATCGGAGAGTAGGGTGCAATGGGGAAAGTGCGGTGAAAAATTAGAAATCAAGTTGTCTCCATATATCTTTTGGGTTTTCTGGTCAGTGTTAGTGTCATGTCTCACAAAACGAAGAAATGTATCGGCTCTCATAAAGTATGGTTACTATCCCGTACTCTGCCTCATGGGCAGGCAACAGCAACACATCCTTGGAGTGGTTGAGTGAAGTGGAGGTCATGTGATGGTACCTTGTCGCCACTCTCCTCTTTCCTGTCATGTGTACCCTGTTTCGGCGCAGCAGGGATGATTGACAGCGTGTCATGCATCCGCACAGAACAACATTGACGTCACAGGAGAGTCCCACAGGACAATGGTGGGTCGCTCGGCGGGGTATATATAGAGGGGAGAGGGAGCGTATTTCTTCTCCCATCAGCCAACAATCCCCCTCTTCTCACCTTTCCACTGCACAAGAAACACCCACGCACCATGTTCGACAGTGAGTCTCCCCAGCAACACTCATAGTCCCCGCTCACTCCTTCCAGAACTCCGAGCCAAGATCAACTCTCACCACGACTCCCACCCCCTCTCCAAGCAGCGCGCCGAGTTCCTCGCCATTAAGGGCGATACCCCCCTCGAGCGCAAGGCCCACTTTACGCACGAAGTCGTCGGTGCCGCTGCTGCCTACGAGGCCTTCAAGGCGTTCGAGAGGAACGGGTCGCATGATGCTGCTGGTACCAAGATTACTCACGCCAAGGCCAAGGAGGTAAGTAGAAGTATGCTTGAGGAGTGAAGACGAGGCTGACCAAAGTGACAGGTGATTGCGGGATTAGCGGCTGGTTATGTAGTCAAGCTCGTCGAGGAGAGGAAGCTCCCCTTCAGTAAGTGTTCAGTCAAGCTCATTTTCCGGGAGCCCGTTTGACCCTCATTTAGCTTCCGAGAAGGACAAGGCCAAGTTTATCGCCAACGCCCAAGTCGACGCTACCCGCGACGCCAAGCGTGCTGTCAGAGAGTCTGGTCTCTACGAGCACCACGAGCTCGAGGCCATTGACAAGGACGAGAAGCACGCGTTGAAGGTGTTGTAAGCGGGATGACATGTACTTCTGAGATTAATTAGGGAGATTGGTTAGTGCAGAGCAGATGATGACTGAGACGAACGTGACGAATATGAGTCATATAAACAATTTCGAGTTGAGCAATGCAATACAAGACAGACGGATGAAAGAGAAGATAGATGCGCCACGAGTGGATATCGCCGCATATTTCCGTTGCTCTATGGCTTCGCGCTTGAAGCGTCATTACAAGCGGTCTCTCGAGAGCATCTATATCCCCTTTCTCTACAAACACCACACGTACCCGCCCCCTGCATCGCTCTCAACGGCGCGCAGATATACCCCAAAAAGAATCACCGCAAAAGGTCCAAAAACGCGCTACTCGGCACACCTCCACCTCTCAGCACCCCTTACCAACGACAACATCTGATTGACAATGGCCGACGTTGATATGAATGGAAGCGGCAAGGACTTTTCTTGGGCCGCCAAGTGTACGTGTCCCCTTGCTCAAACAGTGAGAAGAGATCTAGAAGCTGATTATCGCGGTGATATATAGCTGTCGAAGGATGGATCATTGCCGTGACCAACCTCCACGAGGAAGCTACCGAAGAAGATTTGAAAGACTTTTTCGCCGACTTTGGACCTGTCAAGGGCTTGAACATGCCCCTGAACAGACGGACGGGATATGTTATGGTGAGTTGAGAGTCGGTTTGAGAGTGAACGATGGAAGTGGAAGAGGGTGTACAGGGTTGTCTGGCGTAATGGCGGGATGGCATGTAGTGGTTAGAGATAGAAATGGAAAACATGCTGATGCGTGTCATAGGGCTACGCGTTGATCGAGTATGAGACTAGACAAGAGGCGGAGAAGGCTATTGCTGAGACGGACGGGACCCAATTCCTCGAACAAACCATCCACACGTAAGTCTCTCTCTCTCCTCTCTCTTGCTTTCGTCACAGATGAGGCACTTGTATGCCTGGGTGAACCCCTGCTGTTTCATGAGCTGGCTGGAGTTGCGGAGCTGCTAGAGTCTATTGCTGACGATTGCCATGTAGCGAGTTTGCGTTCTCCAGGGCTCCCAGGGCATCTACAAACCGCAGAGAAGGCAGGGGTAGGGAGTTGTCACCAGGGAGATAAGGGTGCGCAGAACGATTGCGAAAGTTCATTCATGGGATTTTCGGAAGGGAAGCGGATAATGTGAACTATAGAATCATGTACTTTTGGGATAGCAGCGGTCAAACTATCATGCATTATTGTAACAGATCCTACTATCTTCAGATCAATGGCTTCACTCTCAAGTCACGTATTGATGCATATGTAAGATGCTATTACAAAATTGTAAGCCCAAATATGAAATCCAAGCCATATTGTGTCGTATTTACTTTTCGATACACTCTTTCCGAGTACGTTATGATAATTTTAAAGACCTTGAAAGAAGCAGGCGGAACGCCCTGTCTATATGCTCAGATCTGCCCCAGTGGGGAAAGCCATCTCAAACACATCCGCATTCTCCTTCACATGCAATTCCTCTCCGTCTTCGCCTTTGACCTCTCTCCAGATCTCTCCCAGGCTATCACATATGCTCTTCAAACCAAACAAGAACCCCATATCAGGCTTGCCCGGATGCTTCGGTGGGAACCTCGCCATGGTAAGACCGGTAGCTTTGTCGATTTGGGTGTCGTACCCTTTGCCCAAGTTGGGTGGATCGACGTAGTCAGGGGGGAAGGGGACAAAGTCGCGACCGGTAGTCGTATGGGCGAAATCGACCACTCGCACATTCACCTCACCTCGCACCCTGCGTTGGTGGCGAGCACTGGTGTGGGAAGAGGACAAGGGGTGCGGCTGGTCATATCCTCGCGATCGAGACCGAGAGCCGGCACGGCGAGAAGCACTTCGGCTTCGACCATCGCCTTGCCCCTTGAGCTGCTCGTGGGATTGCCAAATGCCATCTCGTGCCGGACGCTGAATGTCTTGGGCCGAAGCCGCACCGCCTTGCCCTTGCTCCTCATCTTCCTCCGGCAAAGATCCCAGTTTATCCGCTCCCATTTTGCGACTGTATCCTTCTTGCACTTCCTTGTCGCCATCATAGATGAACAGCAAGCTGCAGCCGTAGAATCGGAAGCCGTCGAGTTGGTAGATGATGGCCGCAAGGTCGTACAACTTTTGCAGGAGAACGGGTATGTGATCAGGGAGAAGTTTGTCGCCATCAGAGAAGAAGGCGCGGATGACCGAGGTGAATTCCGACGTCTTGACCTCACGGCCACGGTACTTGTTTTGGGATGCGAAAGATTGGTCTTCGTTGGACCAGACCTGCAATTCGTGTTAGCTGGGCTTGCACCAGAAAGGATGTGGACTTGCCTGCATCCCGCACATCCTGACACCCAACGTCCTGCTCGTCGTCGTATCGCACTTCTTCCTCTGACTTCTCTTCTTCAAGGGCGTCGCATCATACCCATACTGCCTGGTGCCCATCTTGAGATCAAGGACGCAAGGATGTTTGAGTCTACCTGTGAGGTCTTCCATGAAGATGAAGAGCTCTTTCTTGAGCTCGTCCCGCTGAGACTCTGTTGGTGAATTGGGCTGGGTGACAGAAGGGAAAGGCACGGCGGATCGTGGCAAAGAAGGTGGGGCAGACGCAGCCTCTGGCTCCGCCAGCTTTGTACTACTCCCATCATCCTTGACAGTCGTCATAGGATGCAAGGCGTTCCCCAGTGGCACCTTTCTATCTTTCTTCTTGATCTCCAAAGTCGGCAGCTCGTCATCCAGGTCCTCCATATCAAACATCCCCCTCTCCTCCGAGTCGTCTCTTGCATGACGCCGTTGTTGCTCCCTCGCACTCCCGGTAGACATTGCCAAGGGGTTGCGATGATCGGTCAGAATGACATCGCTTTTGGTCCGACGAATGCCATCATCCGCTTGGAGCTGCTGACGGAGATCCATACTTCCGCCCCCGCTCGTTGACGTCGACAAATGTCGCCTCGACCTCCTTGAACTCCTCAGCGATCCTCCATATCCTTCATCCCCTTCATCATCGGCCTCGTCGTCACCATGCCTATGACCCAGACCTTTGCGCCTCAGCTTTTTCAAGATGGTCGCAAAGACATGGTCTTTGAGCTTTGTGTTGACTGTGGTGGAGCCAGTGCCACCGAACGGGTGTGGCGAATTAAGACCAGTGGTACTGAGGGTGGGGTCGCTGGTCTGGGAGCGGTGGAAAGCAGGGGTGGAAGAAGCATGGTGCAGGTGTGCGCCCCTTTGCTGAAGCGACGTCGAAGGGGATGGGGCAGGAGTCTGAGGTTCTTCAACGACATTCTCTCTGATGACTTTCGGAACAGCCGGAGAGCTCAGAGCAGGTGCTCGAAGGCCGGGTGACCCGCCGCCTCCGAAAGTTGAAGAATGCCATGAACTTCCTGGAGAGCCAGAACCGTATCGCGCGTACTCTTGCGACTTGGCCGACGAAGGGCGCAGCGTCTTTCGCGAAGCATCCTCATCGGAAGTCTCCCAGGGCCTTGCGGATCCAGACCGACCTCGAGATCTGTCTTCGCCCCGGAATAGCCACTCTGGGACGACATGCCTGTTAAAGTCTAACGAGACTTCTGGAATCTCGACACTTTCACGAGTATGGCCCGACGCGTGGGATGCGGTCGAGAGACCAGTCAAAGCCTGGTGCAACATCGGCCGGGGGGCAATCGCGGGTGAAGAGACGGGTTCAGGTGATCCGGCATTGCGAGGGGAGTCGACGGGAGTTGTGTAGCCCGAGTAAGAGAGGTAGAATCGGCGATAGTTGACCATCATGACACCCAAGTAACGGGGAATGAAGGGGAGCAAGGCAGGGGCAAGTTGTTCCACCTCCTCATAGAAGATATTCTCATGAGATACCAGTGGCTGATTGAAATTAGTGAGAGTCATCTAACAGCGATACAGACTTACCTTGCAGACAGCTCTCCTCGTAAACTTGTAGATACTGCTATGCCCTCCCACTGCATGGCCGAAAGGCAGCAGTGGAACAGTCATCCTGTCCTCCTGCTCCCTCTCTCCATCCTCATAATCACCGTCACTCATCCAATCCCTCGCATCCGGATCCGATTCGAAAGACTCTGTGCTCGTCGTTGTCCAGCTCTCATCGTCTTCGTCATACTGCTCATCATCGTCCACATATTGATAGTCCTCGTCGCCTTGTTCTGTCGGAGATACATGGCCAGCAGAAGAAGACGTTGAAGGCGAACGAGGAGGGTAATGAGTCTGCGATGGGCCACGAATAGGAAGAGGGGAACTCGGGCTCTGATCGGCGCCGAGGGTCTTGTCGGTATTGCGCGAGCTCGTCGTCTCTGCTCTCGCTCGAGGTCTTCTGACGTCTTCCTCTTCTGTCTCTTCGATTACTTGTTCCCTCTCCTTTTCCTTTTCCATTTTTTTTATTTCTGCTTTCAACCCAGCAGCTGCGTGACTTTCCTTGAACAACCCCATGCCGATACTCCCTTTTCGCCCTTGCTTTACCCCAGTAGTATTCTCGAGTTGCTCCTTGGCTTGAGAGAGCATCATTAAGGCTTCCTTAGGTAGGGGCATCTCCTTGCCTTCGGTCCCCAGACGAAGAGCTTCCCCGAACGAATTGTCGAAAGCATCTCCCAACCCCAGTTCCAGCTTGGGCGTTTTATCGTCTTTGCCTTTGCCCTTTCCTTTGGGTAGAGAGTACTCTTGATCCATTGAGTAGTGGGGTAGGTAGAAAGATCTGTCCATGGAGGAAGTTGGACGAGAAGTGGCACTGAGTGAGTTGCTCCTCGCCCGACGTGCCCTAGGGCGAGCTGAAAATGTGGAATCGTGGATTCGGTGCAAGCTTTGAGCTTGGGAGAATGAAGACGAGGCGGGACGATTGGGTCGGCTGGTTCGACTGAGATGAGATGATTCGTCGTCGTGATCATCGTCATCATCATCTTCCAGCCCTTCGACGGCACCAGCACGAAGGCTGATCGTGGCGCTGCCGACCTGCCGCATCCACGCTTCACGGTCCATATCACGCTCCTTCCCCTTGCTTGGCTTTCTACGTAGTGTAGGTGAAATGCCATCTTTCGAAGTGGTGATGATTACGCCTGGCCTCCGCTTAGGCGATTTAGTCGGTGACGAGGAATAGGCAGACGATCTCTCCTCTTCTTGATTCTTCTCTCGTTTGTCTTTGCTCCTGGTCTTTCCCATGCTAACCCGCCTATGAAGGGCAGGGGACAGCGCCAGCCCCCCATGCATGTCCTCCACCATACTTCCCCTCCCACTCGTGCCACTGTGCTCCTTGCGCATAGTCGCTGAGGGCGTGGCACTCTTCACAGGGGAGGCGGATCTGGGAGTCTGACGTGAGTGGGACAGGTGTGGGAAATGGGGGTGGCCGGAAGTGGAAGAGTGAGCATGGTGAAGAGGCAGGGGGAGGGTGTGTTTGGTGGGAGAGACGGAGGAGTTGGAGGGCATAGGGGTGTTTGATGGCGCTCAATTGGTAAAGTGAGTGGCGGCTGATACGTATTCAGCTCCGGCCATACTCAATACATAGAAGAGACTCACTGTTGACGTAGGTAGAGCGAGATTGAGAAAGACACATGCCAGGCAGGTCAAAGGTTAACCACAGGCAAGTCGTAGGCAACAGGAATCACTGCAGATATCTGAGGCCGCCTCGATACTTTATATACCCACGCAGGATCTGTGGGAGGATGTCAGATCTGATCGTCCATCATGGCTGGTATCGCTGTTGAAAGTCGAGAGGGAATAGGAGGTACGGACATACAAATAGAGGGTCAGTCACCAGCCAGATATGTGGATCACCAGGGGCCGGTTTCAAACGTGTCGCGCCGGGAATCTCAATGCACGTTCGCAATCGGATTAGCGAGCGGCAGGGGTCGATAAGGGCAGTGGGGGAATAGCACAAATATAGGGGATTACTGGCGGCTGAGAAGGAGAGATAGGATATATATGGGCTGTGGATGAAAGTGAGGATTGAGTTCGGCGCGTCTGGCGCGATGGCGGAGGCGGTGATGGCGGCGGTGGTGACGATGAAGCCGGTCGATAGGAGCGTCTGTCAACTGCCCCTCCATGCATGTAGAAGGAAGTGCATGTGCTTATAGGAAGGTGTCTTCTGTACACGCCTGGAACTCTATCGTATACGCCCCCTGCTGCCTGCATCTATGTGGTCTGGAGCGGGTCTATGCTACATAGCACCCATTGATCCTCGTCTGCAGCTGATGGACCTTATCTGTACTTCTCTTCCACCTCCATAGGCCCCTTGTGATTGCGATTGGACGACTACGAGCCTCGTCGTTATTGTCCCTACTTCTCAACGTGCCGCCTTGTGCGCCGTATGTGTAGTCCTGCACATGCTCACCTGCTGGGATCCTGCATGGCCGTTTCCCGCAGATCATCGCGACTCATCGCGACTTCATCCTGGTGCTTTCTTTACTGTTCGGAATACTTGGACTTGAAGAAAGCTTCAGAGTCGGTACATGGTTGGGATCCGCGAGGCAACTGCTGGGGCCTGGCGACAGAAGCAAGAAGATCAAGGAGACTCACCAGAACGGCTTGAGGCTGATTATCTGGCCCGATTCTTATCGTCTGTAGCTCCTAAAAGTTTAAGAGTCTGATAGGGGACTCTCACATGATAGAAATGTGAAGGAAAGACTGGCTGAGCCCTTTCGACCGATCTTCTCCCCAATCTTCGTGGGTCCGCTTTCGTTGACTTTGGGGTTACTTGCATCACCTGATGGTATGGACATGGGCGAAAGGGACCTCGATATTGTGTTGGTACACCGGCCCGCAAGATGCGGGAACGTAGATCCATGGTCAGTGAACACAAACGGCCCACTCCGATTGAGAGGTCTGCAGAGATCACCGATATCTGAGAGCTTGGAGAGAGTATCAGTCGTACAATAGAATACATATCATGAGCAGCGTAGATAATTCAAATCAGAAGTAAAAAATAGTACCAACTTGGGATGGCGGATCCCACTACCTCGTCGTCTCCCGCCACTGCACCTCTAGAAGAACTTGGTGAACAAGCCTTCACGCTTAGTTGCAGAGGGTTTAGTGTCCTTTTGAAGGTTGACGAGGCTTTGTAAGGACATCATCACCTGTATCTGAGGTCAGCACAAAGCGCATGGTCGTTGTTAAAAGAGTCACGAACCTGCTCCAACTTGTCTTTTCGCTCCTGCAAGTCAAGATGTTGCCTGATCTTGGGGTTCTCCCTCGCAAACTTTGCAATCTCATCTCTCTGCCGAGCGATCAACGCCTTTCCCCTCGACAACAATGAGACGACTTACATTCAGATCATACAAGATCCGCGAATCAATCTCCCTCGGGAATTGGTAGAAGAACTGCTCCAACAGCTCGATGTTGATGAACATTGTGCTCGTGTATGCCAGCTTGTCGGCAACAACAGCAAGGAATGCCTCGGGGCAGAAAGCGGATTGGTCGGGACCTTGGTGGCAGCGGCGAGATCGCAACGCTTGCTGACGGACCTTGAGCATGGCGAGGCGATTGGAGAGGAGGAGCGCGTTGCGACCTAAACATCTGTCAGATTGACGATCGGGTCATCAGGCAGATATACTCACCATCAACGATCTGGGCCTGAGAGTACTTGTAGGCATCCAGTATTGACGCATCACCAGTGTCTTCACCCTCAGCAGCCCCACCACTGAGCCTCCTCCTTCTCCTCTCCTCTTCCCACTTTTCCAGCTCTCCAACATGCCTCAACAGTCCCCCCAACTTTCTCGCACCCCCTACCCTTGCCCTGATCTCGCCAATCTTTGATTCACACCTCTTGATCTCTTCCCCAAACTTTTCCTCCGCTCGGTCGCGGCCCAAAGCCCATTCGCGGTCGTCAACCTCGACCTCGTATTTGTAGGGCTTGATGCAATTCTCAACTTGGTCTGCCGTAATGCCCATGCGCTCACGCAGGATACCAAGCGAGAACTCGGTGATGCGGTCGGTGACGGCGGGGTGGAAGGTGAAAGGCTCGCCGGTGGCAATGGAGCTGATGAGCTGACGAAGACCGTCAGCAACGAGGGCGGTCGAGTCTCGCCCGACGCCGGATTTGGTGAGGAGCGAGGAAGCAGTCTCGAGCTTGTAGTTCCAGTACGGCTCCAAGTCATCAACCGTGACCCGCCTGTCATCCCCAAGCTTGGTCAAGTCCACCGTCCTTGGGTCATTCCAGTACAACTGTTCAAGAATGTCCATCAACTTTTCATCCAGCATTCCCTTCAGCTTTGACCTGACAGCTGGCTTGGTGAATTGTGTAGTGTACTCTTTGAATCGGGATTTGAGCGCGTCGATGGTCTCGGCCATGTAGGATTCAGAGGTTATTCTACGGTCATTGTATTGGACCTTGAATTGGTAGCTGGCTTCTTCCAGCTCGAGCTGGACGGCATTGTTGATACCGTGCAGGCTCGAAGCCATGCTCGTCTCGAGCACATCCATCAATCGACGACGGAGGGTGTCTGTCCCAAACAGCTGCTTATCGTTGAAATACCTCGAGTTTTCACCGCCAAAGAATTCTTCCTCTCGCTTGAGGACAGCACCAGTGACGTTTGGTGACTCTCGGTCTCCCATGAAGGACCTGATCACACCGCCACTTGTAGGAGGAGCTTTGCAGACGACGCCGATGTATCCCAGGTGTAGAGGGTAGCGCTCGCCGCGGATTATTTGGGCGCCTTGTTCAGGCTTGACTAGGTCCATCTTGGTGATGACACCGATGGACCTCGTGCCAAGAGGATCGACTCGTCGACTGGCTCGGAGAGCAGGGGAATTGGCGAGGTCAACATCGGCAGCACAGACAGCGAGGATGATGTTTGGTTCCCTGATATACTTGTCACAGAGCGATGAGATCTTGTCCTTGAGACTTTCGGGTTGGTCCATAGACGAAATCTGGATATACCCTGGAAGGTCAATCAAAGTGAGATCGGGGACGTGCGGAGAGTGGATCTGAAGTTGGATGGGGTCGTCCGAGACGGCAAGCTCGGGAGGGACAGAAAGGTTCAGGTCGGTGAGGGTCTTTTGGATAGTGGAGAACGACGTGATCTTGCCCATGCCAGGCATGGTAGGGAACACACCATACTCTGCAGGGGTTGTAGATGAGGAGGCAGCGCTGGATGGAGTGTGGATAAGGGTCAGCTCAATAGGTCGACGAGTGACCATGTTGTCGCCCCTGCAGACGTATGAGCCGGGTTCTGTATGCAGTGACTTGGACTCACTTTGGTAAGAACTCGTGGCCGACGATGGCTTCCAGGACACTACTTTTCCCTGAGCTCTGACTCCCAATCACGACAATTGAAGGAAGCTTAAGAGCGTCGCTCTGATCCACACTCAACAATACCGACCGGATCTCGATGAGCTTTCTGGTCAATTGCAAAAGCTGGTGCTCGCCTCCGCCACCAGACGAGAATGGGTCAGAAGCCTCTTCCTCCGCTTTCGACACTGCCGCCGCTCCAACCAGTCCCATAAGCACCTCTTCCCCACTAGGACCGTTGCTGTTGGGCTCTCCTGGCCCCTCTCCTGGCCTCCAATTCCTACCACCTTCTTTGCCTCCACCGCTATGAGACTTGTCTTGCCCTCCGCTGAATTGGGACGTAAAAGCATCCCACCAGTCTTTCGTCCCTTGCTGGAAGGAATCAGCGCCACTTTGGACGCCCGAGGCAGTGTCCGATAGTTTGCCTTGTACAGAAGAGCCGAGTTGGGACCCAAGATCCGCGGTGGCTGAGAAAGTGTCGGCCAAGGAACCGTAGGCCGACGAAAATGTGTCCTGGACGCTGGAAAGCATCTCTGAGGTAGCATTCCTCACACCTGAATCAAAATCAGCACGTCTCCAACCTTCAAGATCTCTCGGCTCACCCTCGAGCTTGTAGTTTGCATATCCAACTCCACCCGCGCCGATGGCAGCACCGTACAACGGGATTCGGAAAGCTCTAGCCACAGCTCTCGGGATGGTGGAGAACGATATGGCCCTGACATGGACATATCTCGCCGCAGGTGTCGTGACGACCCGGGTGTTGAGCTGTGGTCGTGTGCGGTTGTGCAGGTAAGGCCGTGGGAGCCGCCGAAGCATGGTTCTTGCGGTGGACATGGTGAGTGTCCTTGAGCGGTGTTTGTGCTGCTATGAAGTCGCTCGTTGGGGTCCAGGGGGTACTGAGAATGGGATATGGATACAGATGAAAGAGATGGTTGTGCTTGGGAGTATCGATGACGGTGGCAACTCGGCACGGGAGCGGGATCAAAATTTCGGCTGCAAGTGTATCAACGAATGCAGATTCAAATGTTGGCATCTTTCATCAAGCATCTGTATTCTGGTGAACTCGATACTTGAAGAACGGAAAAGTCCCAGTATGTCTGGAAGGCTCGCATCTTTATCGACACCCAGCCGGTCAAGAAGCTCTCCTTCACCATCTCCCTCGCCTGCCCCTGCGACTCCCTTGCGTCAAACGGAAACGACACACCACCGCATGCTCAAGCTTGTCATCACGGAAGTAAAGAATGTTATCAAAACATGGGACGAAATTATAATATTAGAGGGATATAAAGCCGCGAAGGGGTGTATAGACGAAACGACAGAGATGGAGTGAGTGCTACGAGCGCGAAATTTGTACTGAAGCTGACATGTTTTAAAGTAATCTGTTGGATGTAGAAGAGAAGCCAGAAAGACCAGAAATAGGACCTCACCTTTCAGATCTATACGGGCACAGAGTAGCTCTCCAAGCTGCCATGGCCAAGCTGGTAAGGCCGCGCCTGCTTGACATCGTTGACATCTGCTTATGGTGTGCTGCAGGATAACAACCTTGGCAAGCTGAATCAGCTCGCGGACCAGGCAGATAAGGTGCTACTAGGGGCATGCTCTAGAGAGACTTCAGACTTCGTATTCGTGGAGCCGCTCTGGCTTACATGGACTCTTGAACATTTCGGTGAGCTCAACATTTCGTATGATCTTACATAGCTGAAGTTAATCATGTCTCTAGTCAATTCCATATCATCCCTAATACCTCTCCACACATCCCACCTCGCCGAACTCACCATCATAACCACCACCATACTCGACCCCGCCACCTCCTTCGACGACGCCAAATACAGCATCGAAGCATGGCGAGACCTGGCGAGTGGTGGTGAACGGTGGGATGGAGTGAGAGAGTGGGAAGATCTGATCGAGCTGGAGCTCACTCGGGGAGAGTTGGTGGAAGACGACGAGGATGAGGATGATTTCAAGAAGAAGGGGAAGAAGAGACGGTAATTCGCGGCGAGAATGGGAAAGGCGGAACGCGCTTCATGTGCAATGCCGCATCCAAAGACTGCCTGCCTTTGGGCTCTGTCCTTGTTGGAGAGGGTCTCGAGTTTGTCTGCTGGCAGATATAGCTATACGTCCCACTCGTGGGCCACTGTTGGTCGACATGGTCAGCAGTACATCTCGCACACAGTGAGGATGCTTATCAAGCCCCAGCATGGCTGGGGGCTCCCTCGGTGGCCGACTGCAGCGAAATAGCACCATGCATCTATATCCATCGAGGTATCAATTGTCACACTTGGAATCATAAGACGCTCTTCTTGGGGCTCAAAGGACCTCTCTCAAACTCGTACCTCTTCCACACCAACTGGGATGCTTACTTTCCTTTTCAGAAATGAGATCAACACCACAAAGCTTCATAATCGTCCATTATCTGCATGTAACGATATACTCAATCACACGTATCACAAGACATTGAAATCCGGAAACACTCAATCGCTACAGAGGTCGAGGTCTTCTTCACTCCTTGCTCTCCTCGTCGCCGGGGTAGACAATGGTGTAGACTGAGAAGACGGCGTCAGTGGCTGTCATGGCGGTATGAAGATCGGGCAACCTACCTTGGTAAGGGTCGTCATTGCACGCTATGAATAGTTGCACACTCATCAGCCCCCCCGCCCACGAAATGAATCATGAATACGTACCGAAAGAGCGGGGACCATTGATGGTCTCCTGGATGCACTGTGTACCACCCAAGACGGCAATGTGGTTGTCGTCGGTGTAGTACCAAGACTGTGCGTCGATACCCGGGTAAGACTCCAGATCTATATATCAACCAGTCAGTCTTCCGCCTCTAATCTTGACAGGGCAAAGAGACATACCTTGAACCAATCCCCATCCTCCTTAGCAGTACCCGAATCCAAAGCCCACTCCGTCCCATGCACAAGTATACTCCCACTCCCCCTATGGATATCCCAAAGCTCGCCCTCAGAACAATAGTTGGAAGTGAGGTTGGTACCGTCGTGCCAGTGCTCGTTGTAGGGGGTGAGGCACCAGGCGAAGTTGCCGACTTCGTTTTTGAGCTTGACGCCTTGGTAGAAGTCTTTGTCGGAGCGGGGGAGGGGGGTGGCGGAGATGAGGGCCAGGAGGGGGAGGAGGGCAATGAGAGAGATCATGGTTGAATTATAGTAGGTGTGTATTGCAGTGGGTGTGTGGGATGGAGAAGATGGATGAAGGGGCAACAGGGGGTATATATACCTCTCGGCCTTGTGAGATGAAGCAGTGCAGCATGTACCCTGCCACATGATACCCACCCTCTCCTTCGGCGACACCTCTCAGCATGCCAAGATGTCACTCCTCTTCTTCAGTTCTGTCCAGCGGCCCGGTGACAACTCCCGCACACAGCCTTCCGCTCGTCGTATCATCGCCGAAGAAGGCCGAGCAGCGAAATGACGGGGGAGTTGGCAGTCCGGAGGCGAGCTGCATCATTCAAAAGCTGAATGAGAACGAGAAGCAATGGGCACTGGATACCTCAGTCGCCGGCGAGAAGAAGCTGATGGTCTTGTCGAGATGCTTCTTGATTGCACAGCATGTACGGTCCGGAGGACGTCGGCAGGAGGGTCGGCTTTGCGGTGAATGGGGTACGACTTGTGCGCCTCGCAGGGCTATCAGTGTATGTACGCTACATGGATGTACGATGTTGACTAGTATCACGGGGCCAGTGAAGTAGGTTCGAAAGAGGCGATGATACTTTGAAGAACGACTCTGCAGTGCAGCCTCGGATCACCGAGCTCGATGTGTGATGGAGGAAAAGACTCCAACATCAGCCGTACACACTCGATACCATGGCGTTGGGCAGCGCAAGCATGTGGAAAACCTGATGCTTCCAGAACTGGGGGAAAGAGGTGAAGGCTTACATGTGGTTGCTGGATTCCGCAAAACAGCTAGTGGTCCATCTCGCCGTATCCGACCCTTCATGCGCCGCCAGCAGTGGTGGCCACTGGCATGTTTCCGCGAGCACTATGTATATTGGAACAAATTTATATCATGATCTTTAGACTTCTCTTCTTACAGATACACACTCAAGTCATAAGAGCGAACATGAGATCTCCAAACAGCGATATGATTGTCGCCCAGGCGTACTATGCGAGGAACGCCGCCGTAGAAGCGGATGGTCGTCGTCGGGATGATCAGCAGAGGTTTGTCAACAGTATTTATCGTATCTGTGTGCTTTACTGATCCCTGGTTTGTAGGTATGATTACTACTCGAGAGTTTCCGCACAGGCAGAGCTTCTTAGGCAGCAGCAGAGGTAGGTCGTCAGCTTCACTTACACCGTAGTAGGCTGACCAGCATCCTGTAGGCAGCATATCAAACCGGACGCCACTTCGACCCAGCCCGACCCTGTCACCTCTTACAGTCAGCCAAACAACCCCTACTCTCAAACAAGCACAACCGAACCGTCTCCCACCAGACTGCTCGATACGCGACCTTCATACCGCTCCCGGCGTTCTGCTCAAGCCATCGCTCGTCTCAAGAAACTAGGCTACGACCCGCAGAGCCATGTCTTTCCGCCGCCCGGCTGGAAACATGTCCCACAGACCGACAGGACGGGTCTGAATCATGTTGGATATTTTCCTATGGTGAATAATGCGGGCGTGCCGTTGCAGCGGGAGAAGGCTAGTAAGGGGAAGAAGAGGGAGCAAGAGAGTCGGGCGAAGGTTGAGAGAGAGGCGTGGTGGACAAATACTACTAGCAGCGGGCAATAACTAGTCTTGGCGACCACATGTGGTACATGCATGACTTTTGGTCTGGCGGAACTGCATGAGAGCTACAAGCAACCGTACAAGGAACTCGTTGACCATCCTCTCTATGCGTAAACGGCGGTACCATCCTTTTCCGGTGTCTGACTCGTGTCTTGTCATCGACGGGCTAGCCGCGTTGATCGAGCTCCCCAATGCACATGTCCCAAGGCTCGAGACCCAACGTAAAGGTCCAGATTCTTGAAGCTTCTGAAATTTCCCAAGATTATTTGCTAATGTGAGTCACCTCCCCTTGCTGACCCAGTGACGTTAATCGACGACGCCCCGAGACTGTGGTAAGCTACTCTCTCGGCTTTTGACCACTGCCCTACGGCTCGAAATTTTCACCTCAAAGAGGGATACTTCCCGGGCGGGAGACGGAGGTGGTTTTTGCCGGAAGGAGCTGTGGCTGGGGGACGTCCTCTACCTGGCATGCATGGCAGGATAGAGACATCGACCAAAGTGAATTGCTTGCCGCTTGCGGGTGGATCGTTTTCGGTTTTAATTTGGTTCCGTTGTCATGTACCGCAACCGTCATTCCGTCTCCATCGCCTCTTCCTTTCTCTTCTTTCCAGCGAACATTCTGCCACCCGCCATGGCTGCGGTATCCCTGACGCCCTCCTCCCCCACAGGGCCCAACAGCGCTGCCCTCCGCCCCATGCTTACCTCCCCCACCATCTCCCGCAACCCCTCCTCCTCCTCCGGCCACTCGACCACCTCCATATCCTCCACCTCCTCCGTCCAGGCCGCCCCCATGCGCCCCCCTCCTCCAGAGACGAGGACAGCCGCCACCGACAAGTCACAAATGGGCAGCCGAAATGACAGCGACGCCGAAGACGATGCGCATTATGACGGTCCCAGGACTGGACCCGCAGGCGGAAGAGGCGGCGGGTGGACACGAAATGGTCCCCGGACCGTGACGAGCGCTGCAAACCTCAACCAAAGTCCTCAGCCTCGCTATCCCATTCCGCCCTCCATTATCACGTCCTCGGCGTCTCCATCTCCGATCCTGACGAACCGCTCCAGGCCAAGGCAGGAAGGCGCCGGCGGATCACCTACGACTCCTCGGGGGGCATCTTTTGCCGCGGCACCGGATGCGACGTTGGATGGCTCTGCACCCTTGAGGGTAACCATATCTATTGATCCTGAAGACCCTCATAACCATACGCACCATCCGCGATCAGGTGCCGCATCGCCTCTTGACACTCGTGGGCGCTTGACTGCCCCTTCGTCCCCTACCAACCCGAACCGCCCATTGAAAGACAAGCCCCGTACTCTCTCTGTTGATGCAGGGACCAGCAGGTCCCATGGCAACAGGGGTCGTTCCCAAGATCGCGATCGACGACAGTCGCATTCCTCCAATGGCTCCGGCAGTCACAAACCTGGTCCAGAAGACTGGATCAAAGAAGAAGAAATCGGGAGTGGGGCATTCTCCACTGTCTACCGGGTCGTCCCCGCACACGAAGCGACATCTCCAACCTCGCCGCGCCCTCCGAAAAAGTACGCCATGAAGGTCATTGATCAAAACTTCCTCGTCAAACACAAAAAAGTCAAATACGCCATGGTCGAACGCGATGCCATGATTCGACTCTCTGAACCTATACCGATGAGGGGGCACCGAAGAGGAATCTCGAGCTCCTCCAGTGCAGGAAACAGTTCCAGCACGACCGTCAAACCCAGAAAATCTTCCGTCAGCATCATCGCTCCTCCATCTCCCAACCTCTCTGGTAATACATTGACTGGGACAACACCCACCAGCGGCGGCAAGAGCCATTCTCGCGATCGTCTTTCCATCGCAACAACATCCAGTGCCGGCTCGTCCCCCGTCCTCGCTGCTTCCATTGGAACCAACGCCCAGTCGTCTCCTGGTAGCAACAAGGCTCTTGCTGGCAGGCGACCTAGCAGGTCTGCTGATCCTCCCGAGATGGTTCCAGAGGTGAACGAGGTTCTACTGCCCACTCCCATCATCTCGGAAATGGAAGGCAGATCAAGGCCACCTTCTCCTGTGCGAGAAGAGTCTGCAGAAGGTCACGAGTCGCTCCACGACAGTTCGCAGGCGTTGCAAAACCCAGTCATAGAGCTTGGCCCTGCCTTGCCCCCTCTTCCCCCGAGTGCCATGGATTCTCGCTCCTCTTCTTTGGCCACTTCCGACGCACCTCCTCTGACCCCCGGTGCCCGTCCCCCGCGAACGCCAAAGAAGAGGAGGCAGTCTCTCGCTACCTCTGAAAAGTCTGCCAAGTCTACTCAGACCGTTGTGCCATCTGGCCGTATGAGGCAGCATCCTGGGTTTATCAAGCTTCATTCGACCTTTAATGACAGAGTCGCTCTTTGTGAGTCGTAATGTTCGGCCAGGAAAGCGGTTACTGATGCTTGAGCAGACTTTGTGATGAGTCTTGCAGCGCAAGGCGACATGTATGGTTTGATCAGGAAGTGGGGGTCTTTCGACATCAACACTGCCAGATACTATGCGGCGCAGTTGGTGGACAGTTGCGAGTTCATGCATCAGGTCGGCGTCATCCACCGTGACCTCAAGCCTGAAAAGTACGTCTCTCGCTCTTTCAAGAGGCCGTTATCTGACTTTCTTCTAGCATCCTTATTGATGACGATCTCCGTACAAAGATATCCGACTTTGGTAGTGCCAAAATCTTTATCGATCCTCCCCCAGCATCAAAAGAGATCGACAAAGAAGAGCAAGGGAGCAAGAGGTCTTTCGTGGGGAGTGCGGACTATGTCAGTCCCGAGGTCCTCAGAGATGATCCGGCGGACTCTGCGTATGTCCCCTCTGTAGTAGCTGAGGTCAAGCTAATTGTCTGCGAAGCGCCGATATCTGGGCCATTGGTGTCATCCTTTACCAGATGATTGCAGGCAAGACGCCTTTCAGGGGTGCGACAGACTATCTCACGTTCCAAAGGGTACTGAGGAAGGAGATGGAGTGGCCTGAAGGGTTCGACGAGGACGCAAAAGACATGATCGACTCCATCTTTGTGAGTGTCCATAAGTGGCATCGGATAGCTCGGCTTACGTTTGTGCAGAATATTGATCCCGCCAATCGACCGACTGCCACGGCTCTCAAGTCCCACCCGTTCTTCAACACCATTGATTGGTCTACCATCTGGACTTGTCCTGTTCCCGATATCCAGACGGGCATGCGCGCCCCCACTGCCACTCTCGCAAACGTCGACATGAACGACATCTTTGGCGGCGTGTTTGATGATGACGGAGACGGCTTCGAGTACGAGTATGATGATGACGAACCCGGCATTGACCCTCATTCCGGGCTGAGGCACTCGCCATTCTACGACGCCGAGTCTGCCGCCCGAGCTGTCGATAGCGTCGACAACCCTGATCATCGCAACGTTTACACCCCCACAAACTCAAACCAGCTCGACCCGCCCCGTCCTACCTACGCCTACAACACCAGCAAACCTGTTCACTCTCGAGACAGCAGCGAGGCGAGCAAGAAGGGTAACGGGAGGAAGTTTGGGAAGGGGCGAGGATTGAGTCATGGAAGTGAGAGCTCAGGGATGACGAGGAATACGCTTGCGGCGTGGTTGGATAGTTTGAGGTTTGAGAAGAAGGCGGGATTGCATGGGATGCGTCGAACGAGTACGAGTGGGTTCCCAGAGCATCTGCTTGGGCAGAAGCCCGACCAAGGTGTGGGACGTGGTCTTTGGGGTGTAGAGCCTTTGAGTGACGAGGAGATCAACAAATGGTAAGTGTCTAGGTACTTTTGCGCTCTCCCCGCTGACCATGGATTCAGGGCACCATATCTTCACCCCAATGAGAATATACTTTGTACCGACAGGTTGGACACTCGCGCTGTCAATTCACGTCTCCCTGCCTTCACCGGGTCCTGGAAACCGAGGCAGGTGTTGCTTACAGACTTTCCTCGCCTAGTCTTCATCAAAGCCGATGAGGATCCCGCCGAAGAGGGCGAGCTCTTGACGAAAGGCAAGAGTAAAGAGAAGAAGGAGAGGAGGGAGAGGGAGAGGGAAGAGATGAAGCTTTCCAGGGGCGAGGCTGTCTTTGGGGACAAGGGGTCACTTGCGACAAAGGTGTCCAGTGTGGTCTCCAAAAACACAAGGACCTTGGTGGTCTATACGGTGAGTCAGGTCTCATGGTGGACTACAATTACTGACGTGACAAAGGCTGCTGTCGACTTTTGGATCCATCTCGAAGACGCCGAGCAGAGAGACCAGTGGGCCAATGTCCTTCGTCGACTCGACGAGTATATGCCTCTTCGCTTCGTGGATTGAAGCTGCAACAGCCCATTCCATCACGAGAATCAACTCGAAAATCCACTATAATGGGTCGAACGAAAAGGAAAGAAAACCATCAACGAAACACGAATACTGGCACGTTTTGCATCCATTGTCATACACAAAAAACCAACAACAAGCATATTTTGTCTTGTTCTTCTACAAGACACTTTTGTTCATAGTCTTTCTTCATCAATCACAATCAAGTATTCTGTACTTTAGGTGTAATAATTAATCTTAGTGGTGAATGTGTTAGTTCCCATAAGTGTAATAGGTTAGTGTGTATGTGAGCGGAATTGCGGAGGTTAGGAAACCGGTAAACAAGCAGATTAGGATGTAATGTACGATATGTGATGTGCGGGTCCACCACCGTACACCATGCCGAAACAGTACCAGAGGCTCGTTGCAGAGTGAGACGCTATATGAATGATCCTGCAAGCTGCAAAGCTCATGGGACAACATGATGATGGTCATTATGCAAAAGATCACTATGAAAGATTGTGTATGTCGACGTGTATGCTCCTTTCCTTCCCGACGTCTGCAGATGACTCCCCTTTCTCCGCTCGCCCAATCAAACAATGACTGCCCTACTAGCGTTCCCAGTTCTCCTCACCGTCTCAAAGATTCTAAACAAGCTGAGCACCATATTACCGCCGTACAGCAACAACGCCAACACGCTCAACGCAATGCACGCTGCCTGATGACGACACACCTGTCTCGCGAGGTGCGAGGCTGTGACGGATGTGGGCAGAGTGATACCGAGGGAGGTGGAGATGAGGTCAGGAGAAGTGACGCCGAGAAGGTTGTCGGAAATGGCGGTCGTTACCGAAGAAGAGTTGTCGGCGAGGGTAGCATTGGCGACTGCCTCGGCGGACTCTCTCAATTCGGCAATCAACGAGGCATAATCTGACGCTAGCCCATTCCTCCACCAGGCCGCACCAGCAGAACATTCTAATGGTGTCGCGATCAAGTCGTTGATTGACAGACTCAAAGCAGAGGACCAGAGGGCGACGAAAAGCAAGTCGAGGCAGACCCACAGCATCTTGGAGCTAAGCCCCCAAAGACCGATGGGCTTGCCAAAGTACTCTCGGTAGATGGCCATGAGGCCGTGGAAGATGGTAGTAGTGGCGTAGGAAATGATAAGGGTCGTAGAGGAGCCGAGGACGCCGGGAAGGCTGAGGGAGATGAGGTTCAGACGAATCTGGATTGATAGTCCTTTGAAGATTGTCAGTTTCGCCTTGTCTCACATTTGAGAGGACATACCTAGAGCGATCACAACCACGATCAGATTGATCAACCTTATCCAGATAGTGACTCTTGCATCCAGGAACAGTACTCTCTTCCACCTCTTCCTCCAACTCAGATTCAGATCCATCCGTTTCTCATTCGGCCTCTGCCTCTTTCCAAACAATCGGAATCCATTTCTGCCACCACGAGAATGGCCAAATGCGGAAGAGTTGGAGTCGTGTTCATCCACGGTAGTGTCTGTGATTGTTGCTCGGGAGGTGTGACGCGCGAGATTGGCATTGTTACGCAGATGAGCCGGGTCGGGATGTAGGAGCGCAGGGGCATTACCGCGAGGTTGGTCCGCACGCAGCTTCTCTTCATTTGCCTCGTTCCCGGCCTTCTCCCCGGATCCTTTCACTCTATCATTCTCGCCATTCATCCCATTCCAAGGATACTCTCCCGGGCCCTCTCCGCTATGCCTCGGCGTGAATCCCAGACCACTAGGCGTGGGCGGTACCATAGCCTCGAATCGCTTTTGCTTCTTTGCCTTGGTCCTCTTGCTTCCCCCGGCGGTCACGGGCGGTTGTTGTTCGGCGGATGACTCTATATCACCCTCGTGCGGACTGGGAGGTATTGACTGGATGCCAGGAGTTTTAGAGCTCTTTCTCCGCTCCTTCTTCTTCTTCTTTCTGCTGCCTCCTTCTCCTTCAGAAGCAGTCCCAGCACCAGCGGTACCTTCCTCAGTCACACCAAACGCGAAACCCACAGCTGGCGTCGCCCCTTGTCGCATCTTTTGCGGCTCCTCATAGTACCCATACAACGCATCCTGCCAAGTACCCGCATGCGGCCACCCATTCTGAAAATTGTTTGCAAAGTGCTGTGTGAGCGGTGGGGGTAGGTTGATACGCAGACGATGGGAACCTTTGCGTTTGTATTTGGGAGCACTGGGGGAGTTGGAAGGGTCGTTTGGGTCTTGCCCTGGAGTGAGGTTGAAGTTGGTCTGAGCAGGGTCGGGGATGGAAGTAGATGTGAGGGTTGAGCGAGGACGGGGTCTGGCTAGAGGGGATGGTTCGTGGTCTGTCTCTTCCGACTGCTCGTCCCCGGTACCTGTATCTCGGCTTCTAAAAAAGCGTGGGAAGGCCGGTGCAGTGAGCTGCCGCCGCGCTGTACGTCTTGTAGGCGAAGCAGTGGGCGATGCGCCCGACAGTTCCCCTCCAAGGACGGTCGGCGCTTGGGGATCCCGCAAAGGCTGGTCGACGAGGGTCGTCAGCCCCGGGCTGGGAAAGGACGGAGAGACTGGAGAGGTCGGGGAAGAAGTGGCAGCAGGAGCAGAGTCCATACGCTTCAGAGGCGGCTTGCGCCTGCCAAAAGTCTGACTCTCATTTCCGTGATTCGACTTGATCGGACGTAGATGTGTCGCCACGGGCTCGAGCCTCGTGGTTGACCCTTTCTTGAACGCATTCGACAGTTTCAAGGATGGCGTGGTATTGTTAACAGAGTCATTCCTGTACGCCGAGTTTCGATTATACCCCAGGATTCGTGATGACGGTGAAGCCGTCCGCCGTCCAGAGGGACCGGGTGTATCCTTGGAACTCTTCCTCGAGGCGCTGAAATAGCTCGCTCTCTTCTTGGGCCTCCCCTCCTCTCTCCCCGACTCTGCCTCGGTCACTCCTTCCGTCAGACCTCCCTCATCTTCCCTATCACTTTCCTTCCCGCTCTGCCCCTGCTTGTGTTTCAGCGTCCTGTGCTTGATCCTCGCCATTCCCCTCTGGGTAAATGTCCACCAAGGAGGCGTCTCATCAGAGGAAGAGTCGTCGGCAGATGACTGATTGGATGACGAATCAGAGTAGCGATAACGCATGGCGCGGGCAGAGGCGGTGGTGATGGTCGGGAAAGGGTCTGCGGCCGCTGATGGAGACTGCCCTTCGGCTGGCGGGAGGGGCTGTTCAGAAGGTGGCGGCGTCGGAGGCTCAAATATCGCCATAGCTATGCACCTAGTCAGCTTTTTGCATTCAGCAGAGACAAGAGACGTACGAGGAACAGTCCGTAGTCTCCTACTGGCATTCGATCCACCCGCCTCACTCCCACTCTTCGGGCTCAGTGCCCTCTCTGATACCCTCAGACTCCCGCCCCCACTCCTCGCCGTCCCGGCTGATACAGCCGATTGTGGCGAAACCAGATCTACAGCAGACCCCCGCGCAGAGGCAGGCTCATTCTTGGCATCTCGCCGGCGGCTTGCGGACCTGCCCCTGCCCCCCCTGGGAGAGTCATCTCTGGGAGCCGTAAGGGAGAGGGAGAGGTTGTTGCGGGGGTGGGAGGGGGCTGGGTGTTTGCTGGAGGACGCTTCGGCGTTTGTGTGTTCCATCGCACTTTTGGATGAACGACGAGTCTGCCGATTTTAAGCGAACTCCTCGAAACCGAGGTGTTTTTATAGGATGCTTGCAGAGAACAAGAGCCGCTGGGGGATTATACACTTTTGGGTTTTGGAGGAGGGCTATGATACAGTTGCTGGAGAGGCAGTGTCAGTATTTGGCCTTGTTACGGGGATCAAGGCGGCGCACTGTACACACGAAAGCGCGACGAGGGCGACGCGACCAGGGGGCGGCTGTGTGTATCACGTTTTCAGGTCGCTTTGAGTATACTTGATTAGATCGGGAGAAGCAGGGGGCGATTATTTAGAGGACAGAGTTATTTGTTGAATGACGAGGGGAGGTGAGAAGATGGGAATGACGGCGGTTGATGTTTCTGAGATGGCGGATTACCGACTGTTTCCGTGCGCGGTCGCCTTTAGAGTGGGGAACTGGGTGGGGAGGGTGGAAAAGAGCGACAAATGTGGTACAATGGCGAGGAGCTGGGTTATAGGGCGGCGGCGGGATCGGAGGGGGGGCAGAGAAAGGGATAGAGAGGTATAGATGAATGGAATGGGTGATGCGAAGTGTTCAAAGGGAAATGTCAACAAACTAGCGAAATTTGATCCCGCAGCGTAACGTAATAACAACAATCAAATGAATGTCGGCGGCTAATGATGTTCATGTAATGCTCATGCTCGCATTTGGCAGCTATCGAGCGTGTCAATGCCAGCTGCTAAAAGCGTCAATGGGGCTCGAGCCGCCCCCCATCTATGTACGTGCCAAGACCACCGACCAACTGCCACAGTCAACAGAGCTCAAAGGATCTAGGATGGTCAGCGCTGACGCACAGGGCCGTCTCTTTGATGATGTTGCCTATTCTGCCTCTCGACAGATCATCAAAGAGAAGAACAACTGCAAAAGAAGCTGCATAAAGAGTCCATACAGCCTGGATCGATAGTTGTTGATCAGCCAGTGCAGAGTAGTAGAAATGCAGGGCTTCTGAGAGACATGAACAGAGTGAATGCCAAAGGTGTCGTCGCATGGCCTCCTTATATTATCTCAGGTGAGGGATTTATGGCGCTCCAGAGCCTTGTATGACCCGCTCTTGCTCCGTATGTGGTGTGGATCCACATATCAAGCGACCAGCGACAACATAATGAGCAGAGTCTACAACTCTCTTGCAATGACGATCACGTTCCGTGTCTTCCATCCCCTGCCTCTTGATTCGGCATTGCTACACATACATGGTCATCACCTACAAGCGACGTGATGCAACGAGGTCAGTGGCTTGCCTCAGTTGCCGAAAAGGGCAGCAGGAAGGCAAGAAAAGACAAAAGAAATGCGCGGTTCCTAATAGTGCGTCATGTCGAGAGGACGTTAGTCACCCGAAGCACCTTCGAAATGTCCGATCGGTCGCATTGATTGTTCCTTCTTGAAATTTGCCCAGCTGTTGGTTGCTTGGTGATGACACCTCGGACAGCAGGGCAAAGATGGCGCAGCAAGGGGGTTGGCGACGAAGTGGTGCATGGTCCGCGCAATGCCATGTATATCATCATCTCCGAAGTACAGGGGAGATGCAAGGCCAGGCGCGTCCGAAAAATCTTCACAAGGTCAAAACTCAAAGCTTATGACGCGCTGAGACGGGAACGTTGAAAGAGGGGGGTGCTGTGGCTGTGAGATTTGGGATCGGGCGACGGGCGACAAAGGCAAATGATGCTGCCTGCTGCGAAGGATACTCTCCTTGGCCGCTGGGGAAGGAGTGGGGCCAGGGTTCATGCAAGATCCCGTGGGAACGCAGGAGATATAGCGTGTTGCGGCGCTGGGAGGACAAAAGAAAAACTGACGGCGGCAGGGACTGCGTCCTATTGCCAATGAGGCGGCTGCAACAGCAGGAGGCCTCGATGCATGCATGGTATGGTGCTCTGGACCTCGCGTGGTGGAGGCACCCCGATGTGCATGCATAGAGCACGGCAGGCGCAGCGGTCCAGGCTCGTGGGTCGTGGTAGGAGAGAGAGGAAATAGGCGTGCAGGAATTCTCAGGGACTGTTTGTTTAGGGGGTGCTGCTCTTGTGGCCAGACTTGCGTCTTCCGTACATCTCGCAGCATCTCATCTCTCTTCTTCATCTTCTTCGTCTGTATACATCCTCCCTCTCCTCCCCTCCCTCCCCGTCTCGCCATGCCCGCCCGTGGCACCACATCCACCTACCACCCCCACACCGTCACCATCCACGAGTACTACGAGACAGCCCATGTCTCGTCAGCCCGCCATGTCTCGCCCTCTGCCGTCGCCTCATCCTCCACCAGTCGCGCCATACACTCCTCCGCACACGCTGCCACCAGCACCCACAACGACGAGGCTGCCTACACTGGCGCCGCGTCCTCGGCCACAGACTATGGCTCTACAACCTCTGCCTCGATCGACGGCAGCATAGCCAACTCGACCGTCACTTCTGTTACCACCACTTCCACCTCATCCACCCGGCGTCCACCCCTGACCATCGGTGCTGCAGTAGCCATCGCCGTCGTCTCCTCCCTCGTAGTCGTCGGCTCCATCATCCTTATCGTCATGTACGTCCGCCGTCGACGCAGGATGAACAAGATGCCGGGCAACGTCGCGGTCCCGAAGCGCAAAAAGGAAAAGGGCGGAGGCAGGCCGTTGGAGAGGATCGAGACGCCAGTACCAAAGGCTGTCGCGCAGCTGCGGTCCGAGAGGAGCTTGCTGCCACAGCCGTCGCCCCCTCGCATGTCCCAGCGCGAAACGACCGGGGTCGTCCTCCCCACCCATCCTCGGCCCGCAGCAGCATACCCGAACCCTTCGTACCAATCTCCCTTCCTCGACCCACCTCGGTCTTCTCTCACGCCTGCCACGTCGCGTCACAGGCCCGAGTCGACGTACACTGACGACTCGGAGTTTGACATGCTCGCTCAAGACGGCTCGTCTTACGCGCGTACCTTGTCCACTTATAGTGAGGGCGTCAACTCTGAATACTCGGAGAGGGATCTGGGCACTTTTGTTCCCATGACTTCCACCAGCGCCCACGGGCACTTTTCCGATACGATCACCATGTCTGCCCGGCCCACACTGGCGGTAGACACCAAGAGCGCGTCCGGTCCTTCTGACGAGGGTACCTGGACATATACTGCCGTCGACTCGTCTTCTGCTGGCGGTTCCGGACCAGGCTCAGGCTCAGGCTCGAGCGGGTGGAACCCTCTCCTGACGGCCACCACCCCATACTCCTCCACCACGCGTACCCTCGTTTCTCCTTTCGCCGACCCTCCATCCCTTCCGCAGCCCAACACCGGCTCCGGCTCATTCATGGGTCCATACCTCAGCCACCCCTCGCCTTCTGTCGTTTCTGACCGCTCATGGCGAACGGAAGATGACGCTCTTCTGATAGCTCGAGGTGCGGCTCTGGATCGGGAGAGGTCGGTGAGAGAGGGTGGGCTGAGGAGAGGTACGACGATCGTCAGGCATCTTGATGGCGGGTCCGTACCGGGGAGAGAAGAGGAAGCTCGGGATGATGAAGAGGTGCATCTGCCTCCTGCTTATGGAGAGCTGTATCCCCATTAAGGGGTGAGAACGGGGTGGGAAAGAAAGGCCCGTGGCCTCGCCAAAAAAAAATCGTACGTCATCCCTCACGCCCATCTCTTTGCCCATAAGCTGACAAAAAGCATTAGGTGTATTCACTCGTTATAGAGATAGACGTTCATTCTTGTTGTTTTGTTTTCGGGAGACATCCTCCCATAGTGGTCCGACGGAGAAAAAAGAGAAGGGGGAGTGTGGCCGACTTCTTACGCAGAGCGATAGTCAAGTCGAGAGGGATAGAGGAGAAAAGAGCTGGTGCTCTTTTATGTTACGCTACCATACAAGTAGTTTTATATTATAGACACGTCAAATCAGTACTCGTGTGGTATACCATGTACCTTTGCGTTGAGTTGAGCGAGTGTTGATTTGTCTTAATCATGGGACTGCCGTCGAGTTGTGGCAGATCGTTGCATGTCGTTGAAATTCATTAGTGCGAAGAGGTGCACATCACTGGAAGCTCTCAATTGCGTCGACGTATGTCCCGGCCTACTGCCCCAAGATTAGTCATGATGTGCAGTCAAGCTCAAGCAACAGTCCACTCTCGACTGTCATTTGTTTGAAACACCAATGTTTGAGAGTCATCATACCAGTCTACAAGTATCTGAGTAGAGCGTGTATAACGGCTCGAGAGTCAGAGCAACCATGTGGAAAGTGTATGCTCAGCTAGAGAGACGTCAATTGAGCAAGTATTGGCGTGAGGTGGGAATAGGATGCGAGCATGCAGGATGATTGAGGGCAGCTGGACAGTACAAACGTTGCACATTTGTCTCTTTCCACCCGCTGCTACAAGCATAGACCAGGTGCATATGCCCAAAATCGGTCTTCTCGTCCCTAGAAACCCCTTTCAGCCAGCCAATCCTTCACATCCTCAACATGATGCCCCTTGATCTGTATGTGTCCAGTCGTCGGTCTGAGCGTGGCTCTTGGGGGCGCAGTGAAGGGGTCGAGGTGGTTGGCGAGGAAAAATTCGTTCAACTGATCTCTCAGTGTCTTGAAGGAGAAACGTCAGCTTGGCACCCTATAGGCTTTACGTCTGGCTTACAGCACCGCTTCCCTAGACAAGAAGTCAGCGAATGTCTTTCTACATCATCCATGTTCCACTTACTTCGATTTTGCGAATAAGAGTAGTCACTTGGCCTCCATTCCTGAACTTGGAATAGACAGGCAACTCTCCCCCCTCGCTCCTAGCCACATGGTACCACTTCTCTCGGCCGCCCACAAACTCTTCCAGCTCGCCTTCCTCACCCAAAGCAGCCTGTCCCCTCAGAAGAGATTCGTACTCGGCATCCAGAGGAGCAGCGGGCTTTTCTGCCAGAGGAGCAGCGGTCGTCGAAGAAGAAGAAGAGGCAGCGCTTGTTGAAGGAGCTTCGTTTCGGAAGAATGGGGTGGTTTGGAATGACCTGGCGAGTACCAGGGGACGGAATGAACAAGTCGCAATGGGGCGAAGAGTCTGAGCAGACTTGGCGATAGCTTGACGGGCGAGCATGGCGTGGTTCTGGGAAAAGTCGAGAGGTATGGGTGATTTTGAGCCGAGCGCGAAATGTTCGAGGAGATGGACGGGCTTTTTGATGGATGGATTTTGATTCCGCTACCTCCACTTCCATCATCATGCACGATGTTCACTTGACTTTCTTTCTCTGACATATAGATCCCCTGCCAGAATATTCAAGAGCCCTCCTCTTCAACTCATATTAACGGTTTATCCCGCTACTTTTACCAAAAAAAAAACACACCTTACCCACCCACAATGTTCGGTTTCGGCTCCTCATCCTCTGAAGCAGAGATCGAAAAGCCCGCCCCTACGAGGGAAGAGCGCAAGCAATGCTGGGCCTCGAGAGATATCTACCATGGGTGCCTAGACAAAAACAAAGTTCTGCAAGCGGGGGACGAAGTGAAGAGGGATGGAAAGGGCAATGTGGTGGCGGGGAGTGTATGTGACGGGGAGAGGCAAGCGTACGAGGGGAGCTGTGCCAAGGCTTGGGTGAGCCACAGTTCGCACGGCGATTTGTTATATGATACTAATTATGCTAAAGGTGGACTACTTCAACAAGAGAAGAACCCTTGAGCTTCGCCGACTGGCGACGATCGCAGCGGCTGAGAAAAGCGGGGATGCCGCAAAGGTGGACGCTTGGAAGTCTGTCCCTGGAGCTGCCAGATAGCCGGCGAGATATAATGAGAAAGGAGAAGCATAATAATAAGCTATCGACATATGGCATGAATCTATCACCCCTCTCTTCATCCGTTGCCCTGGTGAAACGATACGTTCTTGATGCTACATGAAGGGTCCGTGACTATGAATGCTGCACTTGCGTTCGCGACCGCTCCCTAGCCCCCATTGTACAGTCGTCTACTCCCTCAAAAGTTCCTCGAGCACCTTGGAGTCTAGTCAGCGTCGGTCTTCTCATTGACGAAGTTCGCTTACAGTGTTGTAGTTGGCAGGATTGACGTTGTTGCCACGGTAGTTCTTGCTCTTCAACACTTGAATCTGCACCGGATCAGGACAAGTCTAGAACCAAATCAAATTCCACTCACCACTCGATCCCTGGGGAAACCCATGTCCGTGAACGACGCAACATTCTCCTCAGTCAATCCAGCCAACTCAGCATCGGTCGCCTTCTTCCCGCTACCCGCAGCTCCACCCTGGCTCTTCCCCGCTGGGGCTTGAGCATAAGCGTGAGCCCAGTGCTTGGCTGTGTCGTTGAACGATGCGCGGTCGGAGAGATAGTGCTTGGCTACTTGGGCATCTTGAGGGTCGTTGGGAATGGGTTCGCAGAGGAGGGATTGGAGGGATATGAGAGTGGATTTCAGGGTAAGGACCTGCATTGCTCTTATGAGCATGGTATTCATGAAGGATAGGATGGACGTACAGGTGACCAGGCATCTTTAAGAATGTCTGTGATATGGGTCAGCATCGTAATCGGGGTTGACTCTTTGTCAGCATACCGAGACAGATCGCGCCCTAGACAGATGTCAGCATAGACAAATGTGATGTATAGCGGAGACTCACGCTAGCAGATGAAACGTTGGGATCTTTGAAATTCAGGTGAGCAAGTACATAGCCATCAAAACGCAGAACGGCTTACGGTACACCTTCCTGCAACAGGTCATCAGCGGTGACCTTGATAGATACGATGCCGGCTTACGTTATGAACTTCATCTTGACGGGCTGAAACGGATATGTATCGGGAATGACAATGTCCTGGAGACAGAGCATTAGCTATGCCCTGCGAGCCTCGTTCAGGAGAGTATTTGACGCACGACCTCGTAATAACCTCCTTCATATGGTGTGTCGGGCTACAGATAAAGTAAGCTCATGCTCATGAAACCATGGGCGGAACACTTACGGGACCAGGAAAAGCGCCAACAAGATGGAAAGGGTTCTCGTCAATCACTACGGGAGGCGACCATCAGTTTCAACGACACGCAAGGGCGCGAGGCCAGCCAGGCAAAAGCACTGACTCTCGATGGCGATACCACTCGTCTTGTCCTTTGCACAGTCTACGTCGGAGAGGTTAGATCATGCCATGTCGAGAGCTGACTGCTGACCTACCCTTGATCTCTTTCTGGACACGACGTAATCGGGCGTCAGACATTTCGGCGTCTTTGTAATTGAGGTTCTTGCGGTGAGGGACAGTGGCGACCAGAGATATTCGGCAAAGTAAAAGCGATTTGCAAGAGGGTACCCTTGTAGGATCAAGTTATTCTCAAATGATATTAGTGATTTGCAAGAAGAAATAGGTTCAAATGGTTTCCGGCGCTCATCATCGACACCGCGCCGAAACCGGACACCGCCGAAAGAGAACCTCCACCTTTTATGAATTTCTCGCATGGTCAACACAAGGGAAAACAACTTTCTTAGCTTCCATATACAACCAAGAGATCGACACCATGGACATTGACGAAGAAGCAGCTATGAACGCTGGGCCATCTACGACCCCCACAACTGCGGGGGACAAGTCTGCTGCTGGTTTGAGCAAGAAAGCTCAGAAACGGGCCGCTAAACAGGTGCGGCGCGCAATGTCTGGACGCATCAACAGACACCTTGCTGACTATGCTCGTAGGCCAAGATGGAGGCCTTGAAGCCACTGAAAAGAGCAGCCGAAAAAGAACGCAGACGTATACGCAATGCCGAGCTACACGAAGGATATGCCGCTGGGACCTTGAGCGAGGCGGACAAGGCCATCGTGGAGAGAAGGAGACAGATTGAGAGGGAGAGGAAGGAGGCGAAGAAGAGATTGGATAAAGGGGAGCAGGGAGATGATTGGAAGGGCGGCGTTGTCGTGGACTTGGGCTTTGACGAGTTGATGGCGGACCAGGTTTGTGTGATAGATCCTTGGCCGACAGGTGTTGACATACTGCTCAGGAAATCGCTTCAACAGCGCAACAATTAGGATACCTCTACTCTGCCAATCGTACAGCTCAACATCCTTTCCGGACCGTCATCCACACAACTTTCTCCCCGACTGCATCCCCCAGGCTGTGGGCACGGATGGGCAGTTCCAATTGGGACAAGTGGACTCGGTGCCACTGGTGGAATGAAGGCCTGGACGTACTGCAGGGACAACTCCAAGGTTCGGTCGCGCAAGAAGGCCAGACACAAGGAAAAAGTCTTGGAGCTGGCGGGGAAGCCGAGGGAAATACTATGTTGGAGAAGACCATGTTGAGCCGGCTGACAGGTCCAAACCTGCCGCCCGACTTGATCCCCGGCAAGCACACCCTTGTCTACCTCTCAGCCGACGCCGAAGAAGAGATCACAACACTGTCAGAGGATGAGGTGTACATCATCGGGGGCATTGTCGACAGGAACCGGTACAAGGTGTGTTTCATGACATGGCAAAGTGCGCAGGCGGCTGATGTTAGCTACAGAACCTGTGCCAAGACAAAGCAGAGAAAATTGGGATCCGTACCGCAAGGCTTCCTATCGGGTCCTACATTGCCAACCTCCCCACTCGCAAAGTGTTGACTGTCAACCAAGTGAGTCGAACGAGCGTCTGACCAACTACATCACTAACACCACATAGGTCTTTGACATCCTTGTGCAGTATCTCAAGTTCAAAGATTGGGCGGTTGCATTTGAGGCTGTTATTCCCACCCGAAAGTATGCTGCTACTGGAGGAAGGAAAAAGAGGAGGAGGGCTAGGTTGTCAAAGCATGCGGGAGAGGAAGGAGGGGATACGGAAGGCGGAGAGGACGACGAGGAAGGGAGCGAGACTGACGAGGAACCGGATGGGGAGCCTGCAGACGAGAGCTAGTCATCATGTATGCTAATGGAGCATTACTGAGCAGACTGATCGTATGCATATTGGCCCGTGAGATCGGGCGTTGAAGCATGACAGCTCGCAAGTTGAACGACCCTCAAAAAGCACGGACAAGTGCCACACGCATAACGCCTATCGCCGCTCTTTCCCAGCGTCGCGAGTTCGACTGCCGCTCATGCCCTCTTTCCCCTTAATTTTGCGTTTCTGTCTGGTATCCCATTAATTCATCATCCCGACACCCCGACATCCAACTTTCAGCCTGCCCTCTAGTACTCAGAGCGGAGGGTACCCGGCAGCATGCAGCTGTACAAAGCAATCGAGGAGAGCATCCAGTACATCGGAATTGATGGAGTACTTGGTAAGTCAGGGTGACGCGAGAGCTGGACGCGCGAGGTGGAGGTCGACCACCTTCACGGGATAGTGGGCCAGGGGGTGAATGTGCATTCCAATGTTGCCTGCGCTCTCCGTGTGGTCGATAGACCTAGGTGCTGGGAAGAATGTCGGGTGATGTGTGCTAGGACCCTTGTACATGTCAACTGACCGAACAATGTAGGATCCGCCCCCTCAGATCTGCAAGCCCACCTCGCCGGGATCATCAACCCAATCGATGACCAAACCTTTCAATACATCTGGCAAACTCTAGTCATTCAGTCCAACATTGAAGTGATTCTCACCGCTCGGCCCATCGCCGTCGTTTCCGAGGTTGATATCAAAGGCAAAGGGAAAGCCACGGATGACACTGAAACCTTGTCGTTCAAGACACCTATCGTCGTGTTGGACAAGGTGGATGGGTTGCAATACAATGGTATCGGGAATGTCGCCGTCAGTGACTTCAAGGCGCTCAAGGAGAAGTGGGGTGCGAGGCTGAGAGTGAGGTGTACGACGGAAGAGATTCATTATCAGCTCACTGGCAAGCATCAAGGAGTAGGTCAAGTTCAACGCCCTTGTTTTTGGTGATTGCTGACTCGCAATAGACTTTGAATTTGTCCAAAGACGCTCTGAGTCTTCTCCAGCTGGTGGCGATGGCCCGCGGGAAGGGTATCCGCTACATGTCACTGGTCGACCTGCTCGGGGGTGGTGATTGGTACTCGAGGATGAACATGCTTGTAGACAACGGTCTGGTGTAAGTTTGATCTTCCTCTTCACTACTCTTTACGTATCCTGACCGTTATATGACAGCGCCAAAGTCGAGTTCCTAGACCGAAACGCGAACAGCAACATGATCGTACACTTCAGATATCTCCACCTCAACCCCCAATACCTCTCTTTCTGCCGACTCAACCCTCAGCTTCAAAACACACTTCCCACAGACGTAGCCGTATCGCTCCGACAAGACTTGCAGAGGGAGGAAGAAGAAGAGATCGCCGGGGGAGAGGAAGATGAGGAGCATGCGGACGAGGATGTTGGGGAGTGGGATCTGGGATTGGCGCCCATCAGCGATACTGATATCAAATCGCCGCATATGGTGCAGGACAGGATCATGAGGATCCTTGACCACCCGAAACTTACCAATCACCTCATCAGATACCGGGGGCTTATCTATGCTATGGTCAGTCGTCCTCCCATTCCGTATGACAATGCTGATCTGGGTTATGCAGGGTTGGCGAAGCAAGACTATTCAAAAACAACACCGAGCCATACGAAAGGTCATTACCACCATGGTCGATGCTGGCGTCGTCGAGAATCTGCTCGTTGGCGATGGCAAGAAACAAGTTTTGTGCTTACGTTTGACCAAGTATGGACCTAATCCGGGGCAAGAGGTCATGGGCCGTGAAGAGGTGCAGGAAGAGCAAAGGTCCATCGAAGGTATGTATGCTCATACGTCCAAGCTCATGGCTGACGCTGCTCAGAAATTGCTCGCTTGCCTCTTTACAAACCAATGCCGGGTGTCATGGTCACCAGGACTCTGGAACGTCAGCTTCTGGAGCTTATTGCCAACGCTCCCAAAGGAATAGTCCGTGGTGTAAGTCTGAAGGCTCTACATCCATAGGCATCTGCTGACGTGCTTGTGACAGGAACTGAAACGCAAGCTCAACTCTGTCTATCTGAGGATAGTCGAAAAGATCCTCGGTATGATCTACGGGGAACAGGGAAATCAGTTCCCCGATCAATTTTGGGCTCTTGCTGTCTATGGTGCTGTGATCTCTACCGGCAGACAATCTTACGTCAACTATCTCACAAGCTCTCACGCCCTTGCCTTCTTTGCCGAACATGACCACCAGCACAAAGTCCAGCCAGAGCCCTCCTCATCCGGTCACTTTCTTGATTTGCCTCCCCACTATTACCGCTCTACTCAGCAGTTTATCGACTATGTGGAAAGAGGATCTACAGACTCTGATCTGGAGGCGAGGATGCCAAATCTGCCGGGCAAAACCAAATCAGCCCCCAAAAAGAGAGGCCGACCCTCGAAGCGCGGAACTCAAGGTGGACGGGACAGAGCGACGGAGTCCTGTGAGCCCGAGAACCGAGGTCGTCCCAAGTCCTATGTCGTAGTCTACAACGACATCAAGGGTGGTGGCGAGCATGGACGCGAACGCAGAGTCTGTGGTGATATGTATCGTCATCCGGATGTGCCCGATATCCTGTTGTTCAGTTGGACTACAGGTCTAGTTTATCCGGCGTCCGACAAATTCAATCCGAGAACAAAGCAGCCTCCGCCCCCATACGAACAATGGCAGCTCGACCAAGGGCGTCCTCCGGCCTTCTACGATCAATACCCTCATGCCAAGAAGCGGTCTGCTACCCTGCGAAAGCCCAAATGGCTTCTGGAGATGGAAGGGTCATTGGTCGGAGGGGGAGGTGACCGTGATTCCGGGGCTGTTGGTGATGGCGTTCAAGGTGACGGAATTCAGGAAGTTGGCGACGATGGTCTTAGAGCATCAAAGAGGCGAAGGACGACGATGAGCTATGTTGAAGCAGGCGAAGAAGCCGAGAGCGGCCCATCTGGAACGACAGCCGATGACCAATTTCAGAGCCCCCCCCCTTCACCCAAGAAACCTGGCAAACCACCAAAGAATAAGCCGGCAACCACTGGTGCCAAACGCGGCCGCGGCAGACCTCGCAAAAATCCTTTGCCCGACCTCGAAAGCGCGGCAGATCCTACTGTCACTCTGCCTGATACAGGTGACGTGTCTCAATCGGCTGCCACTGATCTGCAAAACTCTCAAACTCTTCCTGTCGCCGAGACGACCGCCGGTGATGTCATTCCTATTGAAGCTTCCGGGGCTACTGAAAGCGTGAAACCTCCGAAGAGGCGAGGTAGACCTGCCAAAGTCACTCCCGCTGCCGGTGCTTCCAGTTCTCTAGACCTGGACCAACCGCCTAGAAGGAGAGGGCGTCCGTCCAAGTCAAAGGGACAAGACATTGGAGACGGTATCCCTGGCATCAAATCTAGTCTGCTGTCCGGATTTCCCCCCCATTTCGGTACGGACATCGAGTCGGAGACTTCCGCGGCCGGAGGAATCAGTGTTGAGAAGAACGCCAACGTTGTTGAGCCTGCTGGATCCGGGACAAGATCAATTGCGGTCAAAGATCTTGGGAGGAAGAGGAAAGCGATTACCCCTCAAGGTCAAGATCAAGAAGATGGTCACGGCAACTCTTCCGTCGCTGTCACACCCCTACAGACTATTCAGCCTCTTCCAGCTTCACCGCAAACACCAGTCGTCAGCGTAGTCGATGAGGAGGTCGCTGCTCAGTCTGCTACGCCTCAGGATACCCTTGCCACGCGCACAAAGAAGAAGAGGAAGGTCAATACCGGCGCAGAGACGAGTGAGTTGGTCTTTCGTTTGCCCTTGATCCTGTTGACATTTGATCAAGCATCTCGTGGGACACCCAGCATTGGGGATGCTATCCGCGCCACCCAGCTCTATGATGCCATTCGCGATTCTGGCGGTGCCGTGAAAAAGCGAGACGCTCCTCAAGTCTTATATGACTACCTGGCGAAGACTCAGGGCGTAGACAAGGCCTTCATCACAACCTCGACTTACGCTCGGCGCATGTTCAATATCCTCATCGGGGACAACCGGATCAGAGAAACCAAAACCAAGTTTCCCGATCAATTCATGCGACACATCGATCAAACGTTCTATTACGTATCCGACCTGCCGGATGATACACTGAACGCCTACATCCGAGAACAAGCAGCAAAACGACAAGCGCCTCCGAAGCCTGGCACCAAGGAACCTACTTTGATCAATGCGAAGTACTCTGACTTTGCTCGGCCTTCCCATCCTACGAAACGGTACGATGGCCAGTCTGTCGAGGGATCGGCCGTCGACTTTACGGACGGAAGGCAGTTTCATTTGCGCGAGAGTGCCCATGTGGTCCCTCAGCTCTATGGTTACAAGCTACAACGGTATATCCGTTCGGCCATCTTGCACCGCGTCGTTGTCGAGATTGCCTCCTCTCCCGACTCTCAGTGTATGATATCCAGGGTGCCCCCAATATTCGAAACGGCCAAACTCATTGGAGATATACGGATCGGTGATTGGTTCGCTCTGCTGCGATACACGGCATACCAAGAGCACGTTGCAACTTGGCTTGAAGACCCTGCCCATCGCGAGATCAAAGTGCGCGACGTACCGGCCGAGATCGACACATTCAGCAAGCCCTTTTTGAATCCCGTGGGATCCCAAAGGTTCACTGTCCTGTTCGAAATCCTGGACGCTCTGAATTGTGTCACTCCCCTCGTAGCCGCAGCAGGCGGCGCCAAAGTGGTCTCTGCCGGGGATGCAGATTTCCAGAGATCGACTATGGACTTGTCGCCATACTATCTGCTTCATAGCTACGTCCCCGTGTACCATCTGGTTATTGAGCCAGATGCTCCGTTACTTGGAGTCGTTCAAGTCAAGACAGCGATTGAAGTGGAAAGATATTGGAAATATCTGAGAGAAGCCGCCCTCGTTGCGTCGCCCATCGATATCGTAGAAAGGGTGGATCCGTCTTCTGTCCAAGAAGCTATGCCTTTCATCCCTGTCTATCCCGAAGTCTATAAAGTCACACCCAAACTTCCCCAATCAATCAAGAACGCGAAGAAGTGGGAAGACAAGCCATGGGTCAGCCTGCGCCAGGAAACAGCTCTCAAGAGCGCCATTGATCCTCAAACAGCTACTCTTCGTGAGAAGACTATCAAACAGCTCGCTTGGGATGTGGCCCTTCCTCCCAACGTTGCCGAAGCCAAATTGCAGCAGCTCATGCAAGCTCAAGTCCAGGTGATTGCCCATCGTGACGAGGAGCTTCGTCGAATCGCTGTCCGAGCTACTGAACGCCGGGAGCAGGCCCGTCAAAGCATCCAAGCTCGTCTGGCGGAGGAAGAAGTCGCTGCGCGTCAAGTCTGGCAGGACCGTGTCAAGGCTAGTGCTTTGAGCCAAGGAATAGACTACACGCTAGAGCTCCTCGACTTCCTTACTGAGAGGACCAAAGGCGTCGGGAAGAAGGATTCGGTCCCAGATGCGCAGGTTACGTATTGGGTCAAGGTCTGGGAAATGTGTAGAGGGATGAGTGAAGAGGAAAGGCAGTCTCTGATGGCCTCGCGAAAGGTCTCGTTGAAGCTGCAAGGGAAAGACTCTGCACCAAAGGTTGTGAGGCAGAAGAAGGGCCGGGGAGAGCGAACGACAAGAGTGAACGATTCTGCTGGTAAGTAGCGTCGATTGACTGCCATATTCGACACTAACTCATTCCAATAGCTTCAGGCGCTGGCCCTTCTGCAGCGAGTGGCGCCAAGCGTATCCGACGTAAATGGTCTTCCGAAGACGACGATCTCATCATCGATGGCGAAGCCATCATTAGAGCACGTTCAAGAACCAATAACTATCGAGGCCGGGCGTGCATGACAGCGCTGCTTCCAGACGTTTCTCTACAGACTCTCCGTAACCGGCTTACCCACATCGTCTCTGAGCCAGGGATGGCCACCTACTTGTCAAGGCTGGAACAGGCTTGGTACGAGATCTGGATGAAGCATAGGGGAACGGAGGTGCTGCCGGACGACAATATTCACAGTTCTGTGGATTTCGACATCAAGGCCCATCTGGAGTATTTCCGAAAAAGCGTTGATAAGCGGAATTTGTGAGTATCCTCTTTCTCAGAGAGTGTTATTGACAACATCTGCAGAAAACTTCTCGCGACATCTGCTCCTGTTCGGCAAACGGAGCATGCCCCAAATCTCCCCGCGAACATAGCTTCCCTTCTTCAGCAACATGACTATTCCTACACCAAGACCAAGAATCACACCTTTGACACTCTTGCAGACTCTCTAATGGCTGAGGATCTCCATGTGAGCCACCTCGCTCGCACATCATTTGTCATGCCCAGAGTCCAACAGGAGAGCATCATGGACCTGGCTTTGGTCGAGAATGACCGGGATACTGGCAAACTGACCGCTACGCTCAAGGTACGTCGATGATTGCGTGTGGAGCTGTATGCTGAATTGAATGTAGTCTATTATTGCCACGCCATCGATCTCGTATGACCCTCATGCTGGACAGCGTCTTCTAAAGTTTTGGCAGGAGCCCGTCTACGAGAACATCATTGCCGACCTGGTGGATAAGACTGTCATCCGGAAGATTGGCTCGGGGTCTGTTGCCGGGACAGGAGGCAGGCGTTACGACTTTACTCATCAGTGAGTATTCCCGCAATCTATCGTGGTCGTACTAATTCGCTTCATAGATGGCAGCAATTGTCCGATGGACCTCTTCCTGGTAGTTTCTTCACGGAAGCAGGGCAGATGGAAAAGAAGTTGGAAATTGTAGGAGCGGAAGGTATTGAATGGCCTCTAATCGGGAAGCCCGGCGAACTTGGCGCTCTCTTGAGTATGGCCTCGAACGAAGAAGTGAGTCGATATCGGACCTGTCAGTCAATGGTCACTGACAATGATTCAAGGTCGACTTTAGTTTCAAGATTGAAGACTGTCTTCCTATCCGTATCCCTCACTACAACACTCGAAAGCTGAGTATGTCGAAGCTGTATCTTCTACCCTAAAACCAGCTCACGGCGATCTAGACGACGACGCATACGAATTCGATTTTAAAGTCACGCGCGTGAAGCCGGCACCGCCTTTTGCTGACATTCCATTGCCCAGGCCCGATGCCTGTAAAGCTCCCGCAAAATGGAATATCGTCCCTGATATCGATGACGCTATCGTCACATCGGTCATGGGCGCCATCACGTCTGCGGGTCAAGAGGGTATAAGCAAACCCAGCCTGCTTGCTCTCCTCGACCTTGTCCCCCGTCAGCTCGCCCATGCTCTTGCTCGAATTTCTTCAGACCCCATGTCCCGTATCTTCTGGGGAGGCTACGATACCGCCCGTGCCATCGATCGTCAATACTGGAGTGCATGGTGTATAGAGACAAGGCCTTACGAATCGAAGGACCGGGCAGATGCGGACAGGTCGACAGAGCCCAGGAGATGGGTGGATGTTTATGGGAAAGTGATCGAGAAAGAGTGGAGGAGAGGATGCAATACGGTGATAGCGCATTTGGCGAGCCGTCCGGGCATCAACCAGGTTGGTTCGACGCCTTGAATCATAGTCACAATAGCTGATAATTTGACAGAGATCACTCGCCAAAAGAGTTAGCTCGATCTTTGACAGGCTGGAATTGGTCGATATTCTCGATTTTCTGCTTCAGAAAGGCGCCCTCACCCGCCGATGGGTTGATGTCCATATGGATACTGCTTTGCCGCCTGTGGAAGCTACCAGTATAGAGGAAGAGGAATTCGTGGGATGGTGGCCCGTGACGAGCGCTTTGTTGGGCACCGTCTAGATTTCACCATGTTCTAAGATTGTACAGTTACATGTATACCAAATCGACATATCGCTATGGAAGAACCTCGTCGATGAATCAAAATCAATACTTGTGTCTTGCCGTGAAGTCCCGTGACAGATTTAACAAGTACACGGAAGCGACGACAGAAGCGGCGTAAGTGGTTTGTCATGTAGCCGACGGTCATCATGCTGCAGTTGAGTAAGCATCCTCGTCATCATGTGAAGCTTACCTCAACATCTCTAAACTATCAGTCAGCCCAGCAGCAATGTAAGGCAGCCACGACAAATATAAGGCTACATCGGCCCCCCTCTCGAGATACGTAGCACAAGTTACTGATCTCACGCAATGACCTCAAACAACCAAGACAAAGTCATCCTCATCACCGGTACTTCACAAGGGTGAGTGTCCCCACTTATTTTCCTTCCCTCAAATATGTGCTGAGGCTTTGGCAGCATCGGCCAGGGTATCGCCAAACATTACCTCAAGCAAGGCTGGACTGTCATCGGCGTCAATCGCAACCCCGAGAAGACTCCCAAACTCGAAGGCAACATCATCACACTCAAGGCTGATCAGTCTTCTTTGACCGATTTTCATGACGTGCGTAGTCCCTCTCATCTACATGTAGCATACTGACCCTGTCTCAAAGGTCGTCAAGGAGCTCAAGACCAAACACAACATCACCCAAATTGACATTGTCGTCGCCAACTCTGGTACCGGTGGTCCTGGTGCCCTTCTCAAAGACGCCTCCCCCACCGACTTGGACTATGTCTACCAAGTCAACACCCGTGGACCCCTCGTGCTCTACCAGACCACCAGGCCATTGTTGAAGGACAATGGAACCTTTGTGGTCATCTCTAGCCTTGCCGGGTCATTGCAGAGGACTTTTATGTGGGAGCTTATCGGCTTCTATGGGGCTAGTAAAGCGGCAGTCAACTACCTTGTGAGTCAGTTTCAAATTGTGCTCGCAACCGCTGATATACGTTACGTTTCAGACTCGTACCATTCACTTCGAGGAGCCGACTCTCAAAGCATTCACCATCGATCCGGGATCGGTCGACACGTATGTTAATCGCTAATTGCTGAGCACCCCGTTACTGACAGATCGTCTCTAGCAAGTCGGCCCGCGAGGCCTGGGATGCCTTCGGAAAGCCTCCTGTCGAGGCAAGTGCTGTTGATGATGTTATCCGTAAGCGCACTTCATCTCATCCTTCTCTGTCCGCCGGTGCTTACGAGAGCTGTTTCATTGTGGCGCGTAGCTGGTATCGTCAAGGTCATCAACGACAGCACCAAGGAAGAAACCTCCGGGTGGATGTGGAACCCGTGAGTCTGCATTAGGGCTTATGAGCCGCTTCAGACCTTCAGCGATTCGGGAACACATGCTGACTTGGTTTGTTCAGCCACGGTTCCAAAGCGGACTTCTGAGTTACCATGCTACGTCGACCAAGGATCGTTCTGACGGTCTCGAGATGATTTGGTATCATGGCTTGTATCAAAGATGTTGAGTACAATGATGTGTCAGCTACAGTTCAGTACGAGTACTGCCTGCATGTAGAAAAAGTGACACCGGAAGGGTGTATTGTGTTGATCTCTCGAGAGACCCCAGAGATCCTTTACAAGACTGTCCGTGATTTGATGAGCCAGCTGACGCTGGAGGAGACATCAGGAAGCATGGCCAGTCTTCCTACGTTGATTTCTCTCCTTACAGCAGCCTTACCTTACAGCAATACTGCCTCCACCTTCTCCACCTCCACCTTTCATTTCATCTCCGGAGACTCTACCATCTCCACCTTTTCCCTGACTTTTTTTACGCTCTGCAAGGCCGACGGGCTCACGCAACACTGACAGCCGGCGGGCTCACAGCCTAGTAGACAACGTGCCCACCGGTCTCTCCCTTTAAATGACTCTGGGAACCACTCCTAGCTGTAGGCGATGGTCGGGCGGGAAATGGAATGACGAGAGGCATATGTCGCTGCTGTCTACGTCATTTTGTGTTCGGTCCATATAAAAAGCGGACGGTCACATCTGGTGGATATGATCCCCATCCTCCAGAATCTCATCAGAACCGAGCCACAGATTCAAGCATGGTCAAGACACAACCCTTCCAAGATCTTCAAGTCCCCGTCCCAGGCTTTGGGTCAGACGCGCCACACTCTTGAATTGATATAGCGGCTGATTCCCATCCACAGAGCTATGGGCCTCTCCATGGCCTACGGTCCCACAGACGACACGGAATCCCACAAGACTCTCCAAAAGGCTATCGATATCGGATGTACTTTCTGGGACACTGCCGTCTTGTACGGTGCCGGTCACAATGAATCGCTCATCGGCGACTTTTTCAAGAAGACTGGTACCAGGGACAAGGTCTTTATCGCTTCCAAGTGTGGTTTCGACGTGCGTACTCTATAGATCGACGTCATGGAAATGCTGACCCTCATGATAGTGTTTGAATGGGCAGGACCCCATGACAGCGATGAGCAACGTCACCAACAAGCCTGAACACATCCGAGCCTACATCGAGGGTACTAAAAACCGACTCGGCTCTTACCCCGACCTGTACTACCTCCACCGAATCGACCCCAACACTCCTATCGGAGAGTCTGTTGCTACCCTTGACGAGTTGAGGAAGGCTGGCAAGACCAAGTACATCGGGTTGAGCGAGTGTGGTGTTGAGACCTTGAGGAAGGCTTGTTCGGGTGAGTATCTCTTCACATCAAGGCGGGATGCGTCTGACACGGTGTATAGTTGCCAAGATCGACGCTCTCCAGATCGAGTATTCTCCCTGGGAGACCACATATGAAGAGAACGGTCTGATCGCCGCCGCAAAAGAGCTCGGCGTGGCTGTCGTTGCCTACTCTCCTCTCGGCCGAGGTATCCTCTCCGGCTCGCAAGTCTCATTCTTCTCCACCCTTTGAGACGACGCTGACACTACCAACAGCATCAAGTCGCTTGATGACCTCGGTGAGACCGACTTCCGCCGCATGCTTCCCCGCTGGTCGCCCGTGAACTTTCCCAACAATATGCGCATCGTCGACGAGTTCCGCGCCCTCGCCGAAAAGAAGGGCACCACACCCTCGCAGCTCGCCTTGGCATGGCTCATCGCGCAGGGTGCTATCCCCATCCCTGGAACGAGGAGCGGAACGAGGTTGGAAGAGAATTTCAAGGGAGGTGATGTGGATTTGAGCGAGGAAGAGTTGAAGGAGTTGAGGGCGTTGATCGAAAAGGCCAAGCCTGTTGGGGAGAGGTATATGGATGGGCCGTTGCAGCAGCTCGACCAGTAAGATTATGGATATCAAGGGGAAGTACTTTAGTGAAAGCGGATCAGTAAAAAAGGCGATGACATGCGAAGAGTTGAGTGATGCCGGAGATCTCCTTATTCCCGACCTCTGCGTATAAGCTGGATATCCTTACAGAAGCTTTACAAGACTTCCATGTGACTAGATGAACACGGTGACGAGAGAGGTAACATCGGGGATGAACATAGTAATGCAGAATCTCTACTTGTATGGAAAAATAATCTCCCCTTCTAGAACGCGCCGGTCCCCCCGTCCCCCTACTCCTCTCCTCCCCTTCCTCCTCCGCCGTCCCCTCCCTCTCCTCCCCCCATTCCAATCTCGCTCCATTCGGCGTACTCACATAATCCACCTCTCTCCCACACCCACTCGACCTCATCGACGCCGCCCCACTGCCCGGTGTGGGGGACGTGCCCAGCCCGCTGGAGTAGGTGTAGCCCATGTTGTTTAGGGTGCGGATGTAGCGCTGCGAGAGCCGGAATTGGCGCGAGAGGGGTGGTCTTCTTGGGTCTGGGTTTACAGAGTGGTCGTTGTCGGCCTCGTCTGGCTCGAGAACGGGTTCGAGATGGATATAGACGGTTTCTCCTTCCGGACTGGATTGAGGGTCCGCAGCCGGGCCCACAGAAGTCACCTGTATGAAAGGCTCTCCTTCAGCAGTATAAGCCATTGCATGAGTTTCTTCGGGTTCACCACCAACCCATGTCGGCGACTCGGCGCCGCTCTCACGACGCCTGGGGTATGGTGTCCTCTGGTTGGGATTGTAGTTTTCAGGATGAGAGATATCGTCCGGATCGTTCAACGAGGTACGTTCGAATAGGAACGAAAGCGTTGAACGGTTGTCTTCATGACTCTGGTCGGCGGGGGATGTTGAAGGGGGGCTGAGGCTGTCTGGTTCGTGGTATGACATGGCTGGTGGTGAGGTTAGAGTGATAGAGTGTCTGGGGTAACATGATACAAGTCGTGTGTGCCTTATATACGCGCCGCCCACAGAAGCACCATCCGACCCCATCAGCTCCATCTCCATACCATTACCCGCAGGCCTTCAAAATGCAATACCCCCCACCTTTCATAGATCATTTGACGGGGAGGGAGTCCTTTCATAGATGATTTCTCCGCAAGAGGGGCGACAGGGGTGCCGATAATATCGCCGGGGAGACCTATGGGCTGGGGTTCTCCCATTGGGGATGGAGGGCAGGGTCGATGTGAAAGGAATACGTCCACATCCGGAGGCTATATTGGGAATGAGTAAGATAGATAATCAGTATAGTATCGATTCGAGCTTAGTTGCGCGCTTTGCGGGTTGATAGAGTCAGCTGGGAATGTCGATTCAAGGTCAGGCCAAGGTGGAGACGGATTGATCGGGGTCGCAAGTTTAGCAGAGTTTTGAATGGCTGAGCACTTTGAGAGCCGGCGCTGCGTCAATCTCCCATTGCAATCATGCCAACCGCCGCCATCCTTCCCATGATCAAAATCACCCTTCCCAAATCCTGCTCATCTCCTAATCCCATCGCCCCAGTCCATCTCCCCTCTGGAGATTGACCCTCATTCCACCGTCCCTAACCCCCAAACACCCAATCCTCAACAGTTGTATGCTTTGCATCCTCTAAAAGGGTTTTTTTGTGATTCTTTCCAACATTCATCCCTCCTTCGCTCCTTGTTGCAAGTTTTGACCCGGCTAGATTTCAAGATAAGATCTAGTGGTGGCCGTTCTTGTGGTGCTTGAGGTGCACTGTTGGTGCAAGTGTTGGCAGGTGTTGTGAATTTGGTGGGTAGTGAGCAGTAAAGGATGATGGCAGGGAGGTAAATAAATGATGATGATCAGCAACCCGAACAATGCCGAAAGAAACGCCAAACGCACTGTTGTAGTCGATGGTGTAACCGAGGAGGAAAAGGATACCAATGGTAGCAACAATGGGCTTGCTGTCATACACGTCAGCCTCTCATCCCTCTCTCCACCCCATCCCAAGCAACCCAAACCGCGCCAACCGCGCTAGTCCCAAAAGACGATTCCCAACTCACCCAGAAGCATTCTTGCCCTCAAAGTACCTGCCTCGAATACCCCCAGCCCTCTCAGCAGCGGGCTTGGCGCCCTTGGGGAGCTTGGAGTAAAAGTCGATGACCTGGGCGGTACGGGCAGAGGTGGTGCCGGAGGACTATGGTAACTCTGTCAGTTTTGGGTGTTTTTCGGTGGGGAAAAAGGGGACGTGCGACGGCGCCGGGGGTGGCGATCTTTGGGGGGATGAGACCTGCGAGGGAGCGGCGGGCGGCGGAGGGGAGCATGGTGGATGAGTGGGGAGTGGACAGCGAAGACGACGTTGACGGCCGAGATGGCTCGCTCCCTACCTCCGAAGAACGCCGGGCGTGGCAGACGAGGCGCTGATAAGCAGCCGAGGGGGCCATTACAAAATGTTGCTAGTGATTAGCTTTGTGATTAGAAAATGCAGTCCAGATTACTCCCGGTGCCTCTACAAAAAGTCGGCCCTATCTCCTCTATCATTTACGGCACCTCTTGCATTCCCCAACGACGCTCCTATACCCCCCTATACCCCCCCTGCCCCGCATAGAAAGAGAAAAGAGAGACCATGTCCCCCCCTGCTGATGGCAAGCTTGGCAAGCGAGAGTCCGGTACCGCTCGTATCCTCGGTTCAGGTGCTTCTGGTGAGTAGTCGAATAGCTATGGCAAGGCAAGAGCTGATGCGGGGGTAGGTATCGCCGAGTTGATGGTCTTCCACCCTGTTGTATGTCACAACTTTCATATAAACCATAAACAAAGACGCTGACCTTGCACAGGACACTGTCGCCAAACGTCTCATGTCCAACAAGTCCGCCCTCTCCGCCCAATCCCTCAACACCATCATCTTCCGCTCCGCCGCCCAAGCCCCCATCGGCACCAAGTTCCTCTCCCTCTTCCCCGGTCTCGGCTATGCTGCAGGCTACAAGATTGCCCAGCGGGTGTACAAGTTTGGCGGGCAGCCGTGGTTTAGGGATGTGATTGACAAGAACGGTGGAGGGTGGTTCAAGAGCACTTTTGGGAACAAGTGGGGTGGGATGTTGATGCATGCTACTGCTGGATCGTGCGTATTCTTTGGTTCAAGAAAAAGTCGGGTGATGCTGATCGGACCAATAGTTTCACTGGTATTGGTGAAGTTGTGCGTCCTTCCCCCGGGCTCATCGGGATCACACTAACACCATTCACAGGTCCTCCTCCCCCTGGACGTCCTCAAGATCAAGATGCAGACCAACCCCGACGCCATCCGAGGCCGAGGTCTCGTCAAGCTCGTCACTGAAGAAGGTATTGCTTCGCTCTACCGAGGATGGGGATGGACCATGGCAAGGAACGCCCCTGGGTCTTTCGCTGTACGTCTCTGTGCCCAAGAGTCTCAAGGTAGGGCTGACGAGAATGTAGCTGTTCGGTGGTTCTGCCGTCACTAAAGAGTTCCTCTTCAACCTCTCCGATTACTCTTCTGCCACCTGGTCTCAAAGTACGTCCCCGTAACCCTTCTCTCATCTACCGATACTTATTCCGTACAGACTTTGTCGCCTCCATCGCCGGTGCCGTCGCTTCCATCACCGTCGCCGCTCCCCTGGACGTCGTCAAGACCCGTATCCAGAACGCCAACTTTGGCTCCCAAGTCGGCGGTGCGACTATTATCAAGGAGATGATCAAGACGGAGGGTATGGGAGCGTTCTTCAAGGGTCTTACTCCCAAGGTACGCTTTAATGGCAGAGATACGCCGAGAAAGGCAAAAAAGGGCTAATTGGATGTATGCAGATCCTCGTCGTCGGCCCCAAGCTCGTCTTCTCCTACACCCTCGCCCAAAGTCTGATCCCCTTCTTTGGCAAATACGGTACGTCCCTCTCTCCCTCCCTTGACACGAGCTGACCCGGACGCAGTGTAATGCCAGCCGACGTAAACCCACCGGGTAGAGATACCCGTAGAATAGCCCTGGCCGATGACCCTACGTACACTCTCCTCTCAATTCGTAATGCAGCAGACAGCGCACCCTTGTACCATTCTCATTCTCTTTCTCTTTCTATGCATCACTGTCCCCTCGACGAACAACCATAATACATAGGAGAACCGCGCTCGGACCCTTTTTCGCGTCGTACGAGGCACTTCCCCAATTCTCTCGAGCATGTCCTTCTTCAAATCCTCTTTTCCATCTCCATCTCTCTCCCGCCGCTTCTCCTCCTCAGCCCGTACAATGGTCAGCCCCCCCTCCTCACCCCCCGTCCCCACTAACACCCCGCAGTCCAACCAAGTCTACATCCTCTCCGCCTCCCGTACCCCCATCGGCGCCAAAGACGGCGCCCTCGCCACCGTCTCCGCCCCCCAGCTCGGTGTCACCGCCGTCAAGCACGCTATTGAGAAGGCCGGCCTCGAGCCCAAGAGAATCGAAGAGCTGTACATTGGTAATGTCGTCCAGGCTGGTGTGGGACAGAGCCCTGCTAGGCAGGTCGGTATCGGTGCTGGGTAGGTTTCGACTTGTTATTGCAATCGGATGAGGGCGGGCTAAAACGGCCGTGTAGTATCCCCGAGAGCTCGGATGCTACCACTATCAACAAGGTGTGCGCATCGGGTTTGAAGGCCATCATGCTCGCCTCGCAAAACATCCAGCTCGGACAGCGAGGTGTCATGGTCGCTGGTGGTATGGAATCCATGTCACAAGCTCCGTACGTCCCTCCCTTACTCTCTCTCACGAGCACAACTCACACTTTTGTTTGCAGCTTCCTTCTCCCCCGAAACAACCCCCCCTTCGGCGCCGTCACCGCCCAAGACTCGCTCGTCACTGACGGTCTCTTTGACGTCTACAACAAGTTCCCCATGGGCAACTGCGCCGAACACACCGCCAAGCAGCTCTCCATCTCGCGCGAAGACCAAGACGACTTTTGCCTCTCCTCCTACACCCGCGCGGAAGAAGCCTGGGCCGCCAACGCGTTCGAAGACGAGATTGCGCCCGTGACTGTCAAGGGCCGAAAGGGCGATGTTGTGGTCAAGGAGGATGAAGACTACAAGAAGCTTTTGAAGGAAAAGTTTAGGACTATCAGGCCGGTGTTCCAGAAGGATGGGACGGTGACGGCTGCGAATGCGTCGACTTTGAACGACGGTGCTAGTGCTGTCGTGCTCGCGTCTGGAGAGGTCGTCGAGAAGGAAGGTTTGAAGCCTCTCGCCAAGATCCTCGGTACGTCCCCCCCCCCACCCCACTCCACTTCAATATATGACACATGGCTGATAAAAAGGGTGAAGGCTACGCCGACGCGGCCTGTGCCCCTATCGACTTCCCCACCGCCCCCACCCTCGCCGTGCCCCTTGCGCTCAAACACGCCGGTGTCTCTCAAGACGACATTGCCCTCTGGGAGTTTAACGAGGCCTTCTCCGTCGTCGGTATTGCCGCTACAAAGGTTTTGGGTATCCCCAGGGAGAAGATCAACGTCAAGGGTGGAGCCGTCGCTTTGGGTCACGTACGTCCCTCTCTCCCCATTTTACTCACGCGAAAGAGACATAAAAGCTGACAACTTGAATAGCCTATTGGATCTTCTGGTTGTAGGATCGTGGTCACGCTTGTGCACGCGCTGAAGAAGGGTGAGAAGGGTGTGGCTGCTATCTGTAACGGTGGTGGTGCTGCTTCTGCTATCGTCGTCGAGAGGCTTTAAGATCGGTGGATACCCAGCATTTAGAGAAGGACATGCATGATTGAAGTATTTGTGGAAAAGTATATGATTGGGAGGCTCATTCACGACAGCGATTGGTTCTCTCAGATGCATTGAGGTGACCTTGCAACGTCAGCTGGAATTGAAAATACAGCTTTCACGTCCCCACAGCCACTTGCTCGTTCATGGGACAATCTGTATATACATGCCGAGCAGTGAATCAACAAGAGTAGCGAAATTATATCAAGGGTTTCGTGTCTGATCGTGTAGTCATTCGCCTTTCATCGCTAAACATCGTCAGGGCCATCACTCCAACTTGGGCCTGATATATCGTCAGCAAAACAAGTACCAGAGCTGAAGGCCGTACGAGCTCACCAGAGGTTGTCGTCTTGGAACTCTTTGACAATCTTTTTGATCTCGCCGACGTCAACCGTGGGGTAGGCCGGCTTGAAGCCCAAAGTGGTCTTTGCTAGAGAACCGTCGAGGCAGATCGAGCGCTCTACGCCACAACAGGTCAGCTTTGTCTCTCTCCAAGGGAGATGGAAAGAGAGGACGTACTTCTGAAAGCGTGTTCGTCCAGGTATGGAGTGATGGGACATGAAGGGATAGGCGGGTTAGATTTGGAGAGCATGTCGGACCATGCTTGCACGTGCTGCACATTCTCATCAGCAACATTACCAATAGAATAAAAATTCTCACTCACCATCTCATTCACATCCTCCACCATCTCACTGAAATCAGTCTTGGCAAACTGCTGCACCAAACTAGCCACAGTCGAGCTCAAAAACCCAAACTTGATCCCCCACGTCTCGGCAACGACTTTTGCCAGACTGCCTTGCGTCGAATCCCCTTCATCAACCACGTTGAACAGCGGCAGGCGGACTGATTCTTCTTTGGGTACGATGGTGGAGACTGTCTTCCATGTTTCAGACAAGCTGCTGCGTTTCGAGTTGGAGGAGAAGATGGAGTTGCCGGAGGAGGAGGGTGGGGCGAAGGCGAAGGGGATGGAAGGGGAGGAGGGGAGGATGGTGGCGTAGGGGGTTTGGAGGAGGTAGAGGGCGAGGAGGTAGAGGGCTTGGGCGATGTCTGAAGAATGGACAGTGTTGATTCGGAGGTCCGAACTGTAAAGTATCAGCATGCCAGTGTCTTCTCGAAGTATGTGCTTACTTGTACAAAAACTTCATCTCCTCCTTCCTACAACATCGTCAGCACCGAACCAAGCCGATTTGAAGGCAACACACAGATACTGGTAGACATGCCCAGCGACCACCCTCGGCACAACCTCCCCATCCCAAGTCCCCCGTCCATACCAAGCCCCACACCTCACAACACCCACCTTGAGCCCGCCAAGCTCCCCATTCGCTTCCTTCTTGGCCAACCGGCCCAGCCCTCGGAGGACTTCATGCCACCACACACCCCGCACACCGTCGGGCTTGAGGTCGGCTTCTTCGTTGTGGCCAGGAGAGGAGGAGGGGAGGTTCTTCATCTCGTAGAAGGGGAAGGTGAGGCGGACGTAGGCTTTGGGTTTGAGGGATGGGGAGAGGGCGGCGGCAGAGGTGGAGAGAGAGAGAGACACTTTGTAGGTGTGGGAGATTTGGATCTATAGAAACTGTCAGCTTGAGCCTCAGCCATGGAATCCACTCACAAGCTCTGGCTTGTCAAAGCTCGTATCCCCAGTCAGATCAAACACCACATCGAACCCCTTCTCCACCTCGTCCCCATACAGTTCCCTGCCATTCCATTCCTTTGGGAGTTTGAACAGCTCGGCATGCCTTTCGACGTTGCCCAAGTTGACCTGCTTGTACTCGAGTTTGGAGTCTGCGCCTATGGACTCGGGGAGGAGGGAGAGGAAGGGCTTGTCGATGTATGTCGAGGGTGGGGATATGGAGAAGCGGTCGGCCAGGCGGACAAACTGGCGCGGCATGTACCGGTCAGCTATTTGAGTTGTCGTCGCGATGAGGCAAGGCTTACAGCGGCTTTCGGGTCTTTGGGATCAAGGAGGTAGGGTGCCAGTGCTCGAGCGACAGTTGTAGTGCCGCCTGCATTGCCATCAATCGCAGAGACCAGCCGGAATGACATCAAGAGCACATCGGTCAGCTACACTCTTGCATCTCTGATAGTCCATGCCCAGCTAGCTTATGTGCTTCAGACTCACCGAGGATGAGGACGTTTAGAGGGGTGTCGGGGCGTGTGGGGGGCATCTTGTGGACGGTCCAGCACTATTCTTTCGGGGAGGTTTCAGGTGGTCGTCAGGTGGGGCGGGGTGGGGAGGGACGGGGAGAGGTCTGTCCTGAGCTCTGTTTTGTGTTGTATACGACTTGCTCGCTGCCAGGAGCTGGATAGCCAGACCTGGGGGATGATTATAATATTGGATGGAAAGAGAAATGCAAGAGGACAAAAGAAAATCGACCTGAAACCGCGAGTCGCTCGGACCGCCGCGCTGTTCAGGGCTGCCCAGGTTACAGGATGGGAGGGACAGGATCGGGATGCATAACTCGAAACAACCTGAGCTACACAACGTCCATTCACACCCCACTAAGCGTGCCCCGCCCGAACTCTCTGCATTTCCCAATCAGGCGAGCATCTCCCTCGCCCAAAGCGCAGGTCATTCGGCCCCCACGCGGGCTCGGCTGGTTGCCTTCGATGAGTATCTTGCTCGGGTCCTCCAGGAACTTCTGTGGAAGGAGCTCCGAGGTTCTAGGGGAGGCGAGGTAGTAGCCAGAGAGGTAGGCATGGGCCGAGCCGCACTGGGATGTGGTCAATCTGATGGCGCTGGGTGGAGATTGTTCCACTTACCACGGGATCTTCCAGGATAGCGAGTCCTGGCGCAAAGACTCTTGTGTTGATATGAAGCCTGTCGTCCGGCTGATCAGTGGCAAGCTGGGTGACAATGATCAAGCCCGAAGAGAATGCCAGCTAATGCTCATATCAGCCGCAGTCCGCCAAGGGAGCACTCTGGAACTTACTAGCTTGTCCCAAACGACATCGATCTTTGTGATATCCGTCTCGGGAGACAACTGTACAATGGGCGACGTCCTGTCCCCAAAGCTGTACGTCTCAACCGACTCGACATTTCCAGTCTTCAAGCAAAAAACGTCTGCAGCCTCTTCCAGCTTCTTTGGGTCTTTGGCGCTTTCCCCCCCAAAAGCAGCATAAGTGTCTTTGGACAGAGTAGGAAGAGTGATTTCGATAGAGTCCTCAATCCTCTTTGCGATGAGGACGCCAGAGTACCGCGTGAGAAACTCAATGGAGGTGATATCCGGGTCTGTGCTGAAGACGGCGTGAGACGATGCGAGAGTCGCATGTCCGCACAACGCAGCTTCCTATGACTACATCAGCGCCATGTCCCCTCATAAATAGCCAAATACTAACGACCCCAGGCGTCCACCACCTCAAACCATACTTGCCAACCCCGCCCTCTCCATTGCCAGGCATCGGCACGAGATACGCCGTCTCGGAGAAACCGAAATCTTTAGCATACGAGAGCATGAAGGCTTCATCTTGCGTTTTGGGGTGCGTGTCGGAGGGAAAGATGACGACAGCGGCTTGGTTGCCCGAGTAGGCTGGGGTGGGGGCGAAGGCGTTGATGAGGTAGACGGGGAGAGGTGCAGGGTCGGGCATTGTGAAAGGATGGCAGGACGGTGAAGGATGGGGCTAGGATATGGACGAATGAATCTTCATAGAAATGCGAACGAATAGATGATCGAGTCGATGGAAGAACGGCATGTGTGACTCGACGCGTGCGGCTCAATTGCTCGGTCTTCCGGGGCTCACTTGCGCCGTCAATATCTTGCCTCGTTCATTCTTCTCCTATGTACCGCTACTTCTACAGTTCGATTTTTACTAGAAGAACACTTTCTTAGAGAGGGGCCTTGGTGCCATCGCTATGGGAGCGACAGGTCAGCGTGGATCTACCAGCAGAGCAAAGACTTGTGCTTACTTCATCCACATCCACCCAGAGGTCTCTTCCTTGGTGGCATTGTCGATGGTCTTGGTGATACCGGCTGTGATAGCGGGTCAGCCGCTGTACCTACTAGAGCCAATAAGGACATACGGACAACTCCCTCGACAGTCTCGGGAGGCGCAGCGTCCCAGCCACGGTTGCTACCACCCTCGCGGCCCATCTTACTGTGCCCGGCTAGTCTTAGCAAAAAAAAATTCCGAAGTATTAGGCTCAAGCAACGTACGTATCAACGATCCCCGGGTGAATGGTGAAAGCCTTCAAAGCGGGCTCCTCGTGGTGAATGGTACGAACCTGACGACAGCATCAGTACAACGACCTGGGGGCAAGCGGAAGAGACCCACAAGGTAATTCACAGCTGCCTTGCTGGCGCCGTATAGGCCGAATCTCTCCCACAAAAAGTCCCTCGTAATGGACCCAGCAAGACTGGAGATGACGGCAAAAGTTCCATCGTCCTTCAAGAGAGGCCTGGTAGCTTGGTAGAGGAGCAACGGGCCACGAGTGTTGACCTTGTAGTCCCAGTCGAACTCGTCGGCGTCGGCTTCCAAAAGGAGAGAGCCCCTGTCGTTGGCGCCAGCGTTGGAAATGACGGTGTCGAGGCGAGTGATGTTGTGCTTGGTCTTGAGCTCTTCGACCGCCTGCCACTCAGTCAATATGGATCCTAAGCTATGAAAGGGCAATATACGTCTTTAAAGTCGGTAAGGGAAGAGTGGTCGATCTTTACGAGGATGCTCTTACCTCCGAGCTTGGGAGCCGTCTCGGGACTGCGGACGGCAGTAACAACGGTCCATCCTCGCTCGAGGTAGCTCTTGGCGAGTCCCAAACCGACCCTAAAGTCGTATCAGTACGTTTCATGCATCCTTGAGTGTACGAACCCCTGAGAAGTGCCGGTGATGAGGACGACCTTGTTTTTGTTGTTTGCAGCCGACATGTTGTGTGACGTCTCTTCGTAGGGGATTACAGTCTCATAGATCATACATGTGCCCCTTATATGTCCCACCGAGCCCTCCAGGTACCACTATAGACCACCACGATACCTATCTTTACGTGCAATGACAAAGCGGGAGGACATGCTGATAAAGCAGCCGACAGCCAGCAGGCCGTGGGAAAGCTTGATCAGCAAAGACGTTCCCGTTCGCATTGGGCCGTCGGGCATCGAAGAGTGTGACTCGCTTTCGACGGTAGATGAACCTGTCGTATGCGATATAGCGAGAGGCACGAAGGGCTGAATAGCCTCCAGCAGCTAGAACACAGCCAGAGCAGCAATGGCAGTACCCTCAGGAGCACAGAACTCGACGAGTATAAACTAGAAGACAGGTCGCGTCGTCGCGTCGGTCCCCTAACCATTCCCTTTCCCTTCCAGCCTCGATAGGCCATACTCCTTTCAGTATCCGCGCTCTCTTCGATCTGACATGCTTAGTCACAGCATCAGCCTCTGTGGCATGAGTGCGGTCATCGACGCCAAGACCCAAGGCGAAGGTTGTGTTGCCTGTTAATCCGCATCGTATGACTAGGCTTGATAGAACCAAAAACTGCTCACGTCCGACGGAACATGCTCCGTTAGTTGTATGCAAGTGAAAACATGCATAGATCAGGTAGAGACGAGATGCCTCAGCATCCATCCGCCGCGAGGCAGCTCCTGTGGTACGAGAGACGAGGACGCATAGCGATCCGGACACCCCTGACAGTTTTCAAGGCGAGAAAATAGGGGGAATTCAATTTGGCGTTCTTAAACTTGCGGTCTTAAACTGGCGACCTCAGGGCTACTTGACCGCTAAACCGCCAACTCTCACTTTGGAATATCTAAAACTGCCAACAAAAATATGAATATATCTAAAACCGCCAACTGTATGGATCGCAAGCTATGAAAGGACAACGTACGTCTTTAAAGTCGGCGAGGGAAGAGTGGTTAATCTTCACGAGGATGCTTTTGCCTCCGAGCTTGGGAGCCTTCTCGGGGCTTCGGACGGCAGTGATGACAGTCTATCCTCGTTCGGGGTAGCTCTTGGCGAGTTCGAGTCCGACACTGAAGGCGTGTCAGCAGATGTCATCCTTTGTGAGAGTACTCACCCCTGGGAAAGTGCCGGTGATGAGGACGACCTTGTTGTTCTCGTTGCTAGAAATCATGTTGCTTATATCGTCGAGTCTGGGGATTGTCTTCTCATGGATGCAGGAGTTGGTCATATATCCCACAGGATCGGCTGCTGATCGAGCTGGCTGATGAGCATGCTTCACAAAGCTTTAAAAAGCTGCTCTATAAGCAGCACGTCAGTCACCACCAAGTCAGTCAGCCGTGCCTCTCGGGATGCCGGCGATCCTGTTGTACTCGTAATGTACTCGTACTGCGAGTACTCAAGTATGTCAGATTGCAATGATAATACATGCCAGAAGCGACTAGTACATTATACTTTCACACATAAGTGTCCATCCTTTCATGCCCCTCCTTCTACAGGTCACACCCTAATGGCCCCCGCCCAACTTGATCTTGAAAGACGTCTGCTGGGGCTGACTCGATGGCCTTCCGGAGTCTATCGGAGTATACGGTCCATATCCCGAGTTGGGCGCCCCGGGAGTTTGTGTGTTGGAAGGGGAAGGACCGACTGAGGCCGGACCGGTGTTGACACCAAACATGGGGCAGTTGCGATTGGCCTCTACGCGTCTCGGGTCAGCTCCTGGTCTGAACCAATGTAGAAACGTACTTGTATGACCGATAGCGCCACATGCACCACACTTTCTTTTCCCCTCCAGGTCTATACCCTCGATACCCATGTTGTCCGTTTCCAGCGTCTTTGACTGGTACTTTTTTCGCATCAGACGTCTCTGCTGGTTCAGCTTGTTCTTGTCGAGGAGCATTTGCAAACTTGCAAGCCTGTCAGCTAGGCCCTGCAGTAAAAGAAAAGACACTTACGCGACCTTTCTAATCGCATCCTCTTCCGCATCACCGGTGGGCGCGAGCTCGTCGGGGTGGTTCATGTAGTAATCGATCTTCTTCTCTTCGACCCGCTTCATGTAACTGGCAATGACAGCTGGGTCTCGGACGATATCAAATTGAGCCTTGCCCTTGACAATCCTCTTGATCCTGAGCACTTTGCCCATCCACGGGTTTCCGCCCGCGTGACTGCTCTCCGCCCCGTCCATTGAAAAGGTACTGGGCGATCTGGAGTCCCTCGGCGTATATGCCAATGACGCCCCTCTGGAAAAAGCTCGGCTTGAACTGTCTCTGCCTCTGACCACCTTGGGCGCAAGACCTGGCATGAGGGGGATTGATGCAATGCGATGAGCTTCTTCCTCGTCCGAGGTGATACCGGGAGGGGTAGGATTGGAGAGGGCAGCAGCTTGATAATCCCAGACCTTGCGCTTTTCTTCCTCGTAGATACGATTTTGTTCGGCGTTGGAGATCTTGACAACATTGCCCCCCGCCTTTGCCTCTGCTTCCACTGCAAATATGGTCAGTTGAAGCCTGAGGGACCAAAGGAATCAACTCACGCCTCCTACCCTGCTCAGTCTCACCCTTCCTCAAAAAGTAATTCTTCATATTTGCCCTCAGGAAGCTGAATCCTTCGCCTCTCCCGGTCGGCTCTCCCTCTCCGTGGATCATCAACCACGCCTTCTGCGCTTCCGCCAACTTGTAATTGTGCGTCGTCGACCATACCGCCAGCCTTTGCTCGATATCCAAGTTCGCCTCATCTTCATCTTCATGCCCGCCTTCAGCCGTCTTCTTGTATCCCGCATCGTAAAGATGTCGGGCACCAGCCAGCATAGCCTCGTAAAGACACGCGTGCTCTGGAGGACACATCTCCAACACCTGCTGCCTCTCATCAGGAAAAGCATAGTCCGGGTTCAACATCCAGTACCCCTGATTAGGCCCCGGCGCCCTCGCATACATCAAGAATTCGTTGCCTTTCACTTTCAGCCTCTGCCTCATTTGCAGCTCGGTCTGATCTGGGAAGTATTTGAGCAGCTTTCCGATCTTGAAGCGCTTTTGTTTCGATTTGTTGATGAGAAGCCAGGCGATGATCATGAGGCGCATCTTGGCAGTGTTCGTATTTTTACGAGCGTGGGGGCCATGGACCTCGGATTCGTTCGGGACGGTTTGACCGACGGTAAACATGTGTTTGATGGGGCGAATGTGATATGTGACGTGCCCGTTGACGGTTTGTCTATTCCCATACGGTCAGATCGATCAATTGAAAGCGAGTCAAAAGAGACATACCTGATACACAAAAAGTCGGTAGTCTCGGACTTATGCTCAAAGATGGGGGCTCGTATCAGGTTGTTGTGGATGACTTGTGTCGTCTTGCCCTTGTCCACATAGCCCAGCAAGAACGGCTCCGCATCTCCCGGATTCAAGACCGACGTCTGTCCGAACTCCAGTTTTGGCGGATTATCGTCATTATCATCCTTCTTCCTGTAATAATTGACAATCGTCGTCCCCATCCCATAATTACTCATGATCGGTGGGTATTCTTCTGAGAATTCCAATAGCACGAAAGTGCCCTGCTCCGAGAGCGTGAGGTCTTTGGTAGTCTTGAATTTCTCGCTAGGATCGGACACTGTCTTCTTTTTGACATTGGCGCCTGCCGAGACATTGTGTTTGAGTTTGGAGAAGGTGAGTGTCACACCAGTAGGGAATTGTAAGGGGGGGCGATGCCAAGCACGAGCTTCGGATTTTGTCAAAGTAGTCTTGTACTATGACAATGTCAGTGACCACCGGAATATGCTCTCGAGCGTGACTCACGAAGGGCAGTTGTAGAACCTTTGCAGGTTGCGAATGGAATACTTCAATAGCACCAAACGTCTGTCGGATGTGTTTCGCGCCTTCCGACGCCTTGTATAGAATGTCGTTCGAGATGTTGAAAGGATCGAGTACAACGTCTTTGGTAGCAGCAATGATGGCACCTTTTTTGGTAGTCTTGGTGGAAGGAATTTTGGAAGCTTGATCGGCATCCTCATCTTCGCTCTCGACAAGCTCCGGCACGACACGTGTCGCGTCCCAGATGATGTCCGAGAGCCAGTCGCCGGATTCGAGAAAGTTGTTGCGGGGCGCGAGAATGTCTATCTGTTTTTGTGGTAACTCTCTGCACATGCCTTCAGCTCAATCACTGGAAGATGGTTACACACACGTACAATGAATTGAATACAATCCCAGCCTCCCAATCAACCACATCAAGGTCCCGCCGTATTTCTTCAACATCATCCCCGGCCTCCGGCCTCAAGGCAGGTGGCTGCACCATCATATCTCGTCTTCTCCGTTCCTTGGCCTCCTTGACCCATTTCTTGTCAAAGAACCGGCCGATCGGTTTTGAGTAGTTGGGAGCATTGGTATTAAGAAGCTCAATTGGGGGAAGGGAGGACTGAAGGAAGGTTGCTTGAAGGGATGGATTTGGAGGAGCGACAGTGAATGTATCTGTGCAATGTCAACATCCATAACAGTCTGAGTGTATAGCACTCACAAGTCTGCTTTTCCTTGCCACCCTCTTCTATCCGTCTCTTCTTTCTCTCTTCATTCCATATCCCAAGCTCTGCCGGTGTTTCATAGACGACCTCTGTCATCCGTAGAGGTTTACCCTTGGCAAAGTTTGGCCATATCTTGAGCACCTTGTCGAGCTCGGTCTCCTCCTGAACTTGTGCGCCCTCCAGCTTGCGCTTTTCCTTCTTTGCCTTCTCCTTGGCCATGCTTTGCTTCATCAACTCTAGACCCTTCTTCCTCCAACGCTCCTCTTCCCTCTTTCGCGCCTCTGCATCCCTCGCCCTTTGCTCTCGCTCCTCATCCCCTCCCTCCAGCTCTGCATCCGAGATATCATCCTCAAACTTGGCATTATTGTCGTCGTCAGACAGTTCCACCTGCGTCAAGCCTTTGGTCGATTCGCTATTGTCGCCGAGAAAGGAGGAAAGGGAAGACGGATCGACACCGGCGTCCTGCAGGATGCGCCCTAGTCCGAAGGTGACGGAGGAGAGGGCATCGTCCTCGGACGCCATGTTGGATGATTTTGTGGCGATTCTGGGGATGAGCGAGTTGACGACTTGGGCGCGTTCGTTATATACCCGCGCTGGTTTTTATTCGCACCCCCGGTTATGCACTTCCTCTTACGGGGTGTTCTTGGGACGGGCTATCGTTCTTTTCTTCTCAACCCGCTTTCTGGTGGGCACCATACACCATGTCGGAACGTAAGGTATTGAATGTGAGTAGAGCCTCCCAAACTCTGAGACTGGCAAAGCATGCTGACCAAAAATCCTTGTCGATGTTATCGATCTACAGAAATAGTGAGTATTGCCACCCACAAGATCCCCTTTCTTGCCCTGGCTTTCTATCCAACAACATGCTAACCACAGTCTAGCTTCCCCCCGGATTTTGATCCGTCCAAGATCAAGCGGCGCAAGATGCCGAAGGACCCCCAGCAGGTCATTCGGCTGATGGCGCCGTTCTCCATGAGGTGCAACAGATGTGGAGAATACGTCTACAAGGGCAAGAAGTTCAATGCTAGGAAAGAGACTGCTCAAGGAGAAGAGTACTATGGGATCAAGATATTTAGGTTCTACATTGTGCGTGAAGATTGTCTTGGTGGGAGTCATCGCTGACGACAGGGGATAGAAATGTCCCATGTGTTCCTCCGAGATCACTTTCAAGACTGATCCCAAGAACGCCGACTATACTTGTGAACAAGGCGCTACCCGTAATTTCGAAAACTGGATCGAGAATGACCCCAGCGGAAAGGCTGGTAAAATGCCCGACGCAGCGGATGATGATGATTATGATTCGGATGGGAACCTGATCGAGGGCAGGGGAGATGGCAAGGATGCGATGGCGGACTTGGAGAGAGCACAGGAGCAGAGTAAGAGAGAGATGGAGATTATGGACGAGCTGGCGGATCTTAGGTATGTCCTCCTTCAGCATCGTTTACACGGGGCGTTACTGACTTTTGGCTCTAGACAACGAAATGCTCGAGTGGAGCTTTCAACTGCCGATAAGAATCCCGACGCTCTCCTGGCCGCTCTCCACGCCGAGAAAATCTCTGCTGCTGAAGAAGCTCGCAGAAAGGCGGACGAAGAGGAAGACGACGCTCTTGTCAAGCAATACTTTTCCAAAGTCTCTTCCGGACCTGCACCTCCTCCCGCTCTCAAGAGGGAAACTGGAACTCCCGATGGCGAAGCCGGTCCTGCAGACGGCGATATTGAGGATACTGCCTTACCGCAGTTGACTATCAAGAGGAAGATTGCGTCAGGCAAGGCTGGGGAACCGACGGTGGCGAGCATTTTGGCGGCTAAGGGCAAGGCTCCGGACACTACTGGGCCGTCGGCGGCGCCTGCTCAGGCAAAGAGGAAAAGAGAGGGGATGCAGAAGCTGCTGGGCATCAAGAAGAAGACAAAGGCGTAATGCTCTTGGTTGTCTATCTATAGGTTGCGACGTTCGTCGGCATGTACTTGTATAGTGTCTGTAATGGGATTGGGAAGTCATTTGTGTCAGTGAAGAAGATGCACCGGCAAAGAGAGTAAACATTCCAACACGTCCTCGGGTCTACCTGTGCAGAGACCGCCAAAGAAAACTTGATATACATGTATGAACCCTTACAGCAGCAGCTCAACTACCCACGCTTACCGGCGTATAACCTCCTGCTGATACCCCAGCGCTTCGCATTCCTCCACCAGCTCTGCCTCCCCTATTTTGAGCTCCGGGAAGGAATGCCGTCGAGTATTGCTGTAAAGGCTCCGGTATGAGCGCTTCGCCCCATTGACGAAGATCTGTAGGTCGCCCTCGTTCTGCTATGGCTTTGCGTAATCTGCATAGAGTCAACCTCCGTGAGGGATCCGAATGAGTTGATAGACTCACCTAGACCTGATGGCGGCATACAGAAGAAGACCAACGACGATCAGCACAAAGAATGTGACAAAGAGCTGATCTCTTGGAGAATCGCGTTCTGCATCTCATCAGCATTGCCCAGTGACCCGTTTCGAGACGACACACTAAAGCACCTGGCTTCTACATCTCCTTCAGTACCTGTGCCCACATCCGTATCGAGCTCTGGCACCTCCGCGCCCTTACATATCGCCAGTTTCTGGTCCAGACAGAATTGGCGAGTACAAGAGAGACATGGTTTCTTTGGATTTTCTGGCCGATACAAGGGGATGATGGTAGAATTCGTAAAGCATACACCTACAGTCTGTCAGCTTGTCATATAGTGTAGAGCTGCTGACGCGTACATTTGCAATACGAGAGGCCGGGGTCGTCGAAGATTGCCGCCGACGCGGGTCCAGTGAGCAGAATGAAAGATAGACAGAGTACAAATAGGGTAGTTATCCGTGTCATTTTGGCAGCTCTGGCTGGTGAGCAGTTGAGAGGCAGTTGGTGTCCTGACCCCAGAAAGGTTATGCATGCAAGAGCTCTCCGTCATTGTCGCAATGTTATGGCGGAGAACCGACGGGTGTTTACGTAACGACCGTCGCTCATCGTCCCATGCACCGACCACGGCTTGCCGTGTTTTCTCCAGTGCACATATATATACTGGGCAGAAGAGTTAACCCTGCTCAATATCATCCAACATGGTCTCCGCAACGTCCATTTTCAATGGTAAGCCCTTCTTCTCCGACCACCGCGCTCCTGCTCACGCCCCTACCAGCTATCAGGTACCCGGTCCGTCCCTCCGCTGACTCTTGCGGCCACATATACTGACTGTAAACAGGCCGAGACCCGTGCGATGGTCAACTATGCCATCTGGATGGACCACAGGGATATCACCGACGTGACCGAGCTTCCTACGACTTGCTACGATCGCCCCACGATGCGAAAATGCTGGGACTTTTTGGACTTGACCAGTCGAAGTTTCGCTAGGGTCATCAGGGAGCTTGAGGGGGACCTTGCCAGGACTGTACGTTGCTTGTATGCTTCCGATCTGGATCTAACGTATCAAAGGTCTGCATATTCTACCTCGTGCTCCGAGCGCTCGACACTGTCGAAGACGACATGACCATCTCCAACGATGTCAAGCTCCCTCTCTTGAGGATCATGCACACCAAGCTCTACGAACCGGGATGGACATTCAAAGAGTCTACAGAGAAGGACAGGATCGTATTGGAAGAGTTTGACAACATCCAGATAGAGTTCACTATGCTTCAGCCCGCGTGAGTTTGGTGAGAACTGTGGAAGATTGAATGCTGATGTGTCTTGCAGATACCAAGCCGTCATTGCCGACATTTGCAAAAAAATGGGTGCCGGTATGGCTGACTTTGCCGCGCTCGCTACTCCCGAAGCCCCTGTCGCCGAGGTCAACACCATCGCCGACTACGACCTCTACTGCCACTACGTCGCCGGTCTCGTCGGCGAGGGTCTCTCCGGCCTCTTTGCTGCCTCTGGGAAGGAACGATCCTTTATCGCCGACCAGCTCACCCTCTCCAACTCTATGGGTCTCCTCCTCCAAAAGACCAACATCTACCGCGACTTGCACGAAGACGTCGTGGACGGCCGAGGCTTCTGGCCGAGGGCTATCTGGGGCAAGTATGGCTTCAACTCGATGAAGGAGTTGATCGAGCCTGGGAGGGAAAAGGAGGCGATGTTTGCGGCGAGTGAGATGGTCTTGGATGCGCTGAGGCACGCGACGGATGCTTTGGATTACATGACCTTGTTGAAGAGCCAGAGTGTGTTCAACTTTGTTGCTATCCCGGCTGTCATGGCCATCGCGACTTTGGAGAGGGCGTACATGAACCCCGACATCCTGAGGAAGAATGTCAAGATCAGGAAGGGCGAGACGGTCAGGGTATGTATGGACTGTATGGTATGAAGCGGAGCTGACTTGTTGTGTAGCTGATTATGCGTGCTACCAACCCTCGAGATGTGGCGTACGTCTTCCGAGAATACGCCCGCAAGATCCACGCCAAGGTCCAGAAGGACGACCCCAACCTCCTCAAGCTCTCCATCGCTTGCGGCAAGGTACGTTTTGCCCTTCTCTCAACCTGGCCTCACTGACAATGCTCAGATCGAGCAATGGTCCGAGCACCACTACCCCTCTTTCATCGAAGTCGCCGGCCAAGGCCAAGGACATGTCAAGTCCGCCATCGATCCCACCTCCAACGACGCCCGTGCCGCGCTCTTCCTCCGGCTCGCCAAGGAAGCCCAAGAAGCCGCTTCAAAAGCCCGTCAAGACAAGCTCATGGCCGACTTGAGGGCAAAGGGTCTTATCAAGGGAGACGGTGGGGAGCTGGATGAGGATGAGGAGGCGAGGAAGAGGTATGAGGCGATCCAGAGTCAGCAGACGACGCCGTATCTGATGATTATTGGTGTGGTGTTGGGGATGTTGACGCTTATGGTTGCGTTGGGTGGTTTGACGATCTGGGTTGTGGTGAAGGCTTTCCCTGAGGCAAGTTTACCCAGATCTTCTATTGGGCTTCATACTAACATGTTCTTAGTGATCCAAAAAAACCGTTATGAGGCTCATCTGTTTATATCTTTCTCTTTCTATGGGCTTCGGTCGCCATGCATGTTATGTAACCAAGCAATCCGTGTCACCAACTGCGTCACACGCATTATTCGAGGGCCTGCTGGGCTTGCTGCAACACTCAAGACGCCTACGGCGCTACAGTCTACGACGCTACCAGGCGCCTACTACTGAAGGCGACAGACGCGAGATTTATTTGGTTCTCCTCTGTACCTCTCTCTATCTGCCTCGGCTCTGATTTCACATCGTCAAAAGGTGGCGACATGTGCAACCATTACCTCTCTGGGCCAACTGGGTCACAGCAGCCCGGGCGGGATGCATACGACGGCAGCTGATAACGACTCGAGAACTCCAGCGTCAATCGAGAACCCCGCGTGGCCAACACGGCGATAACGTCTACTGAGATATGAGAAACGTGCCCAATCAGACAACTCCCCTGCACCAATCAGGCTTTGCATATGGTTAGTTCTGGGGCTATTACGCATTGGCAATCCGGGAGAAAAAATAAGGCTGGTTTTGTTGACAGACACCGCCTCCGCCACTTCGTCATCCATCCGTTTTGCCCTCACATCTTGCGTTCTCCACATGACGACCCCGACGGGATCACTTCTTCGGCTGCTGTAAGGCTTGTCTGACAGGGACAACAGGGTCCATTTGTTCATCTCCTCGGTCCCTTAGCCCGCGCAAATAGCATCCATATCGTCACGCTGTCGAAACATTCATTGGATTTACTGGAAACGCCGTCTTGATATCGCCGAGTAGGCAGTCCCTAAACAGGCAACTTCTCAAGCATAGTTTTTGTTGTTTCCGTTGTAAAAATGGCTCACCCAGGCTCTCTGCCCTGATCCTCTGCATCAAGAGTCCTCATCATGGGCAAATTGGCAACAATGCAAATCAAATGGACCATGTAACGCGGTGGAAGAGGTGAGAGGGAAGAGGTATAAAGAGCTTCGAAACACCCATCTCCGGCTCGACCATCTACTTTGCAACCCTCGCCCGTAACAGACGACCACAGTACCAGCTTTCACTGCTCCTCCTGTCCACCATTAACTCGTCTTTCTCAAGACAGCAAGCTCTTGTTGCTCTCATCACACACGGTCAATTTGGAGATATGTCTACTGAACAAGATCCTGATACGGGTGGCGATGCCCCCAAAGCGGACCATCCGGATACCAAACACACCCTGTCTATGGACTCCATGGATGTCGAAAAGTATGCGGTATCTCCCATCAAGTTGTCCGGTCTCAAGCTCGTCGGCCTGGCTTTCTCCTGTCTCGGTGTGATATACTCTGACATCGGTGCGTCCACAATGGACTGACTGGGATCCGCTGACTTTGTGTACCAGGTACCTCCCCGATGTATGTGTTGAACGGTATCTGGCCTGCTGCTGGCTCTGCGCCTTCTCGAGAGGACGTCATTGGTGGTATCTCAGCGATCATATGGGCTCTCACCATCATCCCTCTGCTCAAATATGTGGGTCCGCCACTCTCTGCGGCCTAATTGTGGAACTGTCTGACGTGTAGGTAATAGGTTGTCTTTGCTCTTGAATTCGGCACCGACAAGGGTGAGGGTGGTCCTTTCGCGCTCTTTATGGGTCTCTTTCCAAAGGCCGAAGCGAGCCCCGACGGTCGTAGCCTCACGACATACAACACCAACGATGGCGAGGTGCCGTACGACTCCTCTGGGCGACTGGCAAAACTCCGGAGGTTCAAGTGGCCCTTGTTTGCGTGGACAGTATTTGGAACTGCCTTGACGCTGGCTGATGGTATCTTGACGTAAGTCTTTGCCCTCTTGAATGGCTCTACTTCGCTGACATTTCATGTCTAGCCCGGCTGTATCCGTCACCACAGCTGTGGGAGGTATCGCTGTCGCCAAACCGTCTGTCATCAACGACATTGTACCGATATCCATCTGCTTCCTCATCTGCCTATTCGCGGTACAACGTTTTGGTATTCACAGAATCTCAGTCAGCTTTGCACCGGGTGGGTCAATGACCAATAAGTCAACAGGGCTGATGTATCTTCAGTCACTACCATCTGGCTCTTGTTGATAGGCTGTACCGGTATCTACAACATTACGCTTCACCCAGGTATCTTCCGAGCTGTCGACCCTTCTCGAGCTGTGATGTGTGAGCTCTTTTCTCTCTTCAACAGCGCTCAGCAAACCTGACGTTGTGATTGGGAAGGGTTCGTGAGGACCAAGAACTACGATTACCTTGCTGGTGTTCTTCTTTGTCTCACCGGTTCAGAGGCCATGTTGTACGTCGCGTCTTTTGCCTGGTCCTTCACGTCGCTCTTGGCTGATCAGATCACAGTGCCAACTTGTCTCAATTCAATAAAGCATCCATTCGTCTAAGCTTCGCCTGTTTCGTCTATCCCATGCTCGTACTGGCCTATCTTGGCCAGGGAGCAAGTCTCATCGTCAACCCCAGTGTTGTCAGCTCCATCTTCTACCTGACCATCCCTGGCGGAACCGGAGGGGCGTTGTATTGGATTGAATTCATCTTTGCCATCCTTGCTTCGGTGAGTCTATCATATCTCATGTGTGGCGATATTCGCTGACCACCTACCACAGCTTGTAGCTTCCCAAGCCATGATCTCTGGCAGTTTCTCGCTTCTCCATCAGCTGATCGGAATGCAAGCTTTCCCGCCACTTCGGATACATCACACCTCGACCGTGATTTCTGGACAGATCTATATTGGTGCTGCCAACTGGCTACTGTTCATTGGTACGGTGGCAGTTGTGGGCGGATTTGGTTCCTCTGCGGCATTGACACATGCCTATGGCGTGAGTACGGATAGACGAGGGGTCCCTTCAAAGCTAATGTGTCACGTAGTTTGCTGTCGCCACGGTACTCTTCGTGACCACTACCCTCATCGCTCTCAGCATACCCTTCACCAAGAACCTGCCTTACGTCTTGGGCGTACTCTTTCTCCTCGTGTTCGGCTTTTTTGACGGTCTCTTCTGGGGCGCATCTCTCAAGAAGGTGCCTACAGGTAAGTCTTTCCCTATCAGTTACAGGCTAATCATGAGTTGACGATCTGTCTAGGTGCATGGTTCCCACTCGCCCTCGGCGGTGTGCTGTGTATCATCATGGTCTTTTGGGCCTACTGTCGTCTCCTCGAGTCGTCTTTCGAGGAGTCCAACAGCCAGCGCCTGACCCGCCTTCTCATCCCCATGCCCCACGGCCCATCCGAACTTCAGTTCACCTCGGCCTCTCTCCCTTCTTCGGCATCTCCTTCGGCCCACGAGAACGACGATACCGATATCGGGCTGACGTTTTTCGAGCCTACCGGCACAGAGAGAGAAGATGAAGGTCCGAAGGATCTGGGACTGGTCCTGCCTACGGGGGAGATCAGGAGCTTGACAAGAGTCCCGGTGATGGCGGTCTTTCACCGCAATGAAGGTGGGAAGGGCGCGCCGTACAGTTTTGCCAAGTTTATGAGCCACTACCCTGCCTTGCCTTCCGTGGTAGTGAGTTCTCGAGATCCGAGTTCGGGGTTTGATGCTCATCAAGCGTCACAGGTGTTTCTGACCATAAGAGTTGTCGGCGTGCCGTTCGTACCTCACAGTGACCGTTATGTCGTCAACAAAGTGCGCTCGCTGGAAGGATTCTTTAGTGTCACAATGAGGTGAGTCTCATGACCGCCAGCACGCTTATCAACACTACTTCGTCTTACAATGTTCCAGGATGGGCTACCTGGACCGTACTCCTCCTTCTACCGACGACCTCATCCACCTCATCACCCCCCTCGCCTCCCGCTCAGCCTCTAACGCCTCCCTCGCCCTCACCCGCGTCAGCTCGATTCTCAAAGCGAGCAAGGTCGTCTCCCACGTCGTGCCTCAACATGTGATCAGAAGTAAAGGCGGCCGGAGGAACGTGGTTTGGAATTGGGTGAGGAGGTTGCTGGTGGAAGAGGTCTATGCGAGGGCGAGGGTGATGTGGCCAGATAGGGTTGAGGTTGAGGATCGGGAAAGGTGAGCCTGATTCTTTGCATGGGAAAGTTTGGTTTGTTGATATCCATCGCGATCAGCACGATCTACATCTCGGTCTCTGCAAACATCTAGGTAAAAGAGATGTAGATGGTCAGTCCGATGAGCGTTGAATGAGTTTGGTAAAGATACACGTAGACTTGTTAGCTGTCGAGAAGATAGAACATTGAAGACACACGAATGCAATCTTGCTCTGCTACAGTGTACATTCTGGAACTTCGACGTTTCGACGGGCGTCATGGTATCATCGTATGCTTCAAAGGTCCCAGCAGCGGCCGCGGTGGGCCTTGGGGCTGTTGCGGGGCGATCCGAGGAGGGGCCACGTCGTACAGCTTCACACCGTCCTACGAAGCAAAGTCAGCCGCCGACCTCGAAAGCGTAGATAATCCTCACTGTGTCAAAAACGGCCCATCTCCCAGTCGGCTGGATATCGTCAGCTCCTGCATACCACCGGAACAAGAAAGAAACTCGGACTCACAGAAACCCTACTCCGAACGACCTCCAGCAAAGCTCTCAGCCCCGGCGCCCTCCGTACCCTCTCCCGCTCTTCCTCATCCATCATCCCAAAAACCTTTCCCGTCTCTTGCATGAGCAGCGTAGCATCGGTGCAGTAGGTGAAGGCGGTCCCGAGGGCGGGTTTGATGTTGGTCTTGTTGAACCTGGAGAGAGGGTTGGTGGGGAAGGAGGTGACTGTGGAGTTGATGACCTTTTTGGGGGGTCAACACGTGTTTCTGAAGAAGAGGAAAGGGGAAGGATGTACGAGTACGACCAGATTATGAGCGAAGGATAGAGCAGACAAATCTTCCATGAGAGATACAAGCTCTGCATGCCCTACACCGTCGTCAGACCTTCTCAGTTCGTCGGGTTCGCGGATCAGAGCTCACCTTGAGCGGAGGTGTTTGTCAATCGGTCTTTGAAATGGGTGAATATGGTGTCGAGAACGACTATCTTTGGGCGAGGCCCATCATCGATAGATTCATAGGCCTACCCCAGGTCATCAGTATATCACGACCGTGAGCTGTTGAAGCGTAGATACCGCTTTGAGCGACTCTAGAGCGCCGTGGACGTTGTCGAGTTGGAAGCACGGCGTGACCGATATTCTTTGAAGAATGTGATGTGGATCCTTCATGCTAGGGTCAGCCCTTTGTAGGAAATACAAATAATAAGAATTCACTGAGACCTTCCACAGCTCCAAAATTTTTACAGCTCTCTCCGGCGCAAACGTCCCCTCAGTATCAAGCCACATACAGGACGCTTCAGGAATATCGGCCAAAGTTCTGAGAACGGCGTGTAGAGCTAGGAGCTACGATCGTCAGTCTCTGGGCAGAAAACCAGAATGAGGATTATGCTCACTGATTTCCCAACCTTTCTAGGCCCAGCAATCTCCAATACCCCCACCCCATCCCAGCTCTCAACCATCTCATCCAAACCCTTCACCCCAAACCCCCTCCAAGGCCCCTCCACATCCCCATACTCCATCTCGCTCGCCGCCATGATCCCTCCAGATGTGAGTCTGATACATACCGAGACCAGTTGTCGAAGCTGGACATGGGTGATGGTGCTCGTGAGAGCAAGAATGGTGGAAGGGGCGGTGAAGATTAGGGATTCTGTGGTTTTGATGCCGGCTGATTCCAGTTCGGGAATGAAGGGGGCGAGGTTTGGGGGAAGCTTTGTGTGGAGACGCTTGAGAAGCATGCCCCAGGTGTGCAGAGGGGTTTCTGGATAGAAGAGAAAGAAGAGAATGAGATGATAGAAAGTGAATTGTGCAAGAGAATGTGCGGGGTCAAAGTGGACGACCTCCACCGCGCGAGGAGCGTCGTAATGCGAATGGATTCGTTGTTTTGACCCTCCTTCGCCTTTCTTCTTCAGCTCAAAAAATGTCCCAGCCATTCAGAACAGACTCCCTCCGCCCCTCCTCCCTCCCCTCTGCCACCCTCGGCCGACGCCGTCATTACGAACCCCGAGCTTCCGCCCTCGACGCCGCCGACGGCTCTGAAAACCTCACACTCGAGGAGCGTGCGCAGGTAAAGCTCGACAAGGAGCATGATCGGTGGAATGAGAGGATCGACAAGGATATAGGGGCGTGTGTTGATGGATTGAAAGAGTTGGTGCAGCTTGCTGATGTCGGTTATCAAATCCTTGAAGGAGGACTGCGCTGATGGACCATAGATCTCGAATACCCAGCCAAACTCTCTCACGGCAACCACACTCCCTCTGCACTTGCCAGTCAAGACGTCGTCCCTGATACGCTCCGCCTTGAATGTCCGCGATATGGCTCATGAGCTCAAGCTGCTCCTCCTGTTATCCGACGAGATAGGTCTGGTTGAAGCACGAGACAAGGAGAAGGCTCTCTTGCGGGAAGAGATCAGTGCAGGCAGGAAGGGTGTACTTGCGGCTGCTATGGAAGGGTTAGGGAAGGGGCAGACGGAAGAAGGGGCAAAGGGACAGGAGAACGAGATGGAGGTCGAGCAAGTAGATGCCGAGGCGCAAGTGGACGGGGAGAAGGTCTCATCTACCAGCGAACGGTCTGAACACTTGCCCATAGAGGACACGGCTACCACAGAAGATAGCAAGCAGCAGCGGAGAGACAGTGCTATGGAAGTGGACTCGGGGGGCGAGGATGAGGACGAATTCGAGGAGGTCGGTGGAGGAGAGGTGGGAGGTGAAGCTGAGGATGTGCCCCCGCCGCCTCCCGCCGCTGCCGGCGAAGAGGGGAGCGAGAGTGACAGCGACGAGTTTGAGGAGGTATAGCGGAGAGCATCCTGAAGAGATACTGTTGTATGTACTGGTACCATCCCCCGGCGGCCGGCGTCGCGCAAATCCGAAGCAGCCAGCACGCATCTCAATCCCATCTACATCTCTTCTTGGACCCATCAACCTCAAGTATGCCCTCGGGAGCAGTAGTCTCAGAGCACAGCCACGCTTCTACCATCGGCACACGCATCCTCGCGGCAGGGGGCAGCGCCGTCGACGCCCTCATCGCTACCACCATCGCCGTCAACACCCTCAATCCATACCATTCAGACCTCGGCGGTGGAGGCTTTGCTGTGCTCAAGGAAGCTTCCCCTGAGGGCGCCGTAAAGTGCCTGGACTTTCGACAATGCGCGCCGGTGAGACTATCTTATCGGCAATCTGGAGTAGGCTTGATCTGACTGATTTCGCGCTTGCGCTGAAGGCGGCTGTAACTGCAAAGCTCTTCAAGAAGCTCCCGGCACAAGCGACAGCCGTAGGCGGTCTGGCAGTAGCCGTCCCAGGCCAGATGCGTGGGTTTGCCGAGCTCCATGAGCGATACGGCGTGTTGTCTTGGAAGCAGCTCTTTCAAGAGAGCATCGACCTGGCCCAGAATGGTTTTGCTCTCGGCGGAGACTTGTATGAGGTATGTCCGAATTTCATTCTCATGGACTGTGGCTGATACATGTGATTTGCAGTATACATTGAGAGAAGCAAATCCTCCCAACTCTACCAATCTCCGCGACACATGGCTCGACAAAGACCCGTCTTACGCGTCCCTCATCCAGCCAGACGGGCACATAATTCCGCAAGGAAGCATATGGAAGAGACCCGAGCTGGCAAAGGCCCTTCGGAAGATTGCCGAGGAAGGTGCCGAGGCGTTCTATGAGGGTGAGATTGCGGAAGCGCTTGTGAAGGCTGTGCGAGATAGGGACGGCTTGATGACTGTGGATGATCTCAAGAGTAAGCTCAAAAATTACCAAGTGTACTGCCACTGATACACGATAGACTACAAACCGATTTGGCGCGAAGCCTTATCTACAAAATACAAAGGCTTTACCCTGTACGCCCCGCCTGCACCAGCATCAGGCGCCATCTGGCTCTCTGCCATGTCCATGCTCTCCCGCTTCGAGCCCGAAGGCTACGGCACCGTCACCGACCTCCACCGCTTGACGGAAGCGCTCCGTCTGGCTTATGGTCAGCGGACAGCCCTCGGTGATCCGGCGTTTGTGGATGATGCTGAAGAGAACCAGAAAGAGTGGTTGACCGAGGAGTATATCGAGAGGAGGAAGGAGATGATTGATGATAAGGAAACCAAGGACCCGGATTACTATAAACCTGCCAAGTATGCGCATACTATACCCACATCCAACAAAGGCTGACATGTCTGCAGAGTGGAGATTGTTACAGACGCCGGCACCTCCAACATTACAACCACAGACTCTTCCGGCCTCACCATCTCGGTCACCACCACCGTAGGACTCAGCTACGGATCACACATCATGGTCCCCGGCTGGGGATTCGTCCTCAACGATTCGATGGACGACTTTTCGGTGGAAGGTCGACCGAACCAATTTGGATATGAACCGCAGGTCACAAACTACGGTCAGTCCGTTCGAACGCAGAACACATTTACACAATTTGGCTGACTATGTGCGCTCAAGTGGCCGGCGGTAAACGTCCCCTGTCTTCCTCCTGCCCCTACATCATCACCCATCCTTCCGGCAGAGTTCACGCTTCAGGTGGGGCCGCCGGCGGAAGTACAATCATCTCTTCAAACACCCAGATCGCCCTCTCCCTCCTCGCATACAACCACTCTGCCGCCCAAGCCCTCTCCAACCCCAGGCTGCACAATCAGATCTTGCCCAACGTGAGCACAGTGGAAAGGGGCTCGAATGTGAGGGGTGTAGAGGTCAAGGGGTTCACGGAGGAGCAGGTGGAAGGGTTGAGGAAGAAGGGACACAAGGTGCAGTGGGTTGAGAAGGCGTTTAGTACGCCTTGTGCTATTTTGTGGACTGGGGATGGATGGGAGGCGGAAGGTGATCCTAGGAAGCATGATTCGGGAGGAAGTGTCTACATTGAGGGGTAGTTTCGATACGTCTATGTTTATGCATAAAGAATGAAAAGTTGCTACAAGTGCTATATCCCTTTTTGACCTTCTAAACTACGCCTCCCAGCACACCTCTGCCTACTCGGCGGTTTCACTTTTGATTTCTGGAGCAGGAGCAGCTTGCTGAGGCGCCGCTTCGGCAGGAGGAG